CTTGTGGAGGCTACATCGAGCAGTCACACGCAGCGCTCGCAGCTCTCGCGTCTTGAACTCGAGATCGACAAGACTCTTCTGCAACTCCTGGCGGTCGAGTGTCGTGAAGGCGAAGAGCGAGGCATGCGTGCGCTGGAGATGGTACAGCTCATGCGGGATCGTACAGGCCGCATGATGGAGGCTGCTGGTAGAGTGGCAGAGAGATATGGAAGGACGATCTTGGGAGAAAAGATTCGTGAGGTTGGTGAGAAACGGATTGAAGGACTGGAAGATGATGACTTTCCATAATGTCAAGGGTGACTCTGGATGATGTCTTGATGTGGATTTGGATTATGTATAGCATTGGAGGAGCATAGGATCTTGTCGTTCGGGTTCGAGTATGACAGATAATGAATATCATGTATCAAGGAAGACCAATTGTCTCTTCATTTCAAGCTCTGTCGATGCTATCGCCATGGAAATCACGGTTTTGATATGAAGTGAGTGGTGGCCTCCTGTCCCTTCCATCACAACTGTTAGGAAGCAGACTCATCACGATATTCGATGTCTCGAAAAGACACTGCACTGCTAATAAAAATTGTTGCCGACTCAGATTCCGGACACAGCTGATATGTCTACATAACCTAGGGGAGGCAAGAAAACTTGGGACCTCTATCCTAAGTGATGAGAAGACTTAGGCAAGTTTAGTATATCTTGATAGGCATTTAGACCAGTTAGCTTAACGTCAGAAGTTCTCTTGCTCCCCGGGGACAACCTATTTCTCACACCCATTGAAACTATGACGAGTCATGATAGCTTCGATATATACGGAAACTAGAACTACTAAGTGCTTCGACATTGCCACTGACCGAGCTTCCTCCAACAACTATGTATCTCTATAACTTGTATTCACATCAGGCTAGTGTCTCAAAATACTTACGAAATAGTTAACTGATTCTGTGCCCAAAAGGAGTTAATACTCAGGGGCTGACAGTTGTCAATACATGGACGTACCATGTCGAGTATTTCTAAGCATATCAAAATTTTGCTCTTCCCTTGTGGAAATGCGACGGATGTTGTACCCGCAGGAGTCGATGTCGATCATGATACCCTGAAAGTTTTGACTATTTTTTTTTTCTCCCGTCAGCAAGCAACGTTGAACTGTCGGAGATACAGTACACGCAACGTATGCTAGGTGTGGCTTCGCATCGGTCCGGCCGAAAGAGAAGGAATTCCAAAAGAAGGAATAAATCGTGAACAGAGATTTTTCTGTTGGCAAGGCGTCATGGATAGAGTAACATCGTTAGTGTGCACGGGTTCAGTGTCAAACGATAGTGTCTTGGTTTTTTATGAACAAGGCAATGCGGCAAAATCAACTGCCGAAGACCCAGCAAAGCTAGCTTTTTACTAGCATGTGAGTCGAAAACATGTTCATTCCCTGAACAAATTCTGAGAAACGGCCCAAAGGTCGGAGATGGCAAGCAAAGACTTTTCGGCCGGAGGCGCCCATCTCAAAAGGTCGAGTTAATACCGACAGACAGGGTCAGATTTCGGAATACGGCCCATATCAGCACAAGTTTGTAGTGAAAGCGGAGTGGCTCAGGTACGCGGCGAATATGAAGTGCCATAAAACCTGCCATCGGAAGAACCGATGAGGTCCCTTGGAGCGTTCTCGAACATTTCGATAACCACAGAACCTGTTAGCGCTCATGCGGTTTCTGTCGTGCATAACACGACCAACTTCAAGTTGGTACTACAGCATTTCCAACACTAGGGAGTGACGTGCGCTGCCCTGTCATCCATGTCCTCGGGTTTTGAACATGAGCCGAAATGCATCCCTGTTTCAGCCCGTTCCCCTTTTATTATCATCCCGTTTCGGACAGAGCGCCATAGCCATGTCCAACACCCGATGAGAAGAGTCGAGGAAAGTATATTACAAGATAAGCAGTCATGATTTCATGCGTAATCTGGGAAAACGTTAACCGTGTCCTGAATCGCGAATGCCAGGCTAGATGCCACTAGTCAGTCATCATAGATTGTAGCTCGATATGCTGGGATCTTGCATCAGGGGACGGGACGATCTGGTCGTGCAAACTGGGGAAGTGATAGACGCTTTGCTTTTTGTACTAGGCCTGAGACGCATCAAGTATCACAGAGATGATGAGCACAGTCCGACAGAAGGACAAACTGTTCTACGGACGAGAACCACGTAGTATGGGGGCAAGGTTATGTTGAAGATCCTGCATTCTCATTAGTTCAATATGTCTCATCAAATAGCAATATATGCTATTGTGAGAGCAACTGACAGAAGATTCATTGCAAGTGGCCCGCGTAGTTCCTGTGCCCCAATATCTATCAAGGTAAAATGCTAGAACTGCATTTCGATCCTCCAACTGGGTAATTACAGTACTGTACTACGTACATAGTCTGTCGGTTCCGAGCTCTGCCTGAACAGACCATGAGAGACCGAACATTATCGGGTTGCAGTTGAAGTCGGCCCTATGACAACTCCTTGCAGTAGAAGCCTTATGAGCTCCTCCTCTGACACAGGGGACATGCATTCTAAAAATGCTGTTAAAAGGACCCAATTCATCGGTCCGAGGCTTGGCATCCCACTCTTTTCGGGATGGTGGTCTGTGGTGAATTTTTGGGTTCACTGGCTGAAGCTGGGTGGCGAACCGGCGTCAAATCTTAAATTGTCTGAAGTCAGGTTCGAGCCGTGGTTTGCTCGCCGTGGGGGCTTGTGGCTTTGAGATGGAGGCCTTGAATGCAGTGGTGTTGCCATTTGGTACACTTTACCTAAGTTACGCCGGGCCTGTTGTGGAACGCTCCCACGATTATCCAAAATCTGTATTATTGAAAATTTGAAAATGGACAGGGTGACGTTGTTGAGTTGTTGGTTCTTCAAAGTTGCTAATGTCATGAAGCTCAACATTAAAGCAGATGCACGAGGTTGAGAGCCGTACTGGCATTGATTGGTTGCTGATATCAGAACATATTGTAAAGTCGGGGGCGTGTACAGTTTACATGAGTCAAGAGCCTGTGACTTTTAACTCAATAGCTGCCTGCAGTGAACCCTGTAGATTGTTAACCTTTGGAAATAAGGTCAAATTGCTGTCGATCAAATTCAACTCGGTCGGAGACAAATGACATTCGTACACGCAACGGGGATAAACAGCCTATCAAAGCTTGATCTGTACTGGTAAACACAGAATATTTGGTCCCCTATAATCAAGACATCAGCCAGGGTTGGAGTTCACAGATTCGGTTTCGCTTTGAAGCTGAAAATTCTTCATTCCGTGGTTGTCACTGGCTCTCGCTATCACCGGAGCTAGAGATCATGGGCCTGAGGCGGGAATGTTTTCGGGACTGAACAGCATACTATAGTAAGTATTGAATGGGAACGAGTCATCATCATCTCGCAAACCGCCAGCTCGGTTATGTTCAACCGTTGATGATGCTACATACCTGTTGCGGGGAAAGCTGATGCATTGACGGCATTTGTTCAAAAGCCGGTCGATGATATTCGCAAAGACCCATGTGCCCCATCAGACAACAAACTTAAATGCCAACCTGTTGGATCTGTGGAGCTGTTACACGAGAAACTTATTGAATCGGGATGATCTAGAACACGGTATAAACGATTGCGATGTGCTTAGAGTGTTGCTGGTGTTTGCCCATGCTTAGCAAGTCGTGGAACGTTGGTGAGTCTATTCCAAGAAGAGAGGATTAAAATCCACTTCTCAGGCGTCATTCTGAGAACACTCAAGGAACCTCGAGAGAACATGCGAAGAAATTTTGAATGCCCGTTTTAGAATCAAGCTTAGAACCCGTCAAACGACAAGGTTCCAGGTTCCTGACGCTGTGGGCAACGGTCGGTCTCTGTTGGCCGTTGACAGAGAACGTGGTAGTTTGCTTTTTGGATCCCGCTTTGATCCCCTGGCTTGTGTTTTTTTCGTCTGGTCCTGGCCTGGATATTAGCTAGGGGAAGTTGTCCGAGATGCAGCCATAGATTTGGTTGTTGAGACCAACAGACGCCATCGCCAAGGTTCGACTAGCGGAAAGAGCTAAGGCCCTTGATCACAGTGGAAGTGGCTCGCGGATCGTCATAACTTCGACAAGCTGTCTGCAGTGTTAGATTCTCTAGGTAGTTTCTGACTCTGTGGGCTTGAATCAGTCCTGAACGCCTCACCTTAAAGAGTCGGGTCGAATATAGGAGATTGGATGCTGAACTGGTATCTTCGTAAACTTTGCATGTTTCATTGCGGATGAGGAGTGGAAGTGGAGATGTAAGCTCACGCTCTCGTCTTTGAATGGACATGAAGGTTGAGTTGACATTAGCGTTAAGAAGCAACCAAGTACCTTACAACGGGAAGGAAGCACGGGGCACGGCCGCACGGCCGCACGGGCGACGGGCCACGGAGGAGAAGCCGGACCACGGGCAGGAAAGCACGGAGCACACAGAGGTCTTGCATCTGATAGGTTGGGGAACTTTGGGAGAGAAAGTGCACCTGTCTCCTGCCCAGCTAGGAAATCAGAGATTGCTTTAAGGACTTTCAGTGAAGCCAGTGTTTAGCACCTTCCAATGATAAAGCCAAGAGGAACAAAAGAACCTCACATAGCCCGACGAAAGGGAAGGAGGATAATGGTAATGTCGAATGAAGGACGAGAATCATGTGACCACATCTAACAGCATCTGTCTGTGCCTGCATTAAGGTCAAAGTCAAAGTCGAATCAAAGCACACCACCAAGATATTCATTCGTAGAGGCTATTCATCAGAGAGGCTCTAATACAGCATGCACAATTATTAGAACCCCTTTCATTCGTTCATTCACCAACACAAACTCTTCGGTTACCATTTGCGGAAACTGTACCCAGCTGGACAAGGGTCGACCACCAGGGAGACTTGTTGAGCCAGGGTCATCCGGGCCGTCCATGTTGATTCAGATCCATTCCCCATTTACCCAACCGGTTCACTGCTAGAACCCGCCCGCCATCTCGTCTCTTCGATGCACTATCTCACGATCCTGGAGAGGGCTTCTATCAAGGGCTGCAACATCACCCTCACCGTGGTACCACATGCGGAACCCTGTCATGCTTAAGAACTAGCAGAGGGTCCGAGCAAAGATTGACCTGAGATGATGATACTCCTTACTGCTTCTTGTATCCCGTAATTACGGATTATGATGAAGACTAGCGGTTCATTACACCCAGAGAAGAGTATTCTGTATGTCCAATGACGATTGATGTCTTCCACATGTTGGTATTGGTTCATTGTCAGAAACCATCAGAGCTATTGCTTCTTATGACATGGGCAACGATCATGCACCACCTTTCCGATTTCGCAACGCGGCTTTGCTTCCGACTAAATGATCGACCCTCAGAGACCCATCATATGCAGCAACGTTGAGGCTTTTTCTATGGTTTTTGACCACGAGGCTCTCGGATTCAGGCACAGACAAAGGAAAACCTTTTGAGCTTTTGATGGGGACGATCAATATAGTACCCAGTCACGAGCCACGCCTTATAATCGTCTTCAACATTTCCACACGCACACTCACTGCATCCACTGGTGCATCTACCGATACAGAAAAAATGGTCTAGGCCATTATTGACTGCTGCAACATACCTGAATTTCCTCTTCTTTCTTTTCTGGTATTGTCGATGCCCCTTGAGACACCCTCTTCGGGTCATCGAGGCTGGGCGCCACACATCGCACTTTGCCTCCCGGCGTTTCCAGACGCCAGGCTGCCACACCCTGTATGAGAGAAGCGGCATGGCGTCGTGGAAAGGATGTTGAATGTTCCGGGTCCTTCTTCATGTAAGCTTTTCCTTACCATTTCCGGTACCGTTTGGAGCAACTTTCTCTGACGGGTTCTTTATCCCAGATCTGTCGCTGAAGCCGCCACTAGATTTCGGGGACTGTGCAAGCGGGTGCTGATCTTGGCGGCGCTATACCGGCTTCTACCATTGTTCCATCTACTAGACATGTCAAAGTCTTGGTTGTTGCACCGAGACGATTGATGAGTTCCCTCAGCCTGGGCGCTGGAACTTCATTCCAATGATGGGGCCATGATGAATTATGCCATTACTTTGGGCAGTGATCCAGAACCACGGATGACTGCATTTGGCAGAAGTGAGACGTCTGTCTTTCAGCTTGTCACTGCAGTTAAAATTTGTTCCAAACGGTGATAGCATTAGAAAACAAGCTGCCGAACTTTGCAAAGTCCGTTCCTGGGCGTGGGACATCTGGAGTGAGTATAAGGGTCTGAAGGAAAGGGTGCAACAATCGATGCACGCTCATGCGGGTGTGCCCAGAAGGCCAGAGGCTGGAGTTGGTGTGGGTGGGCTTCTCTTGGAGACTCAGCTCATTGCTTTCGATTGGATATCAGCTGGGCTAGCCTGCTCTCCTCCGTAGGTAGCCATGAGTGTCATCCCCATCCCCATTCTATCTCCATGGACTCCTTGCTAGCTATGCCCCCAAATTTCCAACCCCGGCGCATGGATCCAGTTGATATTGATCGTATCGGATTCCTTGCAGTTCCAGAAAAAGAAATCAGTCCTGCCAGCAGCTTGCCGGGCTTCTTTCTCTCCTCTCCTCCTGTCTTTCTCTCTGTCTTTTTCGAGACCTTCTATCAACAGTACCTTGCAACTTTCCTATCCTTACACATAACCATTGACTCGGGTTTAGCTAGAGCGTCTTTGCTCCCTACCTTTCGTGCAACCACTGTCACTACCGATCAGCAGGTACATTCCCGTCTGTTCTTTCACAGTGCATAGAAGCTGTTTTCTGGCGCTCAGCACTTTACCTACTTCGACCGCCACTCGCCAATCTTTTTTTTCGGCCCTGTCCTGAACTGAAAGCTCTCCCCGCTCGTTCCCACGTAGGTGTCATTGCTAGCAGCAACCCTGACGATTCGTCGGTTGCGCATTACTGGACGGGACAGCTTCGACTCCAGGGTTGAACCAAACCTAACTAAGACTTGTTCATTAAGACAGCCAAATCGTTTGATCATCGCGGCATCGCCGAGCTGTATCGAACGCTATCAAGAATCTGTCCAGTGTTTCGTCTATCTTGACGTCTCTGCGGTGGTTTTGCCCTTTGTCCGAGCAACCTATCATCTGGCCGAGGTGCCAAGATAGACTCAGCGACAAATCTCGCCTTCCCCCCCCCCCCCCCCGCCTTCTAGAAGGTGGACGTGAGCCCTGAAAAGGCCCCTATGCGAGGCTGATCAGCAGCAACTATCCTAACCAGGGTGTCACCTAAAACCAACACTAACCTTAGTGACCGACCTCCCTAAAGCACTTGGCTTGGGGTTTGAGAAGCTTGTGGTCTTGGCCAGTCTAATTCAACCAACGACCAAGAAGAACCTGGCGGGCCCAGCTGCAAATCGCCGTTCTTGTCTGGGCTATTACCACATCCCATTCTGTCGTTCGTTCGCCAGCCAGTCTTCTCCTGTCACCTTTCTCTTTTCCAAGCGAGGCGACACTGCGCATTTCGCCTACCAACGCCGGGAAGCGCTTGAACAGACTTGAGCTGAGTTGAGCTGCGCTGCGCGACATCAACCCACTGACTCGTTTCTGCGCCCTGAGAATGAGGTAAGCTTTTTAAAGACTTCACTCTGCACAGTCCATTCCGCGCCCATTGATCGCATTGTATCGCATCACGTCGCAAGTGCCTGTCTCATGCACAGTATGGTACATACATATCTCTTTAAAGACCGGCTTCGATCCCGACTCCGCTACCACTCTCCATCGCCTCCTCCCCCGTTGTCTCTCGGCTTGTGATCCACAGTCTCGCATCCGCGATACCGTCTCTGTCTTCCCTTTACAAAGCTTTACCTTACCTCACCTCACCTTACTCTTTTCCTTTCCTGCGTTGTCGTCTCAAAGTTCAGCCGCTACACACCCTCATTTCCTCACACCCCCATCGGCCGGCCTTGTGTTCACCCTCCTACCTACTTCACTTTCCTTGCCTACATCTACCTTATGTACTCCATCCTTTAACCACCCCGTTTCCTTCCGTCCTCGCTTGTCGTTCGCTTCTCCTTGCATCTTCTGTTTCTTCAAGAGATAGCAAGCACTGTCGACCCTGATCCCGGCTCGTCTGTACATACATGACCCTTCTTGTCGACTAATCATCATGGCTACAGCGCACATGGCCGTCAGGACTGAGACCTTCCCACATTCGAATCCAATTCCCCATAGCGAGTCAATGGGTGCTCGCATTATTCCTATACCAACTCCCACGATCAAGATGTCTCCTCCAAGCAACGGCGATCCCATGGAGATCACATCACCTGCGCCATCTTCTACTGGCAACAACAACTCCGATTCCGATGCCAACGGCAAATCCAACGATCGACCCAAGAACTCTCCCGCTCCCGATTCCAACAATGTCGCAAACAATAATGCCAACAATTCCAATAGCATGCCTGCCCCCCCGCCGGCTGCTGCTGCTGTACACCAGCCTAAAATCGTACAGACGGCCTTCATTCATAAGCTCTACAAGTGAGACCGCGCCGCCAAGCTTTTCACGATAGCTTGCTAACATAGCGACAGCATGCTGGAAGATCCCAACATCCAACACTTGATTTCATGGTCTGCGAGCGCTGAAAGCTTCGTCATGTCGCCCTCGGCCGACTTTTCAAAAGTTCTCTCGTGCGTCTAACACATCCCTAAGCCGGCTACTTTGCACTCGACTAATGCCTTCTAGCCAATATTTCAAACATACCAATATCTCATCATTCGTGAGACAGCTGAACATGTACGGTTTTCACAAGGGTGAGTACTAGAGCATACACGACTTGCGAGTAATCGCATTGGCTAACTTGCGCAAAGAACGCGATGTTTTTCACACTGGAAACCCTGATACAACGCTCTGGGAATTCAAGCATGGCAACGGCAACTTCAAGCGTGGCGACCTAGTAGGTCTACGTGAGATCAAGCGCCGAGCCAGTCGACATGCTTTGGTGCACCGCGAGAGCAACTATACCAAACCTGCAGCATCCCAGCCAGGCACTCCAGCCGAGCCCGTACCTATCCCGCCAGACAGTGCTGATGCTCGACTACTCAATATTGAGCATACGCTCTTCGACTTGAGCAATCGCCTGCAGAGGAGCGAAGAGGCAGCTCATTATATGCATGTCAAGAGCCAAGCCGCAATGGACACTGTGAATCGACTTCTTCACTTCAATCAGGAGCTTTCAAGAACTATGCTGTCTCTTGTTCCGGCTGAGAGTCCCCTCTCTCGTGAAGGTGTGTATTACTATACGAAAGCGCGAACGATAGCTAACGTTGACTTTAGTCATTACTCTACAAGGCGAAATGCAAAGGCAGGCTGAAGTACTTCGGACACTCGACGAACCACCGCAGGAGGCACCTTATACTGGCCGACAACAGTATTTTGCGAATGTCGAGAACGCCCCAGTATCACCCAGACAGCTTGCCCAGGACGACCAGAGACGAGGCCCTGCTCTAGGCGTACCCCCCGCACGCGGCCAGAACTTTTATAAACCACCAGTTCCTTCCAACCTATCTAGCAGCACTCGCAGGCCATATGGATCCATCAGCGGAAGCAGTACTACGCAGTCGTCCCCGTTGCGTACAGGACCGCCTCCGCCTCCTCCTGCTCCTCATCCTCTATCCAATGTTGAGACTGTTCCTGGCCCCGGCAGTCTGGCCCGTCGTCACACTGCAGCCGACATTCGAGCCCATGGCTGGCAACCAGCCCCCTCTCCCTTCAGCACTGGCGCACCCTCTGGAGCATGGCCCCCCTCGCCTAGCCGTGTAGCCCCAGAAGACCAACGGATCAGAGACTCATTCTCAACATACTCGTTGCAAGCTGCGTCCCAAACACACCCTCACTCGCGCCCAACAACGCCTCCACCTCCATTTGCAAATGGCGCTGGCGGTGGCTCTGACACTTTTGGTGGTTGGTCATGGGGATCTGCTGGCCGTGAGAACAAGAACCTTGCCGTGAAAGATCACTCAGGTCCCCCTACTCGCAGGGGGAGCATGGCTCATATTCTCAACCCCAGTGACACTGCCGAGCGGTCAGACGAGGATGAGGACCCCCGAGGTGACGACGACAGGAAGCGAAAGCGAATGCAGTAAATCACACGTTTAACCCTGATTTTACTGTGGAACATTGAAACCCAAACTATGGATGACCAACTTTCAACACATCATATATATGTACATACGCATACACGGGCTCTGTACATGGATACTTACTTTCCCTTCATCGGCATTACATTAGGCCATAAACATACTTGGATTTTGATGGCGAAGAGACGCCTATTTGGAGTATAGGACATCGGATAGCTGGCTAGAATACGGTCACGGAGGCTTTCTTCATTACGAGCGCAAAGCATAGCAGGATACCATGGCGGGCATTTTGTTTAATCCCATGGAAATCATTAGTCCTCGCCAAAAGGAAGGGGGCAGATTTCGGCACACCTAAGAGATGGAAGTTGTATTCTTGGGAGGAGTTGCATGGTTGGTGCATGTATATACCATCAGAAGACAATACTATTCTAAGCAAGTTAAATTTGATCTTGTGGTCTTCCTTTTCTGCGATATGATGTTGTCAAGTTTATGTCTATTGGGTGGGTATCTTGATGTAAAACTGATATAAATGTTCTTATGCCTCTGCCTCCACCTCTGCCACCGCATTTGCTGTCTTTTGCTTCTTCTTTTTCTTGTTCTTCTTCTTCCGCTTCTTTTCTGTCTGCCCATCGCCCAAACTAGGTTCATCCTGTGTTGCAGCGTCTTTCATATTCACACCCACCTCGGCCTCTTCCCCGTTTTCGTTCTTCTCCTTATCCTCAGGTGTAACAGGAGCAGTCTGATTCTCAGACTCCGGCTCCGGTTCATCCTCCTTCTCCTTCCGAGGCCTCTTTCTTTTCCCTAGCGCACTTCGTCCAGCTTCATCCTCACTCTCACTCTCCTCAATCTTCTTCTTGAGATTGCCCTTGGCATCTTTGTTCAGTCTGCCCCTTAACATCCTCTCCTCTTTTGAGTTTGCAAACTTCTGAACGTCTTTCTTCTCAGGAACATAGCCTAATCCTTCGTTTGGTCGTGCGCCACGGGTAAGATCGTCATCGTTGTCGTCTGGTAGAGTGCGTCGCTTGCGCGGTAAATCACGTGTAAGGGGCATAGATTTCCCGATGGATGTCCTGGAGGCGAGGAGGAGTGAAAGAGTGTTTGCGATTGCATCGCGGTTTGTTGCGACTGGGAAAGGTGGAGGAGGTTCGGGTGCCATTGTGTGTTTTGTCGCGATGAGTTGTGGTAATGCTGATGTGCGCAATCTGAAGAAGGCCGCGTAGACAAATCCCTCGAAGTAATTAGGGACGTCGCGAGAGGTTATTTATTGTTGCTTCAGTTGACCAGGATCGGTGGTGTTTGGGTTTGGTGGAGAGTATCTGGCAGGATAATTTCACATGCGACAAAAATGCGCATGCTTATCTTATCACTGCTGTCCCCGATCAGAACTTCGACTTCTGCAACGATGACATGAACAGTGACATGAGAGTTCATATAGTAACATACATGAATTGAAGAACAAATATTTGAAAATTTTACTATCTTATATGATGAGTTTAGAAGATATATACTAGAATTGACTAAAATTAGGAAATTACACAATCTCTATCCTATAATCTGTTATAATGCTTTTGGTCATAAATTCGTTAACATTAAGAGCCATACCAATCGCCGCGCCCCCAAAAACAAGTCATTAGTAGCTAGCCGTCGTATCTCTCAAGCTGAGAACGTAAGGTAGGTCTGTTGAGTCGTGCCGTGTCGCAAGTCGAATAACAGACCCTGAGCTAGCTGATGACTTGGATCGAAGGCTGGAGGTTGATGGTTGGCTCATGGGGTAATGACGCCGACTTCTCGCAAGACTATTATTGCTAAGTCTTCTTGATATGGACCCTGGCCCTGTAAATCCGCTCCTCACGCTGTTAGGAGCAGTCTCATAAACGTTCCAGGTATTCGTGGATGGCTGGCGCCGTATCCGAGTAGAGCTACTGATGCTAGCGTCTGAGGGAGCCAAATTACTGCGAGACGTGCCCAGCCTTGATCTAGCATCGTCATCGTCATCGGTAGAGGGTGAAGATGTATTATCTTGCTCGTCCAGAATATCTGGATCCAGGGGTTCCATGGCGCGAAGAATCTCGGCAAAAAGATGCATAAGCTCCTTAAACTGAGCATTGGAAATTGGTCGATTCGAGAAGCGTGCGTATTCGTAGTGTGAGAGAAATTCGACAGTGGTTGAATCCATCTCGATCACCCCCAAATCAGCCAGGTGAACTATGTAATCGCGCAGGCTCATGTTGGCGGTTCGCTGCAGAAGAGCTACTGCGTCTGGATCTAGCAAAGGCGGGTTCGTATCGGAGGTCGGGTCAGGAGGCGCAAGAGTCAAAGCTTTGCCCTCGATCAAATTTGGTAATTCAGAGAAGACAGTGGTGTACTCGAGGTTCGGTAAATCCGGAGCGTTGGGTGAGGACCATCCATAATGTTCAATATCTCCCCAAACAGGCTGTTTACGCGGGATCACCACCACCAATTCCTCCGCTGGACCACTAGGACCATCAAAACCCAGCTTAACCCTTGTTTCGACAGTTTCATCATCCGGTGCCGTGTTGTCTGTTTGAAGCCTGGGGCGCGATTCGTATGCGATCGATGCACTTCGCCCAAGGCCCAGTGCAATTACTTTATAGACAGTCGAGCGAAGGTCCCCCTTCTCGATTGGTACCCATCCTTTCGGTATCGACCCAAGATCGGTCTTGTTGATATATAGACGGGTGATAAAGACGAAGGAAATGATGACAATGGCGAGAACGTAGGCGGCGATCACGATCCAGATGTTGTAGAGCTGTCGATTTTGGAACGAGCGATGAATGGCGTCGGCAGGGGTAGCTATTAGCAGCCCTAGAAGACAGACGTAGAGAAGAAGGTAGAGAGTTCGATACACGATAGCGGCGACAAGCCGTCGATGAGAAACGGGAGGCGCCATATTCCTAGTCCATGGGCACAAGAAAGCCGCAGTTGCGAATGCGCTGCGATGCAATCAAAGGCCGTTATGACCGGGATCGTGAGTATAATAAGAAAAGGGATGCAGAGTGGGACATGACTAGGTTAAAGAAGAAGTTGAACGAGTGAATGAAGATACTACAGTGAGTAAATGGTGTCACTGTAGTTGTTGAGGGGGTTGGGCTGAGAATGGCATGTCCAAAAGGTGGACCTATTTGGTGATGATGCGATTGATGTAACCAGAGTTGGACAGAAAGAGGTTGGCTGTTGGTGAGGACCCTTGAGGCTACAGTACGTTCTGAGAACGGGTACTGTGTTTTGATACGGTACCACTGCGGCCCCACTATCTTTAATTGCACTGCATTAGCTTCCTTCAACATGTGAAGCTCCTGTAATACATACTATGAATAGTTGCTCAATTACTTTTCTCGTGTTCCAAATTGTTACAATGGTATCATAATACATTAATATCCTATCCGATATGCCTGTGTTTTACATCCTTTAACCTATCGCGCCACTTCTGCCATCTCAGACTTCTTTGCAGTCGCAGAAGCCTCCTTTGCCAAGCGAATATCAGTCAGCGTCAGTCTAAGGTCGCTGCTATAAGGCTCGAACTTGGCCAGCACTTGTTGCAGAGCAGTCTTCAAAGCGTCCACAACTTCTTCCACCTCGGGGCTGATCCTCTTGCCCGATACATCAGTCCAGTGCAATGGGAACTGCAGGCGGAAGGCCTCCAGTTTCTTGATAACAGATGTGAAAGTTCGGATAATGCTTGGCACATCTCTATGCACGTTGCCAAACTGGTCTTCTGCCAAGCTGTGCACCGAGAGATGGTGAAGCACGTTGATCGCGTTGATGCAAAGCGTAGGCTCAGCGTATGGGGTGCCCAGCACCGCAGCAGCAAATTGGGTTCGGAAATCTTGCTGGAAAAGGGCAGCCACAGCGTCTACCTCCATCATTTGGAGAGTCCAGTTTTCAAACTGGCTCTTTATGTGATCGGGAGCAACAAGTTCCTGCTGCTCCTTCGTCAAGACCCGGTCCTTGGCCTCTTTCCATGTCTTCTTCGCGATGGGGCTCAACTTGGACACAGGAGACTCGCCAGGGGATCGTGCGACCTGTCCTAATCGCTTCTCAACCTCATTTAGCATCGTCTTGGAAGCCCCTCGGCTGTTAAAGATGGGATCGTCGCGAAGAGGAGCAGATACTCGCTGCTTGGGTTCCGGGGCAGGCGCAGCGGGTGATGCATCGGGAACTTTGCCGTAGGTATCAATTCGCGTCTCGATGGACTTAACCACTTCCATACAGATGGCGTAAACCTGGGACCACATAGGTCCATCCTTACGATCGATGTCTTCGTAGATAGCCTGTCGACGGGTCTCAAAACCTTGCGCAATGATTGCAAGCTCCCACATCGCGAATGCCTAGATACGATTAGGAATGACCGCTAAAAGCGCGTATGTGACAAATCTCACCTTAATAGAGAGTTTCTTGCTCTTGAGACCGTTCAAAAGACTGCCATTGGGGTCCTTGGACTCAGAGGTAAGAGGCTTGCCGTTCTTCAGGGGCTCCTTGACCATGAATTTCGAGAAAGCAAAGTTACCAATATTCCAGATCAGATGCACGAAAGTTCCAGCCTCAATACATCTGAACAGAAGCCAAAGATCGCTCGGCCAACTAGGCGGTAGCATGTTGGTCTTTGGCAGGTTATAGAAGATGCGCAAGAACATAAGCGCCCATCCCCAGATGAAAGATCGCAGTATAGCGTAGTATAGAATCAAGGCGACAGGCAGTGCACTTGCAGCGCCGGAAAGAGAAGCGCCAAATGTTGCTGGGACTGCAGTAATCAGCAGCTTCAACGCGTCAGGCTGCTTCTCGTTCTTGCCCTTTGACGATGCGAGGACCAGACGATCGGTGTCCTTTCGGTAATGGTTGAAGGTTTGCGTAATGGCACACGAGACCATATACGCAAGCAAGAAGAGCGGCCTCTCGTTCAGTCTCGCACGGTCACCACTGAAGTAAGTGATCCAAGAGAGGTTTGCCGGCTTGGGCATTGCCCATAGGAACACATGGCTGAACAACAGGCTGGAGAAGCCATACCAAAACAAGGTCTCGTATGTCTGAAGCTGGGTAATGGTGTTGCGGAGGGTCTGGAAGCCGGGGCCAGTGGTTCGTAGGCCAACGTGGTAGTTTGCTATTCGGAGAACGACGATCGCAAGGCCACATGTGAAGATGAAGGCGGTTCGTACGCCAACAGGGCCAATGGGAAACCAAGACCAAAAGTCTAAACAATGAGATTTAGTGTTGGCGCAAATGAAAACTCAAATGAATTCGACTTACAAGATTTCCAGCCGTCCAGGACGACCGCTAGCAAATAGGACACAAGCAGCAAAACAGTCGCCGTAGAAGTGAATCGTCTGTGAAGAGCAGGCTGCAGAAAGTCCTTGTAAGGCGCTTTTCTAACCGTGGTAGGCGCCATCTTGACAGCGCATCCCCGGGATAAAGAAGAGCTCGAGACGTTGTTGGGCGATGATGTCGTGGGTTGATTCAAAGAGAGACTAACAATGGAAGCTCTAAGCTCAAGCACCCCAAGTAAATAACAAAAATCTCCAAGAAGCAACGACTCGCCCGCAGAAACGCTAAGGTCCAAGCTCCGTCATTATCTGTCACGTGCTGATAGCACCAGGTCCGGCCCCGGTCTGGTTGGCTATCTACCTTAGACTGAGACGCATATCGAATTACGTATGTTTGCAGGGCACTGTAACTACTAATGAAACCTCAGCCACCTTCTACTGGAACAAGGCAGCAGGTCTGGTGTCTTGTTCCCTCTTGTTCCTCAACGTCATATTGAGGGAATAAGTTGGTGGTCAAAATAGCGAATTTGACGCTTGCGTGCGCATTCATTTTCTTGTCTTGCATCAACAAAAACTAGCCATCTTCTTTAGTTAGCGACTCTGTGGTTGTAGACTGGGCGACCTTGAGGAGCAAGAAAACTTTAGACTATAGAAGAGGATGCCAAAATAAACTCAGTAAAGAGTCCCCTGAGCTTAGGCTGAGTTACCTAAATATTTTTATCGCTTGGGGTCAAAGTCCTAAGATCTTTTGTTACCTCCTCTAAGGTACTTACTTACCTTAGACCAGACTTTCTGTCTGTCCACTTTTCCGGCGCTAGTAGGAGGAAGGTCCGGCTGAAGTCCATGGTCAAGGCCCGACCTACATCCACGCGACTCTTCCTTTCGACCTTACATCATCAACCACAATCATGTCGTACGATCTCGAATCCGGGCGCCGCGGCGGCGGCTACAGTGACGACCCTGCTTTCCAAGAACTTCAATACGATCTCAAGAGCAAGCTTCAAACCCTCCTCAGCAGCAATCGAAAGCTCGCCAACGATGTTAATGTCTTGGGAACACGAAAGGATACCCCGCGCCTGCGGGAACGAGTCCACAACAGCATGGATAAGACGAGAGATATGTGCAGAGAGATCGGCGAGGGCGTCAAGCGTCTTCAAACTTGGGAAGAATTGACAGTATGAATACGTCTCGAATTCATTGTCGCATACTAATCCTATCCAGAAACAACAAAAGTACGAGCAAACAAAGGTCTCGAGCGACTTCCAAGCAGCGCTCCAAGAATTCCAAAGCCTTCAGCGAAAAGCCCTCGAAAAAGAGCGCGCATCCGTTACCGCCGCCCGTGCGGCACAGGAGGGCGAACACGCCGAAGGTCCCCAGTCTGGCAATCAGCTTGAGCAACTACAGCAACAAGAACAAGCCTCCCAGCTCGCACCCCAAGACGAGGTCGACTTCCAGGAAGCCCTGATCATTGAGCGCGAGGAGGAGATCCGCAACATTGAGCAGGGTGTCGGCGACTTGAACGTTCTCTTCCGACAAGTGGCGCAAATCGTCAATGAGCAGGGAGAGCAGCTTGGAACGATCGCAGACAATGTTGAGAACGTCCGCGACGACACGCGGCAAGCTGATGTTGAGAACCGACAGGCCGCGCGGTATCAGAAGGCAGCCCGCAACAAGAGCTGCTGCCTGTTGCTGATCCTCGCCGTCATTTTGACCATTGTTATTCTGGCTATTGTCCTTGACTAGATTATTAGAGCGCAGCGTCTGACGATTATGAGTGGCCCGTTCTTGTTCTTGAGGCGTCTATCGGAGTTTCCTAGGTATACATCGAATTTTTCCCATGCGTCTACATTGGTAGTTACAGATAAACGCTTAATCAATTGTTCTTTTTGCCTGATGTCTTTGCAATCCGTGATTGGTCTTTCAGCACGAAAGGAAATTCTTTCAACGGCTTAGGTGCCCTCAGGTCTGGCATCTTTGGTGGAACAAGACGTTGTATAAAGAAGTCATTGACGCGGGTAAGCGCAAATGATGTACCCCAGTAAAGGAAGATAGCGCTTGGCAAATCGGCAAAGAGGAGTGGCAGTAGGGGCATCATAAGCATGACACGGCCCAGAAGTTGTTGTAGCCTGGAAGTGACCATCATCTTGGAGCCTGGAGGCTGGATTCGCAACAGTGCCTGGAGTTGTTCCTTGGGCATCCTCGCCCATATACTCCATACCAGAATACACGAACAGATGATAGGCAGCCCGTAATAAGGGTCCGCAGACGCTAGATCGGTGAACCAGAATAAGCCTCCGTCCACCAAGGACTGGTCAAACATGCTGCTCGAAGGCCCTAGACCAGTATTGCCTAGGCCAATCTTGTGACTGATCCAACCCAGGGGTGCACCACATTTCCTTCGTAGAGCCTCAGATATGGTGACAAAGGGAACCATTCCAAGTAAAGGTGCCATACTTTTCCAGCGCTGGAGACCCCAGGTCTTTAATATTCTCCGTCTTGACTTTTCAACAGCACCTGCAATGCGAAGCGATCTCACACGCTCTGGAAGCTCAGGGTCGTTTAAGCTCCTATCCATCATATGCCGACGAGTCCAAGCTGTGATAAGAGGATCCAATGGTTTTCTGGCCTCCCGCAAACGAGCGCTGTATAGTTGAAGAGGGAATCGGATGGTTGCGTTGACGCCCACGGCAAGTAGTGGGATGGCCACATACCATGGCACGCCAGCGCTATGAGCCCAGCTGAGGGCATCGGCTGTGACGGTGACTGTTTCACCGAGCGCAGAAGCGACGGAGAAGTTTCTGCGGTTGGCGTATGGCGATGAAGTTAATGAGCTGAGAATGGCTGGATGTGAGATGCGGCGTGTTGTGTTGATGGCTGAGAGTGATGGCCTAGCATGAGGCGATATGGAACGAGCAGTTCGTCTCAGAAGGGACATTTTGGCCCATAGTACCGTGGTTGTGGGTGCAATTGAGGATTTGGTGATGGTATGAGCGAGTCTTGAAAGTCCATGAGATGAAGTCGAACCGGGGCTATTTTTCTGTATTCCCAGCCAATCAGCGCTAACGCTTCACCCGTTGAATAGATCTTGATAGTCATCGTATAACCACAGTACGGGACAATAGTCAGATGCAATATATTCACTAGTACTCTATCTCTCCAAGTATGATCAAATGATCAGTACTAGTCTTAGCTTACAGAGTCCGTTTCTGTAGCATGATTCAATAACTCTTGAAAGTCTTGAGGATGAACTTTGCTTATCCACTTATACACTACACTCTTACTCAGCTTGGATAGTTATAGCAAATATCGTTATAAGTTAATAAAAGAGCCCATAGAATAGCCAGGCTTCATCATTGATGACAAAATATATAAGTACTTGTGGATTTATATGAAAAGTTCTTCAAACCAGAATAAATTTGCCTTGAGTGAGAAGACGTGGCCTTATGATTGAATAAGGAAGTCCCTTGACCATAATTATTCCGTTGAACGCAGGACGAGCCCTGGTTGGTCCGTTCAATCCTTGATCTCGTATTCTTAAAAAGTTATGTACTTTCTAACTTTCTGGAGCCTGTAAATACCCTCAAAGGGAGCAGAGCTATCATAAGTTCTCTCCGCGGACTACCGAATCTAAAGAAGGGGTCCAGTGACAAGGGTCAGGAGTCTTCAACCCCCTGTAGCTTGCGCAGCTACGGTGGGTCAGATACTGAGCTTTGGAGCTTACAGCAGCATCCAAAAGCTTAGCTTCGGTTCCTCTGGCGGTGTCGGTGCCTATCCCCCACCAAGGGAACCTCAACTTTTTGAGACCTGGTCTGGCCAGCTGGAGACGTCACACTATCATCCCACACACTCTCGTTCATGGTAGCCTTTCGCTACCAAAAGCTGACAACCTCACGCCCCTTAGGCCATATAAATATCGCTGGTCGAAGCATCTTCTTTACGTGTCTTTCATAGCTTCTCGATTCCCCTGCGGCTCCCCCGAACAGCCTTCCCGACACTACCGTCTCCTGACCGCGAAATACCACCACGACGATGGCGTCCCTAGCGACGCTTGTGCCTCTGGCCATTCTGATAGCTCTACCTCTAATAGGCGGACTTCTACGACGGGTCCTAGGATGGTCGCTTCGAAAACGAACAGAAGGTCGTCACGCACATCTTCTGGCCCTCATGACACAGGAGGATAAAGATGCCCGCGCCAAGGACCCTCAAGGCACCGCAGCGACGAAACTCGTATTCGACGTCGACGATAATCTTCAAAGCACTCTGAGCTCGCAAAAGGATTGGTCTGGGATCGTTGGTTTCTTCCATCCGTTCTGGTATGTTATGATATAAGCTACCGTGGGACCTAGCTAATATGAGGAAGCAATGATGGAGGTGGCGGAGAGCGAGTGCTCTGGGCCGCGATTCGGGCCACACAAGATCGTTGGCCGAAAGCCAAATGTGTGGTGTACACAGGCGATCACAATGTGACAAAAGATGCGATCCTGAATCGAGTCAAGGTATACGGCCTGGAAACTTGACCCTGGGGCCACGACATGCTTACACTGTGTTAAGACGAGATTCAATATTGAGCTTCATGCTCCTACGATAACGTTCCTCTACCTTTCCAAGCGGGACTGGGTACTCCCCTCGACATGGCCTCACTTTACGCTGCTGGGCCAATCAATCGGCTCGGTCGTTTTGGCTTGGGATGCATTCTCACTACTGGTCCCGGACGTCTTTGTCGACACGATGGGCTACGCCTTCGCTCTCGGTCTATGCAAGTTTCTCTTCCCCAAGGTTCCGACAGGGGCATATGTGCACTATCCTACGATTTCTACCGACATGCTCGACTCGCTCGATTCAACGGCTGCCTCGGGAACTCAGGGCGCGCATGCTGGTAAGGGTGCTGGAGCTCAGGGTTTCGCCAAGAAGAATTACTGGAAACTTTTTGCCCTTCTGTACTCCTGGGTCGGCTCAACGGTTGATATTGTCATGACGAACTCGACCTGGACTCAAGGTCACATCAAGAGCCTATGGGGCCCCTATCGCAAACAGAAGAGCAAGACAGATCCGATCGCAGTTGTCTACCCTCCCACCGCTGTCCGAGAAATGGAGCGCGAGGTCGAAGTTTCCGAAGAAAGTGAGAAGCGACGAGAAAAAGCCATTGTCTACCTCGCCCAGTTTCGACCAGAAAAGAACCACCAGCTCATCATGCGGTCATTCGCTACCTTCCTTAAGACCAAGAGCGAGGCATCCAAGGGAGCACAGCTGATTCTCATCGGAAGCGTGCGAGACGACTCAGACTCAAAGCGTGTTTACGAGCTGCGACTTCTTGCCAATGAGCTTGGCATCAAAGACAGTGTCAAGTTCCACCTCGATGCCCCATGGTCAGATGTTCTGGACTGGTTAAGAAGAGCATCTGTGGGTGTCAACGGCATGTGGAATGAGCACTTCGGAATTGGTGTCGTTGAATACCAAGCTGCTGGACTCATTTCCGTGGTTCACGACAGTGCTGGGCCCAAATTCGATATCGTCGTGCCAATCGATGGCCAGCCAACTGGTACGCTGACTGAAGATGCTATGTTGAGATCTTGCTAACCAATGGAATAGGTTTTCACGCAACGACAGAAGAAGAATTCGCAGAGGGCTACGAGAAGGCTTTGTCACTACCAGATCCTCTGGCAGTTCGCCTGCGTGCACGAGAGTCGGCAAAGAGATTCACCGAGGAGGAGTTTGCAAGGAAGTGGACGGTTCAGATGGCACGTTTGGTGTCACTTGCGAAACAAAAAGCGTAGAATTTTTGGAGATAGACTAAGGATACCCCTTTTCTAAGATTCTAGCGAGAGAAGTGACAGCTTAGAGAAATTAATATAGCAAGCACAAGGCTTGGGCATGATCTAGTCAATGTTCTATATTGTATGTTGTGTCCCTCTAGAAGTGTTGATCGCTCAATCAGGAATATAACCATGGATGCTTCCATCTCTTCCTGTGCTGTCTACAATGTCACACCGCCACTGTTCTTCTGTCTAGGCTCAGGCGCAACCTCAAAAACACCAGCCGAATCCCTCGTCAACGCTTGAACTGTACTGAGTCCCTCATCGACCCAAGTGATATTATGCCCTCGCTCTACCAGCGATGGAACATCGTATGAACTGAACTTCTTCTCCACGAGTAGTGTATTCGGGATGAGCTGGTTGTGAACACGGGGCTCACGAACAGCATCCTTGATAGGCCGTGATGGAGATGTCAATACACGCCAAGCGACTTGAGTCGTAGCGGAGATAATACGTGAGCCCCCTGCGGCTCCGATGACGGCGAAGAGAGAACCGTCTTTGTTGGATACGATGAGAGGTGTGCATGAGGACAGGGGGCGCTTGTTTGGACGAATGAAGTTCGCTTCTGCTGGGGCGAAGCCAAACTCGTTAGGAACTCCTGGAATAGAGAAGTCATTCATTTCGTTGTTTCTGTAATGGTCAGTCTATGGGTGTAGAGACTCAAGAGATTAGAAACACTTACAGAATCACACCAGTGAGGGGATCCATGAGGAAAGATCCAAAGATGAGGTTGACGGTGGTTGTCAGCGACACAGCCATACCATCGCCATCTGCAGTGACGACGTGTGAAGTTCCATGCCCATCAGATGAGTAGATTCCATCGGGATCATACTTCTCAATCTTCTGGGTCTTCCGAGGATCGATCTTGCGCCGGATCTTCTCCGCCGTTGTGGCATTGAGCATCTCGTGTTCAAGCTCAGGAACGCCATCTACAAAGTCAGGATCGCCAAGATGCAGACGAGCTCCGTATGCGAATTTCATGGCTTCAATGTAGATGTGCAGTGTTGTATTGCGATCCTCGTCTTGGTGCGTGTAGCCGTTCATGGTGTTCAGGATATTGAGTGACACGGCACCACCGGCTGGAGAGCTGATGCCGTAGACATCATAGCCTTTGTACTCAGTGTGAAGAACCTCTCGAGAAATTACATCGTAGTTCTTATAGTCATCCAGTGTGATGGTACCGTTTGTTTCTTGGATGGTCTTAACCATGCTCTCAGCTGTGCCGTGTTATCATCAACTCAATTCTCAGATGCAGGTTTGTCTTACCGAAAGCACCGGTATAGAAGGCATCAGCGCCATGCTCTGCGATAGCTTGAAGTGTACTGGGTTTCTTAGCTAGATTGAAACTTCACGTCGAACCTTAACCTACCGGGCGTATCGTCGTCTTGTCATCTTCTCTCCTTCAGGGATAAGCTGTCCTGCTACCTGTGAGCCCTGGTCCCAGCGTTGGCTGTGGAAAAACATACCATTTCGAGTAAAATCTTCTGCCCATGAGGGATCCTCAACAAAGAAGTTGTGATGGTCTCTGATGGTCTTTTCGATAAACCTTGCCATGTCGGCATTGACTGACATTTGTAAGCTTGTAACTCTTTGTCTCTCTACTCTCCTTGGGCTTACCTATGAATCCATCCTGAGCCACCTTAATAGCCCCTTGTAAAACTGTTTTCCATGGAAGACTCTGTTTACATTGTTAGCTTGTGGTAACTTTCAGTGTGTCTGTGGTTCATACGCCGTATTTCTTGTGTGCGTACTCAAACCCACGAACTTCGCCTGGCACACCAACAGAGAGTCCTCCGTAGATGCTGCCGTTCACATTTCCTTGGTACATGTCCTCAAATGCTGCTGCAGGGGCTGATTCTCTGAAGTCGATTGCTTCGTAGTTGCCCTTCTTGTCACGCACAATCATGAAACCACCACCTCCAATGCCGGAGTGGTACATGCCGATAACACCAACACAGAATGTCGTTCCGATCATGGCATCGACAGCATTGCCCTGGATAGTTGGTTAGTACGTTGATGTGTAGAATAGGTGAGAAGTCTTACACCTCGTGCTAATAAATCTCTCCCGATGTAGCTACATTCTTGAGCCTCTGAAGCAACAGCTCCTCTGGTACCAACGCTCGGAGAAAAGAACTCCTCAAATATGGGACTGGCTGATATCGAAATATAATGAATACTGGAGGCCAGTAACAGGAATGGGAGTTTCATCTTGGTGGTAAGGATGTGTTCTTTGGTATTAGAAATCAGTACGCGCCCTTCATGACTAGTCGTCTCAACAACTTTGTCACTGTAAGTCGTGACTAAGAAATGATAGTTTGATAAAAGTATCCAAACTCCACGTGAGGGCAAAAGAATAGGAAGTATTAATACAAAAAAGTAAGTGATAAAGTAAGAGACGAAGCGACCGCCTCCAAGTTGCTGTTGTTAGTTGATTTCTAAAGCAGATAATAGAAGTCGGTATTGACGTGATAAGGAACCCCCAGAATTTGGGAAGGCCGATTGTCGGAACACCCCGGTAGATGCATGGTCCCGGGCTCGTGAGGCGATCACCTGCCAGTCTAGGAAATAGGGTAACCAATCCCTATCATGATAGCGATAGCCAGGAGGGAGTGCTCCCTAAGTTTGACCCAGGGTGTCTATAAGTATAATCTATTTAAATAACGGTATATTCTATATAGGAACTTATTAGGCAATCGGATGAGAAACTTGGATCGTATGGACATCTTGCTTCGATTCCATTTATGGACAGAAGGGCCAATAGAAGTTGAGTCATATCTATCAATATTTATTAGATTTGACAACTTTAAAGGACATTGAATCTCAGCATGTCTTCATATTGTACTAATTATCTACTAAGATTTCGTTCATACTCTTTAATCTAATTCAAACTGCCCATCATAGAAATAATGTATACAATATACCAAGAGCACTCATGATGGGAAAGATACGAGTTACATGCTCTTCGGTAATCAACCAATCAGATCCTGCTTAAAAAAGCAGACAACTACGGCCCCACCGTCCCCGAATTCCAAGTGGGGCCTCTGCAAGAAACATTTCTTCGTCTCATTCCCATCTTTAAGAAATCTTTGTCAATATCAACATCTCAAACATTCACAATCTCCTCCCAAAATCTCACACCTCTCACAGAACAGTTGAATCCACCGAATTGTTCGTTCATGAGGCGTCTGAGACTCCCAAATTCGGCCACATTCATCAAACCCCGCCTGTACAATTTCCGTCCCTTCACAGTCATGGCGAGCGCACAAGCAGAAGCTGTGCCAAACGGCAACTCACAAGTAAACGGCAACGCTCAACAAGTTAACAAGCGGCCAAACCAGCAGAATAATCGCCAATGGAAGCAGAAGAAGACGAAGAGGGAAAAGAACATCACGGAGGGTTCATCTGAGGAAGTCCTCAAGTACGATATTCAGGCCCTTCTTAAAGAGCGAGCTGTTGAGTATGGTGAGGGAACAGAGTACGGCCCAGAAGTTCTCCCAGAGGAAGGCACTGAGACAGAAGTTGAGATTTTGGAGCTTTCGTCTACAGGTGACGGCCTTGGTATGAAGCCTGGTTCAAATCAGGTTTATGTTGTATCTTTCACAGTCCCTGGCGACACTGCAAAGGTCAAGGTCTTCCGTCATCTTCGCCGTGACACCCAAACCCTCGCCGACTTCGTCTCCATCACAAAGCCATCTCCTCTTCGCGACGACGCCCGGATCAGCTGCAAGTACTTCGCCTCATGCGGCGGCTGCCAATTTCAAATGCTCGAATACCCCGAGCAACTCAAACTCAAGAAGCGCATTGTCGAAAAGGCCTTCAAGAACTTCTCAAACCTCGACCCCAACATCGTCCCCGCTGTCCAGGATACAATGGGCAGTCCTCTGCAGTACAACTACCGCACCAAGCTCACGCCTCACTTTGATGGACCCCCTGGATTCCGTCCTAGCAAGAGAGGAAAGAACCCTAGGATTCCCTTCGAGAAGTGCCCTGATATTGGATTCATGCAAAAAGGTCGTCGAAAGGTTTTGGATATTGAGGATTGCCCTATTGGTACCAATGCTGTGCGTCTGGGTATGACACGAGAGCGTGAGCGCATGCAGAAAGAGTTTGCCAACTATCAGCGTGGTGCTACGATTCTTCTCCGAGAGAACACGAAGCGAGTCCCCAAGGACAGTGAAGAGCTCGAGGGTGAGGCAGAGCCCTATACCGTCCGCGTTGAGAATGAAGATACGGTTGATATCAAGTCTTGCATCACCGACTCCAAGGCCACCACAACAGAATACATCGGCCCTTACACCTTCACCAACCCAGCTGGCTCCTTCTTCCAGAACAACAACTCCATTCTTCCCTCCTTTACCGGCTACGTCCGAGACAACATTCTCCCTCCCGCCGGCACGGGCATGGACATCAAGTATCTAATCGACGCCTACTCAGGCTCTGGTCTCTTCACTGTTACTCTCGCCTCGCTCTTCCAGCACTCTATCGGTATCGACATTGCAGCTGACTCCATCGCCTACGCAAGTCGCAACGCCGCCCTCAACGGTATGGGAGAGGATCGCTGCAAGTTCATCGCCGCTGATGCTGGTGAACTATTCAAGAGCGTTACCTACAACCGTGACGAGACCGTTGTGGTTCTTGATCCTCCTCGTAAGGGCTGCGATGCAGACTTCTTAAACCAGCTACGAAAATTCGGTCCTCGACGAGTTCTGTATGTCAGCTGTAACGTGCATACACAGGCCAGAGATGTCGGTGTGCTCGTGCGTGGTGAAGGAGAGGGCGAGAGATACGAGATTGAGAGTCTTCGAGGATTTGATTTCTTTCCTCAGACAGGTCATGTAGAGGGCGTTGCTATTCTCAACAGGGTCGATACCACGGCATAAAATAAAAGTACACGGCGTTTGCTTGGGTTGGGTCAAAGAAAAACATGATAGATCTCATTGCCATTGCCATAGTCATAATCATTGTAAACTTGGAAACCCGCTGCCTCATTCCCCAACCTGAAAAATGCTGATCTGCGCCACCTTTACCACAATGTATATGTTCTTCGTCATTCTTCATTCATGATTGATCTCCTAACAGAGTCTTTAGGGCCTGAACTGTCAGTTCGACAACGTCATTGCTTCGACTCTTCTTAGCACATTCTGTAAGAGTTTCAACTCCACCCTCGCTCTTGACCTTCTCTCGTGCGAGCTCACCGACCTCGCCCTCTGCAGTGACCAAGTTGTGTACCACAAAGACTCCACGATGACGGATATCCTCGCTGTCATCGACGCACATTCCGAGGATAACTTTCACACCGCGGTCTCGGTTAATAATGCCCCGGATGACACCCTCAAAGTTGGTGAGTGAAGCTAAAGCACCACCAGCTGCACTTCGGGTTCCAGCATCAGGGGCATCAGCAAGGGCAAGGAGGACGTTAAGGCGATTACGGGCCTTGGAAGTCTCTTCAGCATAGAGTGCGATAGCCTCCGGTTGCTGCACCAGATTACAAACAAGCTCGACAGCAGCCTTGGAGACAAGAGTGTTGGAAGCCAGCATCTGTTCCTCGATCTGGTTCCATGCAGTATTAATGATACTGCGTCTGGTCGCATCGTCATCCATCGACGCGAGGTTGGTCAAGGCCATAAGTGCCTCGAAGGAAGGCAGCAGGTCCCGTGTCTGAGCAGCAGGGTCGGGTGGGATGATAGAGACAAGCGGTCTGACAGCAGCAATGATGGGGGTGTCACGGTTGCCACCAAAGACTAGTGCAGGGTTTGTGCTGATCAAGATGCGGGCCAGGGCTTGTGCTGCAAGACGACGTGAAGCAGCTTCAGTTTGAGGCAGGGACATCCATGATACCAGGAGAAGCTTGACCGCTCCTTGCTGAGCGAGCTTACCACGGAGAGTCCTGTCGACGGAAAGGGAGAAAATAATGGAGATAACCAGTCCCAGAGAAGCGGGCGAGCCATTCTTACTGTGGGTGACAAGGACCGGTGTGATACCTGCATCAAACACCAGCTTGCATCGCTTTGCGACATGCTCGTCGTCATTAAGGGGGTCGGGCCCGCCAAGCTTTCCGGCAGCATTGGCATATGCCTTGAGCTGGTTCATCTTCTTTTCTTCTTCGGTCAGGGTGGGCAGGTATTTCGTCAAATTGACAAAGATGCTTAAAGCTCCATAAGTAGTTGGTGATCTTGGCTGGGCTTCGCTAAGAGTCTTAACCAACTTCTGGAGCAACTCCGGGTTGCTGACAATAGACTCCTTGACTTTAGGTTGAAGGGAGGCGTATGCGAGACCTTCGATAGAGTGCTTTCGTCCGTGATCTTCATCTCTCAGTATCATCTTAGTGAACATTCCAGAGAGATCTTCGATACTAGTGACTGCAGGCTCGATTCGAGACTTGTTATCACCGGGTGCTGGTTTAGCGGGAACTGCCTTGAAAGCTGGGTCAGTCAGTGATAATACAGAGCTCATAGGCATCTTATCTCACCCTCAGCTTGGCCAAGATTACTGCGGCAAGATACTGAACCTGTTCAGAGTGCCGCCTCATTGAAATGGAGCCTCCATCGCTTTGAAGGTTTGGGTCCGCGTTCATGCTACGAACAGCCTCACTAAGGTCTTGGTCGACGATCTCCTCAAGCCACTCGATGCAGTACTTGTTGATAGCCTCGCGGCACAGTGAGTTCATGCAAGCAGCGTTGAGCATCTCCAAGCAGGCCGTCTCAACCTTACGGCTCTTCCATTTTCGTCGCATAAGTGTGCCGAGGCTGGGTAGGAAATCTTCGTTGAGAAACAGCTCGGCAGTGAGATCGGGAACAATGGGAAATGTCGCAGCGGCGACACAAAAGGCAACAATGTAATCATCATAAGTTCCCCTTCGCACACGGTCAAAGAAGAAAGTCGAGAGCTTCTTTGAACCGTCATCGCCGGCGGCTTTGAGATATGCGGATGTTGCGAGAGTGGCGTGGCCGCGTACTATCTCAGGCTGTCTCATATCAAGATAGCACAAAACGGTGTCGACACAGTCGCCATCGATAACCTTGCAAATAGTCTCACGGGACTTGTCCTTCTGACGGGCTTCATAGTCATCGTTGAGTAGCTTAGTCAGTTCATCGAGGTCGCGGCATGTCTCGTTATCTTCCTGTCCACCTTCCATGAGGCGCGCAAATACGATAAGGGTCTGGTCCTCCAGCGACTGGGCTGGAGGCGCCTGAGATGGAGCTTCTGTAGGTTCTGCCATGGAATATTGATTGAATGTGTAGGTGAGAGAGAAAGTAAGCAAGGTAGTAGTAAGTAAGAAGCCAGCTCTTGTTCTGTTTTTAAGGTGCTAGTTAAGGGAATAAAAGTGAGAGGCCGAAACTGGAACTTGTGATGTAAATCGTAACGCGCACAAGGCAAGAAGACCCGTCACGGCCTCCACCACGACCTCAACCTACCACAAGAGAGCTCTTGAGACTGGGCTTGAGCCACTAACGTTAGATCAAAGATCACTGACGCTTAATGCGTTTTAGTTGGTCATCACGTGGCCAGGCGTTTGAAGAGCTGAGCTAGGGGGTTTGCTGTAGGGGCCTATTGGTGCCAGCAGCCGCGCTCATATTCCATCATGACTGTGGATGACGTCTAACCAACAATCAGATTTTCTCTTCCATCTATGATAGCCGCGTTGAAGAATATCCCAAAAAAAACAAGGCTCTTTTAATCATTGCTGGAATTGGGTTTGGCGTTATTATTTTGGCGTTTTTGGATATCAACTGATCGTGCGATAAATGCAACGCTCGTACCCGTTCGCCTTCTTAACTCTGTCTTGAATCCAACAACTTGCGACAGCCCAGGACAGCCTCAGGCTATCGCAGCCTCAGTCCTCAAGTAAGGCCACCAAGGCAGCTCAACCACGCTTAAGGCCTCGTAGCCGCCTCCCAACCAACATCTTCGCAGCGTCACCTTTCTCAAAATGGACGCCGTCGATGTTTCAGAGCACTACGAGGTCGGCACCCGCGAAGAAACTCCCTCCCTCCTCACCATCGTCCTCGACACGAACCCTCGAGCCTGGGCATCGCTCAACAATGTTCTGCCCTTATCGCGTGCCATCGCAAACATTCTCGTTTTCGTCAACGCCCATCTCGCTTTCAGCAACGCAAACCAAGTTGCTCTTATCGCCGCCCACGTTGATCGCGCAGAATGGCTCTACCCAACACCTCCCAAACCCTCACGCGACGCCTCTGGCGATGTTGCCATGAATGATGCTTCGCAAACGCAAACACAAACCTCGGCAAACAAGTTTCCGCAGTTTGCACAGATTGAAGCTGCTGTTTTGGCTGCGATTCGAAAACTCATGGATCAGACAAAGGAGGAGGACCTCTCTGCGACGACGACACAAATCTCTGGGGCCTTGACACTGGCGCTATGTCATATCAATAAAGCTGCGCAGGCTCTTTGTGCGCCTACGGCCAATCTCGAGGACAGCCACAAAGGCTCGTCGAATACAGCCCCCCCAACTGTTCGAGGTCGAATCCTAGTCATTTCTGTGTCCGATTCAGAACCCTCGCAATACATTCCTACCATGAACGCTGTCTTCGCAGCTGGCCATACCCAAGTCGCCATCGATACTCTCTCTCTTACTGGCGAGCCAACTTTCCTACAACAGGCTTGCTACAACACCGGTGGCACATACCTCGCTGCTACACATCCCCAAGGACTACTGAACTACCTCATGTTCGGTCTTATCGCGGACACAGAAGCTCGTGAAGCTCTAATTGCCCCAACACACGACACCGTTGATTTCCGCGCCGCCTGTTTCTGTCACGGCCGAGTTGTGGACACAGGCTTCGTCTGCTCAATCTGCCTGAGCATCTTCTGTGAGACGCCAGAGAACTCGGAGTGTTTCACGTGTGGCACCAAACTATCTCTGGGTAACTATGGAGCGAAACCCGCTGTTGTACCAAGGAAGAAGAAAAAGAAGCGCAAGATCGTCAATGGAGGCGGTTCACGGGAAGAGACAGGGAGTGCGACAGGGACACCCCGCCCTTGATGATCCAGCAAATCGCTTGAAGAACGGGGGTGAAGAACGGGATATACCCTTGATGACCAATGTACATATAGTCTCACGGCGTTAAGGAAACTAGCCAGGCATGGCACTTATTGCAGATAATGCTACAGTCAACGCATACTTCTCTAAACTCCAAAGGTCTGTAGACATCAATATTGAAGTGACCAGAATAAACAGCGGGCGTAGGGTTATGATCTAAAGGCTATCACTTGAGTCTAATGCATAAGAGAATTCTAATCGACAATTGCACTTCTAGGTGCGAATAGCACAACCATTCAACAGCTTGAGCAGAAGCTCAGTTCACATCAGTATCGTCAATCCTATGCTAATCTCAGACAATGGTGCACCTTACTCAAACCTGACCTTACGTCCACCCTTGGCGATTTTGGCGCCATCAGAAAGTCTAGACATCGTGCAGACGGGCTGTCTTTCCGAACCTCCCATCGAAGCGAGGGCGAAGGAATCTGTGTTGTGGGCAAAGTAGAAATAGTAGCCTGACGGCGTTTTCTTGACCACCATGACACCAATGGCACCTGCTGAGTGGCAGTTCTTGACACCGGGATGCTTCATGAAGTCCTCAGCAATGAAAGACTCCATGATGGCATCTTCATCGTCGTCCTGAATGTTGGCACCTCCTTTTCCACGTCTTGTGCCATGGTAAATCCTCTCCGCACACCGCTGGGAGGCCATGGTAGTAGCCATATGCTCTCCTGTACCGCTCGTGACTGCAGCAACAGCAACCTGATCTTCGTCTTCGTCGTCGCAGGGAACAACGGCTGTGCCGACTCCCACAAGAGCAGCTGGTCCCAAGCGGCCTCGATGCTTCATTCCGATACCACCTGAAGATGAGCCAGCAGCAATTTGGCCTCGATCATCGATCGCAATGGCACCAATAGTGTCCGTAATTATATCCTCGTTAACAGACCCGAAATGAAAGCGGTCGTGTACAGCTCTTGAATGAGGCTGCGACTTTTCATCTGGACTGAGAGGTCGCTTAGCCCCACGAGGACCTGAGGAGCTTTGGCGATCAGGGCCACTGCCCCTGTTCCCAGTAGGAGTTCGCGGTGATGTATTGTCGGCCTTATTTGAGGCATGTGCATGGTGCTTATGGCGGATTGATGCGTTCTCCGGCAAGACAGGTTTAAAATCCTCGGCTAAAGAATTGGACTTTCGAGATAGACTAGGTCGAAATGGGGAGGACAATACACCCTGGGCACCGCTCACAACACCAGCATACGTCTGTGTCGCTCCCTCCTGAGGACTTCGGGTAAATGAAGAACGGCCGACTGTTGGAGGAGAGGTGCTTGTGGCTCGGAAGTAGCTTGTGGATGTTGGTTGATCTGGCGACGGCGCATCTTGGATCGGTGTGCCAGCGAAAGGAGAGTCAGGCTGTCCCTCGTTCCAAGTACCGGCAATAATAGCAGCCCGTTGATCCCGCGGAAGAGATGAATGTGGCTTTGTCGGCGATGCTGTATCGTACTGGCATGGGGGACATGTTGCGGTTGTATCAACAGTTTCAGGCAAAGCTTTGGGCTCTTGACCCTTCGACTCGGCTCGCTTCAAATCTTCCTGCCAACGCAGAAAACGGTCTCTAGCATTCTTCGAAACCATGTACTCATTGGGATATATCATTAGACCATGCTCCTCTGCGAAAGCCCTGGCGCCCTCTCCGACAAGAGCGTTTGGTGCAACCCGTCTCAGGCTCAATGGTTTATTGCTCATATCTAGAACGAGCTTGGCCAAGGATATCGGGTTTCGAATATCTGTGATATTGTCAGCAGGTTTACTTGCCTTGAGCAGTAGAAACGTACTGGGGACAGCACCACAGGCGCCGCTGCGGCCAAGATGATCCACTACGGTGGCATCACATTCTACAACACCATCTATGGAAAGATTGGAGCCGTATCCAGCGTTGGTGATTTCTTTATCCTCGAGGATTCTGAGAGCTGCTTCGACGGCCTCAGTTGCGCTGGCACCGGCTCTGAGGAATCTCATACCCATCTCAACCGCACTGTAGCTGTTAGCTCAAAAGCCCAGGGGGTAGGGGTCATTGGAGAGTATCTCACGCAACACAGGCCTGGAGGTGTATGTGCTCATTTTGATGACTATGAAACCCAGCCCCGGCGTGGATAAAGATAGCAGGCACTGCTTTGGTTCTGTGTGCCACTTTCATCACCCGATCGAAAGCGCCATCGGTTCCGTAAGGGGTGGATCCTGAGCTGAAGGAGGTATCATCATCGAGACTGTCTGACATCCTCGAGAGAAGTCATGAGGTAGCGAGTGTCTATTATTACAAGAGTATTGAGATGGTGTTGGTAGTTGTGAGAGAAGAAAAGAAAAGAAAAGAAAAGAAAAGCGGGCGTGGAGATGCCCCGGAAGTGATGTTGATTGAGGTTCAATGCTTTAGGAGAAAAGGTTGGAGATTGAACAATGATGCAGTTTTGGGCAGACCCGAGCCTTGAAGGAAAGGCAAAGCACTCTATAGATAAGGAAAGAACTAAAGGAGCTGTTGGGTTGAGGTTTGATCAGTCACTCCTTGCTTGATAGACTCGTTGTGTTAGACGAGAAGCAGCAATCGTCAGGTGGAAAACATACCTTATACAATCTCGAATCTCCAGTCACCACCTCATTATTGGTCACGTATAATTGCTACGAGTTTAACCATTTGAAGGCATCTCTGATCTATAGATCTATGAATCTATGAAAAAACCTAACATTCAAGAAGCCTCACAAGCCTCAAGACGAGCGTTCAATAGGGAAGCGACATTGAAGAAATACAGTTGCCTGTTCTCTCTCGTCAAAGAGGGCCTAGAAATGACGTCGCACATCAACTATAATTACAACTCACTTGAGACATCTAAACTCCAAGCTGAGACAGAGACCAAGTCAAAGGAAGCACTTGGGAGATTTATCGAGCTCGGGTTGACTTCTGAGAACTGATAGACAGACATTGCATTATTAGATACTAGATACAATTGATTTGTCAAACTTCGACATATAACTCTTTTTGTTGAACTCGCCAATTGTGTCTATAATTTTGTCACTGAGGCCTTCACCCCCCGGTTATCGCAACAACTAGGCCCACATCTCCAGCCATTCAGTGCCATGTCCCACTCAACGGCGGGGCACAGCACAGCCGCAGTTCAAGCCTCACCTCCATTCGAGCTGGGAGCTTTACAAGGCACGTAACGTAATCCTCTCCTAACGACCACCATCATCGCCGCACATTGCAATTCCTCACACGCGGCAGTTGTTTCCTCCTCTTCTCCATCTTCTCTCTTGCAGCTGTGCGCTTCACCACGCACTCTCGCCCATCATGGCTAACCAAACTCCCGCCGTTGTCATGGACAAGTACGTCTCACTTATCCCAGCCCCCGCACTGACGACGACAGCTAACCTCAGCTCACAGCGGCACGGGTTTCTCCAAGCTAGGTCTGTAACGACGGAATACGCCTCTGAGGCTATCATGTACTCTTGAGCTTCATGCTGATGCTCCAATCTAGGTTTCGCCGGTAACGATTCTCCCTCATTCGTCTTCCCGACCGCGATTGCGACAAAGGGGCCAACTGGCGGAGCTGGTGGTTCTGGTTCTGGACGACCGGCTGTTGCGAACAAGCCATCTTTTCTTACGGGAGGTGCTGGAGCTGGAGGCCATCTGAGCGGAAAGCGAGGTACCGAGGATCTCGACTTCTTTATTGGCGATGAGGCGATAGCAGCTTCTGGAGGACCTGGTAGGCAGCCATATGAGCTCCAATTCGTTGAATTCAGCTGACAAGTTTAGGATATGGTCTTCATTATCCGATCCGACACGGTCAAATAGAGAATTGGGTATGCTTGCCGACGAATCCGACATGACCTATAATTGACCGCCTTTAGGACCACATGGAACGATTCTGGTCAAACTCCATCTTCAAGTATCTACGCGTCGAGCCTGAGGACCATTACTTCCTCCTTACCGAGCCCGTGAGCATCTTGCGCCCCGAACGACGTCAAACATCAAACTAATATAGATAGCCTCTGAACCCGCCCGAGAACCGTGAGAATACCGCCGAGATCTTCTTCGAGTCCTTCAACTGCGCTGGAATGTACATTGCCGTCCAGGCCGTTCTTGCTCTTGCTGCTTCTTGGACATCTTCAAAGGTCCAGGATCGTTCTTTGACTGGTACGGTCATTGATTCCGGTGATGGTGTTACCCACGTCATTCCTGTTGCCGAGGGTTATGTCATTGGATCTTCTATCAAGTCAATTCCCATTGCCGGTCGAGATATCACCTACTTCGTTCAGTCCCTTCTACGAGACCGAGGCGAGCCCGATTCTTCGCTCAAGACGGCTCAGGAAATCAAGGAGGAGTACTGTTACGTGTGTCCCGATATTGTCAAGGAGTTCAGCAAGTATGACCGGGATCGCACTCGATTCGCTCAGCACGTTGTTTCGCACCCCAATGGCCGACAGGTTACCGTTGATGTCGGTTACGAGCGCTTCCTCGCCCCCGAGATCTTCTTCAACCCCGAGATTTACAGCTCCGACTTCTTGACTCCTCTGCCCGTGGTTGTCGACGGTGTCATTCAGCAATCGCCTATCGACGTCCGACGAGGTCTTTACAAGAACATTGTTCTTTCTGGTGGAAGCACATTGTACAAGGATTTCGGTCGCCGATTACAGCGAGACATTAAGCAGCTTGTAGATGCCAGAATTCGAGCCAGCGAGGTCCGCAGTGGTGGTGCTCGTAGTGGTGGTCTGGACGTGTCCGTTATCACTCATAAGCGACAGCGACACGGTCCTTGGTTCGGAGGCAGTCTCCTTGGTCAAACCCCTGAGTTCCGATCATACTGCCATACCAAGGCCGAGGTAAGACGAAATGTATACTGTATAGGGACCATGACTAACAACATCACAGTACCAAGAATATGGACCCAGCATTGTGCGAAGATTTGCTCTGCTTGGTGGACCCGGTGGCTCTTGATTTACGATATAGACGATCAAGAATCACTCTTCAATTGACTCCCCGGATCAACAGCAAGCTTCCTAGAAAGAGATATTCTTGGAGTACGCAGGAGAGAATAGTGGGCGTCTACTGTGGAGTGCAATGAAGAGGCGCTCATGGCGCAAAAATCTCAATTGACAATTATGCCTAAAGCGAAGCAACTACGAGTGGGAGACAAGAGATGGCGAGACGAGAAGAGACGAGATGGCGGCACGTGTTGAAGAGTTACATTAGTCGTTTTAAAATTCATATTTCCAAAAACATAACTCTTTTCCCCGCTCTGATACGTACCAACGTTATACTCTAATCGTTGAATGTATGATGCGTTGAACTCCGGCATGCCGGGAAGTCAAATATAGGCGTCGTCCAGTCTCTCATATCATAATTCACAAATTCAATTATTCCCTGCCATTGACGTTCCAGGCAAGAAAGAACTTCTGCAGCCAAGAAAACGAGCAGTTCGTAAAAGATACGCTTAGACGCTCTAGATGCTCTTCATAAGCAGTGGTCTGATTATTTGTTTCTGGACGGTTGATGATGTTCTAGAAGTGGCTTGGTGGCTGGCAGGGGTTCTTGCAGAGAGGGTTGCATCAGATTTGTAGTGGATGGAGGGGTAAATCGACCCCCGTCATGGTGATATTTTCATACATGATATTATCCCATCTCCTGGTAGACGATACGGTGTTAGTCACGATGAGACTACTTGGCCATTAGGCGTTTGGATGAACTCCGTGGGAATGGCTCCGTGGAAGTATGTGTTATTATCAATATGATATTTCATCTGCAAGCTGGTTAAGCATGTTCGAAATCAGCTGTCCATGTAAGTTCATCTGTTGTGATACATGGAGACCAGGTGAGACTCGATCATAACCACAACAGCTCAGAGAACTTTACAGGATTATTAAGCACGTTTTTCGAAGGGACTCACTATAATTTGAAGAGTTCTTCTCAAATAGAGGATCATGGTAGAAAATTGGGGGTTTTATTATCTCGAGCAATATTCATCCCTTTATAGACTATGTACAATAGGGCTTAAGTCGAACTCGAATAGCAAGCAGACATTGATGCAAGGTAGCATGGGGGAAATCGTTGCTCCTCGTCATTGGAAGAGTTTACTGAAGAGTGCTGTATTATTCATATCAATGTGCAGAGTGAAAGATGTCGCTTGGAAACCATTGTTGATCGAAATGTTCGTTCTGTTATTTGATGCTAAGGGAAATCATAAAACTCATAAACTAGGGCTATACACAAAGTGTAACCAAGATCATCCATCTGGCTACTTCGACAACACCCGCCAGAAAACCCAAATCAACTCCCGCCTGAACTCCTCTTTAGAGGGTAAACCCCTTTGCGCGATGGGTAGCCCTGTCTATCTCTTTTGGGGCGTGCTTTTGCTTTTTGGCGCACTGCCCAAGCGACAGCCGCGCGCTTATCGGCTGGTGTCGACGACGTAGCGACCGACAATTTGGCCAGCCTTCATGAGCTTGTAGACCTCGTTGAGCTCAGAGAGACCGACAGTCTTGAAGGGGACCTTGATGAGACCGCGGCGGAAGAAGTCAATGGCCTCAGCGGTATCAGCACGGTTGCCGACGTAAGATCCCTTGATGGAGATCATACGAACAACTGTGTCGAAGACGGGAGCAGAGAACTGAGCATTGGCGGGGAGACCAATGCAGACGACAGTACCGCGAGAGCGGATGTACTGGGTAGCCTGTTGGAAGGGCTTCTCGTTGGTAGCGACGAGGAGAGCAGCGTGAGGTCCGAGACCATCGGAGGTGGTAGCCTTGACATCAGCGACAAGGTTCTTGGTTGTGGTAAAGTCGACATAAGCAGTAGCTCCGAGCTCCTTGGTGAGCTTTCCCTTCTCCTCACCACCATCGATGGCAATGGCGTGGATACCCATGGCCTTGCAGTATTGGACAGCGATGGAACCGAGACCACCACCAGCACCGACGATGGCAATGGATTGACCGGCCTTGACACCGGACTCCTTAAGACCCTTGTAGACGGTGATACCGGCGCAGAGAATGGGGGAGATGGACTCGAGGTCGCACTCCTCAGGAATGCGAGCAACGTGGATAGCCTTGGCAATGGCGTACTGCTGGAAAGATCCGTCGACGGTGTAACCGGAGAGGAGAGCCTCGGCGCAGAGAGACTCATCGGCGTTCTGGCAGTAAGAGCAGCTCAGGCAAGAACCGTTGAGCCACTTGATACCGACCTTCTCGCCAATCTTGACATCCTTGACAAGGTCGCCGCGGGCAACGACAACACCAGCACCCTCGTGGCCACCGACAAGAGGCAGCTTGGTATCGAGGGGCCAGTCACCCTGCCAAGCGTGGAGATCAGTGTGGCAGACACCGGAGAACTTGACGTTGACGAGGACCTCATCGGGACCGGGCTTCTGGACGGGAATCTGCTTGTACTCGATAGCTGGGAGAGTGGGTTAGTATACAAGACTCGACAATGATCGAATTGTTAGGCGAATGGATGGTGGGGGAGCTGTGGATGGGTGGGACTCGGTAGAGAACCTGGGGTTGTATATGATATCAATGATATCAAGAGGTAGAAGAGGCAATTGGGGTTGTAGATTGTAGGAGATAGGATGACATACGACCGGCGGTCTTCTCGAAAACCTGAGCCCACTGCTTCTCGGGAATCTGGGGAGCGGCCATTTTGATTGTTGGAGTGGTTGGTTGGCTGTTTGGTTGGAAGGGTATCGAAAGGTTGTCGTGAAGACTGAAGAGTTGTTGAGAGTGTTGAAGAGTTGATTGATGATCTGGATGAGGATGGAGAAGAAAGAAACGACTTGAGACCGATGGGAGCAGAGTTTATATAGATGTTGGACGGGTGATCCAGAGTGAAGGGACTGATCTATGTGGTATGGTCTGCTCTGGTATGGTATGGTACGTATGGATAGTACTCGGGCCTAAAGCGTATGGTATGATGGGCCAACAGGGCAAGGATAGGCGTCTGGGTGTAGAAACTCAAGCCTCATCTTGGCGGTCGCGGGGGAGAGGGAGTGAGATTCTTGGTGTTGAAGGGTGTGAGAGCAGAGATGTGAGAGATCAGAGCAGATCAGACAAGAGTCTCTATTCTGGACTCGACTCGATTCTGACCAAGCCTAGGGGACGAGGTGAATCAACGAACAAGGGCCAAAGGGAGAGGCCACTTCGGCTGCACGGGGATCCGCATTTTGGAACATGCTCGTTGGACTATGGTTTTCGGGATGCGGCGAACGGTGAGTGCGATTGAGTGGCAGTATCGTCCTATGCGTTTGTTGCATGGGTTACTAGGTTGCGTGCGTGCGTGTGGGCGTGGGAGGAATAGTGTGTGTGAGAAACAGAGTGTAAGGTGAGGTTAGCTTAGCTCGGGTTGTTTGTAGTGGCGTCACCAGTGGATAGTGGACTGGACGAGTTAGGGATTAGGGAGCTTAGGCCCAGGGCAGGTCCCGTCTCTCTCTATCTTCCCTGTAGCTTCTGCCCCGTTCCCTACCTAGAGTTACGCATTGCTACAGTACCGACCGCGCCTTACCGTAGGTCTGATCTCCTCACGACGTGTTTCTGTCTGACCCCCCCCCCCCCCCCCCTCATGCCGGGCTTCAACTTCCCCTCAGCAGCGGGCAGCTCTAGTGAAAATCGATGACAGTACGGAATAGCGCCAATTTCAAACAGTCTTGTACCTCTGAGGGAAAAGGTACTTCCATCCGCAACTGCAGAGCTAGGAGTAGATCTGGGACCCAATGGGGTGTGCAGTAGGAAAACAATTATCCGTAGTCATGATGCTCTAGTCTAAGGTAGGTACTGTAATGTAAAAAATTAAAAAAGTTGTTACAGCAAGTGGTGATATTCTGGCGAGCATCCATCAAAAAAATTTCGGTCACCAAAAGTCAGATGCTTTTTGCGGCCCTTTTCCCATTACACCGGGTTTTTGCCATTCAAACTGTAACAGGTCATAGAAACCCATTTTTAAAACGCCCGATACCCAAAGATAGATAGCAAAGAGGAAACTGCGGTAAATTCGGATCTTTCGATTGCATATCCGGTCCTAATTCGGTTGCTTCCATCAATTGTCAGATCCTGCCCTGCCCTGTCTGTCTCAACATAACATGACATGACAATGTTGAAAAGCCTCATGAGAGCCCCTAATTTGCTCTAACCCTGCAGGGCATGCGAATTGTGGATTGGCAGGGGCCTGTCCCAGAAAAGGCGCTTAACATCCATCTAACAACTATTCTAGGAGATGCTTCATCCATCCCACGCGTTTCCTACTGCCAGCCTCCTTGAGCTAGAATAGCTTCTCATCATCAAGCGCATCCGTTGAGCCATGTGGGAGCTGCACTGCCTGTTACATCTTATAGGTTGGTGGATTACTGGGGTGGTGTTTGGCAGCGGCTCCGTACCTTAGCACGGAGTTGTAGGTGTGGCATCACTTGTCTGACGCCCCTAAGCTATGGGTGCGGTTATGTTCATCTGCCTTTCTCGGCGTCAATCAACTGCCGTTACGCATTCAAATTTCCATATTTGCGGATCCAAGGAGGTTTCAATTGGGATTCTTGTGGATTAATGCCTCAATGCTTCCAATTTTATATCATGATTACTTTGATCTTGATCGTATTGTTAAATCTCGCCATTCGCGTTATCCATCGCCGAGTGTCGGCGTTATTGGATCCGTTGGCATGGAGGGGCAACAGATCGTCAAAGCTTCCTTTCGTGACATCAGCAAAACAACTTAACATGAGGAAGGAAGGGATTCCCTCTGCCAACAACCCAAACCAAGAATTTCTTGTCACGCTCCCTCACTGAATCATCTGCAACCTCCCTTTTACCGGTAACAAGCCAACGGCGCTAGAAACCGCTCGAAAGGATCTTGTGGAGGGGATGCAGTCATTCAACCAAAAAGCCACGGCGATTACCCCAAAATACGGTATAAACTGCCAATGCCATCGTGGCTGGTACTGCAACTGGTGCATCAAGGCACGAAATATGAGAAAACGGTGCTAAGCTGTTATACAACTGACAGTGGAGAACCACGTCAATCAATATACAATCATGGCGTGTACTTCTAAAGGCATCCTCACTTTTCCCCGCACTCTCATCAGACATGGCGCAGGTCCCCCAGATCATCTAGCACAGCGCTATTGGGAAGCAGCTTCGGATCCGTGAACACACATGAAGCTCCAAATGAGGATCTTCCCCAGACAGATCTTGGGTATACACGCAACGCCCACCACTTGAGTCTATCTTCTCTGGTATGCGAAGGGACCGCCTCCGGGTCCAAGGTTCATCCCAGCCGGATGGATGGAGGTCTTTTGGGAAGTGCGGGGAAGCTCTAGCTCAGTCCGTTACGCACTGAAGAGACCTTGACTCGAAATCCCTGCAATATTTCTGCTATACCAACGCTGGACAGTGCTGTGGACTCATGCGGATTGGTGGCCGCAACACATGTCTCTTGCGGGATGGAGCAGTTCACCCAACCACAGACCAGCTCTTCAGGATTTCTGGTACAATTTCCAACAGACCTCGAGGTGATCGTGTCAAAGGCTGCATGATAACGACTTGGTACGACAGTATAACAGTGTCTAGGCCGTGCCTCGCTTATATCAGTATACTGTAAACCCATCAGATATGGCACGAACAAGGACTGGCAGAACCACATGCGCATGTTATGTATGCACAACTAATTGCTCGGCAAGTCAGTTACTCCTCTGCTTCAACGGTCTAGGTTAGTCACCTGAATTCAGCATTGTCTAAGCGACTCATGTATTTGGTGCAACATTTCACGAGCATATCAAAGACGCTATTGGTCAGGTTTTACCCCAACCTATGCCAACGCTTCTCGTTCAGGCTCCGGGTGGCCGGGCGTTGTTGTTTATGGCAATTGGCAGTTTGCTAGAACAAGCCTCAGAAACTGCCATCGCAACCCACCCTGATACAAGTCTCAGTCACGATTGCGGATAGATGTACCTTGTTTATCAACGCTACATTGACTTAGAGCAATGAGCTTGGGGCATCTGGAGCCTAACGATCAAACTCCCTAGCCACTCTCGCACCCTTGTCCACCCCAAGTTCCCTCGCCAAGTGCCATTTGCTTCTCGAACACGCAACTGGTAGGGGAATGATTGGAGGCAGTCTTTGTCCTGTGGCAACACCTCATCTACCTTCAACTGTTGAAGATCCACCTTCCACGATACCTTCGCAGGGGTTGTCAAGATGTGCTTTGCCCCATGTCGGTTTTCCTCCCGCTTGTCGGTCCAGAGGGAGATTGGCTTGCGAGGATTTTCGTCCTTGAAAGAGCAATCAGGATTGCATAATCTGTGTAAGTGAAGATGCTTGTTGTTTCCTCTCACAGCTTATCCAGCCAACACTATAGATGATGTAAACAAACTTGAAGGCGAAGTTGATGCTGGTCTGTGTTCTATAATCAAGCACAAAGCTGTTATTCAAATATCTTTACCTTCGATACTGCCTAGAGTAAGGGGAGCCGGGTCTAGCTTGACCAGGTCGTCACATCTTGAAAGTTGAACCCCATGTTCCTTAGATCATCATATCTGGGGCAGGGTCCGTGGGTTCCTGGGTCCTCCGCGTTTTCAAGCCGCGCTTATCCCTCTAGGCCCCGTCATCAGGCCCGTGCAGTGCTAAAACGACATCCACTGCGGCTCCGCAGTTTTAACTTGCATGAGCCGCAATTGTTTTCCCCGCATCGACGTTGCGGCACGCCCCCCGGACCTTGGAGACACCCTGAGAACGGCTGAGCCCCATCGAGTCCAGCCATGCGTGTAACTGCATCCCTTCCTCCTGGCGCTGCCTGTGATACGGGGCCCCAGACTTGAAAAGTTGTTGGCCTCATGAGACTTCTCGGATCTGGAGAAACGGAAGCATTTCACGGGGTCATGTTGGATCGTTCAGCTTCACGCTATACCTGATCCAATAATGCTACGGTGAGGTGGCGCCCAAGTGCGTGGCTCTGCCTTCTCATGAGGACAATCTGGAGTCATGATACCCAGATCTGGGGTAATCATGGTCAACATTCTACTCCAGGCTTTACCAGGTAGGTATTCTTGGGGTTGTGCGTGCCCCTTTATTGGCTGATATGCCTGCGATGGCTTCCATTGCGACGAGCCGTCAGTGTCAACTTGAAGCGTTTGTCCGAGGGAGGGGCTGTGCTCCATCGACCAGGGAGCTGCTCACATGAGAGCTGATTTCGTGCATGATTGCTTGTTTCTTTTTCTGCATCTCTCATTATTTCTGTGGTTTTGCAGCTCTTTGAAGTTCCCTCGAACAGCTGGTCATGATGATTTCTCGCCCCATTCTTGACCATCCTCGCACAATGCTCATTCGATTTCTTGGAAAACAGCGGTACAAGTCGGATCCTATGGAGACTCCATATGCACATCTGCCTCAAACCTCTCTTCTCTGTACAAACACTGACTAATTTGCATTTCCTGCTCTCTCCCACGCTTACTATCGTGTTCAGTGTCTCCCGCGCAGCACTTCGTACGAGCGTAACGACTTCACGATATTCAAGAGCAAGTCAGTTGAGTTGCCTCGTAAGGGCTTGCGTATGGCGGTGCTCTCGCGTTTCTTCGCAAGCTACCCTCGTTCCTGCTAGTTTAATCAGCTATGGAAGTACTTGTAGCCATAAGGTTAAACCTTCGGCTGCTAACCGGCTGGATAAATCGGGAACAAGCAGGCTGATAGAGCTGTTGTATGCTGTTCAGCTGGCAACATGGGAGAATTGAGCTTCGAGGTTGCTGAAATGACACTTTTGATACGACATTCAGGGTCCACATTATGCGCAATACGTGCTACACGTCGATCGAAGTTCACGCACAATGATGAGACGGCGGTATAGGTTCCAGACGATGAAAGTTAAAGTTGAATTCAATCAACTCTCTGGATTGGTCAAGAGGTTTATTTATGAAAACAGATGTTCCTCCTTTTCTCGTTGCCCGAGACCATAAACACCGAATGTTTCCCAAGCGCTTGCAAAGCTAACAGATATTCAGATGGATCGATCGCTCGTTACTTCCTCGACTCGCCTCCTATCTTGGTGCAGCGCCTAGGCGGCGACCTCGACCGACTGCTCAACACCATCCGCCTTGCCAGAGTTGACCTTCTTGCCAGTCTTGGCGATCTTCTGGAGGACGGTATCGTAGGGGAGGGCGGTGACGACCTTGGCGGTCTGGTTCTCAAGGGACACATCGTAGCTCTCGACACCTGCGAAGGGATATTGTTAGCAGCGGTAAACGGTCGCTTGGCGAAGTGCACATACCGTCAAGCTTCTTGAGGACTCTGTCGATGGCACCGGAGCAGCCGCCGCAGCTCATGGTGATGTTGAACTCGTAGGTGTGAGTGTCGGCCATTGTGAATGTGTTGGTGATTTGTAATTTTGAGGTTGAAGAAAATGGCGGGGTATCTTGATATCAAATGGAGATGCGAAAGTTGTCGGAATTAGAGGTCCGTGCTAAAAGTGGAAATTGAATTGTGGGAAGTTGGACAAGAGTCTGAAGGGGATTGCAAATAATTTATAGTCGTTTTAAGGGGGTATCTTGAGTTGCAGTTGCTGAGAGAATTGGCCGCTGACTGTGACGGCGGAAGTGAATTATTAATAGGCGCTTGCAACACTTGTTCTCTGTGCTTGGGCGCCGCGATAATTGCGCAATTCGTTAGAGGGAGGCGCCTACGCCTCAGGTTCAGCCAGATAAATTCTGGAGGAGCCACAGATGAAACGTGCTCAATACAACGGGGAAACTTTTCTGAAACGCTTCTGACGGGTAATTATTCCGAATCTTGGCCTTTTTGCTTCTGAATCACCGTTTCGCAATTCTTTTCTATGTCACAGTTTATGCCTTTTATCTCGCTGTTGCTTCAGCTGTTTTTTTGATGAGTAACTTGCTCAGGTGCTGAAGGGTCCGTGTAAGTGAGAGTCTAAAATTAGGTGCTAGTTATTTACAGTCAAAGATCGACTCTCGTCATCTTGGGCTACTGTGACATAAGCCGTAGATCAATTATAGAGTAATAGAAGCAGCTACACTAGAATCACAGACTCCGTCAATTACGCCATGGTGATTTGCTATGTAGGCTGCTTGTGAGGTGAATTTCTCGCAGGATAAAAGGTTCTACAAAGATGCTACCCTATACCACACATGAGATCTTGCATTCTGCTTCCCCTTTCACTGCCTATTTTCTAAAGATTTGTCGAAACCTTTTATGAATTGTTTATATACTTGTATGTTACAACCAGTGTCTTGCTGATGACCTACGTTTGCGCAATGACGAGTGTGATTAACGTCTCGCAGTCAATGAGGCATGACACAATTCTATAGTATCCTACCGAAGCATGAACCTGAACTGCTCACTACCTCGGATTTTGAGCCACGATCAACCTTTGTTCATCTTATCAATCTATTTTTCGCGGTACCAAGACATGCACATATGATTCGCCATTCTTGTCTTTAGTCTCGAGAATACGATACTGACTCACAGCGAACCAAAGAAGCACAGACAAGATACGATACGACAGAATGGGCTGATTTTCCAAGTCCCACCTTTTATAACATGATCTGAGCTGCCACCGGCCACACCGAACCAGTTCAACGGTAGTCCCGGAGGAGAGACGCCGTTGAAGTAAGGAGACTCTAGCCACCTTATCTTCAGCCGGTTATCCAAAGAATGCAAAAGTCTCGTTACCAAGCGAAACAGTTTCCTTCCAGAAACACTAAACATACAGACCCTGCAGATGCATGCATCAGCCACTGTTCTCCTGGCTAGAACATAGTCTATCGGGCTGCAGCGAAATCAGATCACCTGCTAACCAAAAGTTTTCCGTTTATAGCACCGAAAAAAGAGCCTCCTGAGGCTCTTCCGCAGCGGCTCGGCCCTATACCATACCCATGACCCAAGATAAGATCAAAGAACCACTCAGAGCCGAGATACAGGGACAGGCAGATGAGATTCTGACAAGTTTTTAAGATGAGGCTCTGCGTTGGCGTTATTCTAGAAGAAGAAAACAAAAGCCACAGGGCGTGTACGATAGACGCCCGTATCCCCCCGGATATCTGGCCGAGTATCCATGATCTGATCTGACGATGGCAAGGGTCGTGGACTTCGATCGCGGCCGTTTTCTCGGTGTAAAGAGGCTGTGCCTTGCTAGATCTCGATATGTGGACTTGCCCTTCCGTTGAAGTCATGATATAGTTTGACTGTGCTTGATTTGAACCCCCACGGTGGTATGACGGAGTTTTGGGCATGTTGCAGGGTCTATCAAGTAAGATGCACATCAGAGACGTCAATGGGTTCGTGGCCTCTTACGTATGGGCTGGGAGGGTTCTTGATATCGATGATCTGATGTGATGTTGGGCTTATCTTGCGGTGAGTGGGCTTTGGTTGAGCCGGGAGGGTATTAGTAGGGGTCTTGGCGATGGTCTGGTCAATTCTGGATGGGTGATGTGTCATTTTGGTTCTTAGATGGGGTTGTTGTATTTGCCATGGTGGTGTAGATGCAGATACTGTGATCTGCATATGGTTGGATCTGGTGAGCTATCCATAACCAGGTATCGAAGCACGTGTTTCTTCGATGGACTCCTCGCTATTCTGGATGTACTTGCGGACTCTGATCGTATATTCTTTGGAGGCAGTATAAGTTAGAGCGAAACTATAAGCCACAACACACATAGTATTATCACAGTATCCTCAACTCATAGTCTGATCTTGTACAAGATGCAAACTGTAGTTTTCCGCAACTCATTGAGACATACGAGTCAAGTCTACTTGGCTCGTATTAGTTGACGAGAGAGACTGAATAACTGATAAGCCGAGCCATATAAATCCATTGGTGTAAAGCTCTTGAGCACAGCAACTCGAACAACAGAAACCCATGCAAGATCACCTGTTCAACACCTAGTAGGTATCTCCTTCACAGTTACATGAACCTGCGGCGTCTTCAACTTCTCCTCGTCCTCATCCCAAATCTCCGGGTCAACCTCAGTAGTGTTCCACAAATCATCAATATCATCAAGCCACTCCGCAAGCTCACCCTCCTCAACAAAGTCACGACCCGTATCTTCATCAGGCTGATGAAGCTCAACCGTATTCTCACGCTGCAGGAACCTATCAAGTTCCCATCGTGGCTGCACCGGTGCGTCCAGTGTTACTTTGATGTCTGCTATCTCTGCTACATCAGGCAGCGGTCTTTTGATTGTATGGGCTTTGGGGAGTTTGTTCCACACGACGTAGATGGTCTTGATGTTTTTCATCCATGGCAGTAGAGCCGCGATGGTGCTGATGCTGTAGTAAGCTGTGAATGCCGGGAGTGCAAGGTATTTGATGCTTTCCATTATGCGAACGACGGCAGCGTGTTCATCATCATTCTCCCAATCCACGGCCAGAAGTTGGAAGGATTCCCATTTAAGTCGAGAAACATAGAGAATATCTCGCTCATCGTCAAAAGGACGAACGAGGATATCGCCTTTGGTCTCTTCGCGAAAATACCACCCCAAGTTATTCCTTTTCCTCCATTGCTCAACCACTCGTCGACCCTCTTTGCATACGGCAGCACAAGTGGGAATAGGCACTTGAACACGAGGAGTTCGGCTCAATTTTTGAATGCCTTGAGTAGTCATGTCGTGAAATGCAACGCCAGGGGGAGAGTACTGTGCCCACCAGTCCATGTTGTACATGTATAAGGCGGCACCACCATCTCCTTCAGGGAGTGTGTGCTCCCAAATAGCGGCACGCACTTCTGGTGGAAGTCTAGTAAATTGAGGAAATGATTGGTCCATTTTGAGTTCAAAAGATTCACTGAATTTGTTGTATTGATGGTAAAAAATGCGGTTGTGGTGTAAGTGATGTGAAAGAATCAAGGTCAGAGACGCGCTTCAGCGCGTCTCTGACTGAGAGCTTTATAGCCGTGTAACAGCCAGCTAGGGCTTTACCTTTCTGTCTTCCAGTTTTATACCGCCAATTAGTGCCGTGGACAACGTAACATGAGCCTTGCAAGGGATCGGCTGAAATGCAATTTCGTTACGGGCCAAGTCTGAGAATATTACAAATGTTGATGGTGGTGATGATTCTGTTGGGCTTCAATACAATAGCGTGGATAACCTGTGTAAGTGGTATAGGTTGATCAGTGCAACGACAATAGCTCCTAACTCAGTAATTGACTGGGAATTTTCTACTTCGTTCAATGCTTCAGTTGCGATTCATTTGATACAATTTTAACCCATATATGTAACTGCGTGGCCTCTTTCAGGTGATGCATTGTGCGTCCAGTTAATGGTTGCTTTCAACGACGACTTGGTCGATGTATGAGGCCCTGCTTGCACCTGTTATGACAATAGGCCATATCAGACTAGATCCAATGTTACTGGCTATGGGTCTATCACCATCCTGGCGTTACCTCACAATATCCCAAGTAGGCACCTCCACGATGGTAGCATCAACTCTGGGCACCTTGAGCTCCCCGGTAGCGCTGTGAGCAATGTCTGGGAATTCATCCATCATTGTCCGCCAAACCTCATTCATTTCCTTCTGCCAATTTCGAAGATAATTCTTTTCAGCATGGTCCAGGTGTTCATGCCTATCCAGCCGATGAACATGAACCGTCTCGTTAGGCTTCGGCTGCGAAGCCAACTCACATCGTTGCTGAACTGGCACGTTGCCCCACCACTCGCGGTACGATGGTAGGTGCAGTGTGACTGTTCTGACGCGAGGGAGGTCGCTGAAGATTACGTATATCTTGTTGAGGTTGGGTGCCCGTAGCATGAGTCTCGCAATGCCTTCAGCACATTGTAATTGCGCCATGGTATGAGCTGAGACTGCGAGGTTGATTACATTGTTGCACATGCACTGGTGCTCCTCGGCTTTTGTTTGCAACTATTATATTGTTGTCAGGGAGATATCTTACACAGTAGGAGCTGGAAAAGGGGTATTTATTTGCGCTTTTGGTTGAAGTGATCTACGTGCCAATCATGTAAAGTGGTGGTTTTCAGTAACATGCAAATGTTCAAGATATGCAATACTGTGACAAAATAGGGGATGCACCCATAATGGAATCCACTAATTGGGCAGTCAGCCTTCAAATTATCAAATAAAAGCTTAATTAATACGAACTTATTACAACAGTGCATACTCCTATTCTACATCTTCCGAATCCCGAGGTTCTAGGTTGATATGTTACATACATCCTCAAGAATTGTGTCTGTGGCGTATCAAGTGCAGGTTTGTACTGAGTGGGACAGCAGTAGGTATATTCATGATAAGTATTTATTCCATCACATTAACTACCTGGGTAATCTTTCCAACAGCATCACTTACTCTTCTCAAAACCTCGCCTCGACCTTCTTCTCAACATCCTGCAACGCCCACTCACTCCTATTCTTCTTACTCCTCACCAAATCAACCTGCTCCTGCGTGAATCCCTTGGCCTCAACAGCAGGATTATATCCCAACTTGTTCCTATTTCCAACCATAGTCGAGTTCACAGCCTGGGCAACTCCTCCATCTGCTCTCTTGTAAACAGTAACCACCGCTGCACCTCCAAGGCCGAGATTGTGCTGAAGGCAGTATCGTGTGTTGGGCGTAGCACGGTTGTTTGCCCAGCCTCGAAGATGCCAGACTAACTCAGCGCATTGTGCGATACCTGTTGCGCCGAGGGGATGACCCTTGGAAATAAGACCACCCGAAGGGTTGATGACGTATTTTCCTCCGTAGGTGATATCTCCTGCACGAACGAGCTCATGTGCTTTACCCTTGTCACAAAGACCCAGAGCGTCAATAGTGATCATCTCATTTGCACTGAAACAATCATGCAACTCCACAACCTGACAATCACGAGGTGAAATACCAGCTTGTTGAGTAGCTTCCTTCATAGCACGCTGCGTCATCTCATAGCCCATCAGATCAATAGAGCTTTCGGAGAAGAGACTTGGCGCGTCAGTTGCGAGGTGCTGACCTGCGATCTCGACGGCCTGTTCTCGCAGATGAGGACGAGCGTTGAGGAAAGCTTCCGATACAATAATGGCTGCTGCGCCGCCGTCTGAAGTTGGGCAGCATTGGAGTTTGGTGAGAGGTTCATGAATCATGGGGGATTGGAGGACTTGCTCCTTGGTGTAGACTTGTTGGAACTGAGAGTAGGGGTTCTTGGGTGAGTGAGCATGGTTGATGCGTGCAATCTCTGCAAAGTCCTCAGCCGTTGCTCCGTATCTAGATAAGTTAGTACAACTATGTCCTACTTGTGTTGTATAAGAGGTACTCACTTCTCCATATACTCTCTTCCAGCATTACCAAACATCTGAGCAGCCCCAGGAGCGTTCGTGACACCCCTCGTCTCAGCCATCATCTTTCCTGTAGTACCGATAGGATTCTCTCTATCCTTGAAGTTACTCTGCAAACTGCCCGCGGCCATCTTCTCGAAGCCCACGACCATGACACAGTCAGCAGCGCCATGCTCAACGAGGGTTCTAGCCATGTTAAGGCCAGTGCTGCCTGTTGAGCAGTTGTTGTTGACGTTGTAGATGGGAATTTGGGTCATGCCGAATTGGTAGAAGACGCGCTGGCCGCATGTGCTGTCGCCGTAGCAGTAGCATGCAACGCCTTGGTCAACATCATCGTAGTTGATTTGGGCATCGAGAAGAGCTTTGATGCCGGCTTCGAAACCGAGTTCAGTGTAGTCGACTTTGCCACGGGGTTTGATGAATTTGGTCATGCCCACGCCAAGGACGTAGACGGGTGACTTTTTCTTCTCAGGCATTGTGGCTGTATTGATGTGAATATGAACAAGGTAGAGGTATTCTATGCCGTTTGAAAGCAATTGCTTGCTAATAAGAAATACCGAGAAAGATGAGTTGCTTGAATCAAGTTCAGATGCCAGACAAAAGGGTTCATTTATGTATAAAACATGATATCACTACCATAGAGTGTCCCAACAACCCCAGGATCGACGAATTACCCCGGCTTTCATCCCAATTCGGTAAACAACTCGGTCCAAGCACAAACTCTCGTCAAATAGAATCGATCCTCTCGTTGCATTCAGTGCCCTAGCTTCAATCATCGGATAGTGCGGGGGCGTCTAAAAGCAACCGAGATGCCGAGGCTCGTTTGCTATTCCAACATTTCCTCTTTGGGTCGGCAACGAATTCTCAATGGCCCGGGAACTGACTACGACAGCCTTTTTACTTCCATCTTAGTAATGACAGAGAAATGGAATGGGTTTGGTATGCGAGAAGTAGTTGCAATGCTTTCAGGGCAGGAGTCGGGAGAATTAGTCAAGGTAAAGGTCCGCTCCCGGCCGAATAAGTCGGCGCCGTGTTCAATCGGCCGAGTAGACACAACAACAGACCTACTCACGATCGAGATGACGAGGTATAAAAGTAAGTCATTTCTAGGTATTGAGTTCAGATTCAAGGTCTTGATTTGCCGTGTAATGCCTTGCTGCGAGGTTCGTTCATCCGTCTTGTCATTGTCACCTTCTTGGACAACCCCTGAAGCCTCACTTACACCGACTCACAATGCACATCCTCCTTCTAAGTTCTTCAAACCACAACAGCGCTCGCATTATCCAATCTGCTCTGTCTCGAAACTTTACTATCACTTTTCTTACTCCCCAGACTTCACAAATTCCTCATCATGCAAACGTCACTCTGATCAACGGCCTACCCGCATCCCAACACGACCTCGAAATAGCTTTACAGACACCAAAGCCCCCTGAAGCAGTCATACTCGCTTTCTACAACACCCATGTTCTCGAAGCAGTCACTCACAGTCTGGTCAGGGCTTTAAGAGCCATTCAGTCTGCTAAAGTAAACGAAGAAAAGGAAGCTGCAGCATTGCCTCTTCGTCTTGTGTTTATCCAAAGTAATGCGATGCAGCTAGAGGCAGACGGTTACAAGAAAGTCGATAAAATAGTACGAGAAAGCGGTTTACCTTTTGATCTCGCTCAGTGTCCTCGCTTAGCTGGGGAACTCTCCGCCACCATCCGGGCTTCGCCTGAAGAAGGGCGTGTTGCTGCTTGGTTGGCCACTGTCAAGAGAGCGAGGATGGCCCATTTCCCGGTAGATAAAGCACGGGAGAACAAGTCGAATGGAAGGGAAGAATCTGGAGTAGGTGATATCAAGTTGGGATGACAGAAATCGCAACGATTCAACTGTGTATTTTGAGAAGGAGTTGCTTGCGGGGATAATTTGGTATTGATCCTTCATCAAGAGCTCAGTTCGTTCCCACATCCATCCAATCCATGTGATGTATTGTCCAAAGTCCATTCTATCAATAACTTGACAACAACTTGGTTCATTAGGCCTCTGTTATATCCCAAACACATCTCTTCCTTTCCCTTGGTCTGTACAGGCGCAAAGCATACAAAAGCTCACGCTTCAACCATCTAACCCTAATGCGCCTCGCAGGGCCACGTATGGCCAACAGTATAAACGCATCTTAATACAAACGTCCCCGCAGGGAAATCCTTACCAACGCCCGCTGAACTTCCCAGACCCTGTATATCGTTCTTTTAAGTCCAGTTTGCCATCATCTTTGCAACTCACATATCCACATAAACACTCAAATCAATGCCTTCCAGCCGCTCAAGACAAAGAAAACTCAAGTAACAAGGGGTAGTAAGAAAACAGAGAGCTCGAGACTTAAATCTTTCTTCAAACTCAGATAGGTATCCATGCTATTGATTCCATTATTCCCATCCTTCCCATAGCATCCAGTTGTCAAAGTCGTTCAGAGCTGCCGGGACTCCAATAGAATTTCGTTGGTACATGAATGGTACATGATGCCTGTATGCGTCCCCTTGGAAGCCGTCGACGGGAACTCCAGTCGAGCCCATGGGAACACCATCGAGGTTCATGTTGGTTGCCCTTAGGCAACGATCCAATACAATGCGGAGGCTTTGTGTAACCTCATCTGTCTTAACTTCCGGTTTGGACACGCATTCCAGAACAACAGCAAGACAGACCACGTCCTTGGTGTCCCGACCACTGATGTTGCGAACCAAAAGGTCCAAAGTCTTCTCCACAGTGCTGATAAGTCGCGATGGCGACCAGAGCACAAGGTTCTCCGGGTTGTAGGTCGGGAAGTCGTCTGACGAGTCAGGAGACATGCGCAGAGCTTGTGAGCCAAGTCCAGTGCTATCAGAAGCTGGCCGAACTGCAGACCGTATGTAAAAACACACACTCAAAGCCGCCTGGATAATATCCTTCTTCAATACCTGGTGATACATCTCGGCAATATCTTGGAAGTGCGCTAGCATAGGGTCCAGCTCGTCTAGGTATTTCATGATCACCATTGAAGATCTCAGATATGCTCGAGAAATTTGACCTGGCGCGTCAGATGCTCCTATAGCGAAAGGTCGATAAAGTGCAAGTAATGGCCGTCGCACATGCATATCCAGGATGACTCTGGACCTCCATTGCTTGCTCTTCTGTGCATCACTTAGAATGCCCTGCCTAGGGAAAATGTAGTTGATATCATCAAGGAATCGCTCCAGTTTGGCTCCCACCTCCAGGATCTCTTGATAGTCTCGAATTGTATCGATGCGATTCAACATGTGTGCTACTTTCATCCGCACACCCAGAGTCATGGCTGCATAAACTTGCATCTGGTTGTCGGTAACCACGTCTATGGGTTTCGACTGTGGTAGCTCTTTCATATCTGGGAAAAGCTCAATGTCATCCAAATTGCGGGGCGGCCGACAAGTAAAGTCTCCTTCCCGTACCAAACAAGGAAGATTGCTTGCGAGTGAGATATGGAGGTCCATATCAAGAATCGTAAACCATAACCGCCGCCGCATTTCGCTGAAGAATATGGGGATTCGAGGTTCAAATTCGGAGGGATCGCGGTGAAGACCCATTGTCATGGCCATGCGTACGATAGAGCCCAGAGATGTCCAAGAGTCCTGGATCCGAGGGGTGATCATTCGCTGCGCATGTAAGAGCAAGACCTCGACCTGAAGTACCTCGAACTCAACCAACTGTTTTCCTCTTAGACTATCCAGCCATGTTCGCACAAGAGCGCATGCTGTTGGGATATGGACGCCGTCAGATCGCTCGTTGCCAAGCCCTTTTGATTTAGTTTCGAATCGGGATGCGATGGAGCAAAGTGAAAGTAGTTGCGGCAAAAAATATTCGGACTGTATTTTGCCTTCCCAGAAAAGGTTGTACTGCTCCATGAACATGGGTAAATGGACAATACGATAGATGGTCTCCGATGTATCGACATATGAGGCGACAAGCCTGTCACATACTGCCTTTTTAGGTAGGATATCAGTCATCCGCTTCTGAACCGGCATCATCGAGTCCACAAAGACGGTGATCGGAGACAAAGATTTCCGGTACTCGTCAATAAGCGCTTTGTGAAACCGCTTGAAGTTTAGCAGAACATCTCGGACGCCATTGTTATTCGAATTGTTTGCCATGAACTCCTTGGCTTCGTCAAACTATGAAGTTTAGCAAATATGTACTTCAAGGTGATATCAAGGACAATTACCAGGTTGAGCAAGACACGAGGACTATTTTGGCCGTGATATCTTGTTCGCAACGCTCCTTGCTTGACTGTCAATCCCCGGATGGTCTCAGAAGACGCAGCAATTAGTCTGCCACCACTGCCTTCCGAAACAACGGGACTTCTGGCCATAAGTTGCCTCTCAAGCCTTTCCATGCGCATTGACAACTCTTCGAGTGAAGGCGCAGCCCCAGTATCCCCATTGCGGATAGGTCCATATGTTGAATCGTTGCTAGGGAGAGGAGTGCCTGAGTTGAATATGCCGGGGTTGCAATTGCGCTTCGCTGGTCGAGCTGGTTCTGGCATTTCGCTATCGGAGCCTTCAGAGAGATTTGCGGAATCGTGATCCATAGCGTATTTGCAGGTTCGATTCGATTTCTGGCATTGAGAACAGGGACAAAGCCGATCGCATCGTAGTTTGCGCTTCCGGCATTCGGTGCATGACTTGACTGGCCTGGGTCTCTTGACACTTCGTTGTTGCTGCTGCTGTTGCTGAGTGAGCGCAAGACCCTGCGATGGCGTTTGCTGGTGTAGGTGCTGTGGTGGTGTTTGTTGTTGCGACAGCGGCGCATCGTAAGCTGTTGAGCTTAGAATGGACTGCGAGGCTGTGACCGGGGCGCTGCCACCATCGTGGGTAGTTGAGTGCGCTGTGGTCATCTCGGGCATGCCTGCGGCCATGCGACTGACTGCCAGAGGACTATACGATAAGGATAAAGCTCGAAGCTACAAGGAATCGAGCGATAGGGTGGGAAAGTGGTCGGTGGAAGCCGTATGCGAATCAGAGAGGCGCAAGTACGGGAGGTCGAACAAACGGCCAGCGAGCGAGGGTCCGGTGAAAGTGCGCTGACCAGCTTCGAGGACTGAGCAATAAGTGGGATGCAGAGGTATTCACGAAGCCGATGACAGCCTCGGCTGGGAAAGGTAGACAATGGTAGGTCGCTGGCGCACTGAGCTCGCAACTGACATGGCGGATAACGAAATAGAAGGAACTCGAGCAGAGTTATGGAGGAAGTAAAGCCAAGAGCAGAATTGTCCAAGGCGAAGCCGAGACGGATAGGTAAGTTAGAGCCTAGAGGCACCACCAGGCACGCAGCTTTGGATAGGAAATGGGGCACAAGGCACGGGACACGGGGGACAGCCAGGACCACACCGGTAGACGTGAGGTTGGTGGTAGTGTAGACCTTTGGTTGCAGACGGGATGGGACGGGGCAGTTTGGACTTGCCAGGCCAGGGTCGTTGAGCTTTACCTTGTTCGAACGGGACGCAGTTGACGCCGTGGAGCTAGCCTAGAGCTCAGTGGCAGTGGTCCGGTCCGTTGCCTCTCTTTTTTTTTCTGGCTGTTCCGTCTGATTCAGCCACCCCAGACACGCGCACGCGCGAGTCGGGCGATCCAGCAGCGCACCTGCGGGCCTGGCTACCTGGCTGCAGATGAGAGCTAGGGTAGTGGACCCGTTGCGTTGGGCTGGGTTGGAGTTGGGCTGGACCTCCGTAGAGTCGTACTGGAGGAATATTCTCGGTTTGTTAGATACGTGATGGCCCCAAGATGTGATTGGTCTCGAAGCGCCTTGTACGAGGTACAAGGATGATTGTTGACTGCTTGATGGTGGGATCTAGCACATGGCACAGTGATCGCCAAACACCTTAATGTTGACTTTAGTCAATGACTGAGTCGTTCGTTCCGGGACTGCTTAAATGCCAGGAGGCGCTGGAGTCGCCATCTGGAGCTGGAAATATTTTAACTTGGCGGGGGGGCGGTTTGATCGGCCGATGGAGACAATTCAACGGACCCAAGACACCGTACCTTGTCTTTGATAGGTGTTATAGGGACCAGAACCTGGCTAGAACGTCAGAACGGGTCCAGTTCTTGGTATTGTAGATCGCTTGTGGTCACTTGGCGAGAGAATTGGTTATTGTGTGTCAAGTAGAACAAGAGAGGAATGTATTGTATGGTCAATAACACAATTGGACCCTAGAAACAGCAGAAATGTGATGAGGCGGTTATTCTCAAACGATCACTTGAACTTGTTTATGATAGATGATGAAATAGACGTTCTCGGTGTGCAGTGTCCACTTGTGACAGTGGAGAAAAGGCTCATCCTTCTCTTTTATCAGACTGGATTCTGATATTGGACGGACTCTGCCACAGAAGGCAGGTACGAAAAGGCCGTAATTGCCTTCCCAGTGCCCAGCATTAAGATTGGATGGTTGTTGGGGAAGGCACCAGCGGTTGTAGTGGTGTCCTTCCCTTTCATCTCGGAGCCGATCTCTGGGCCTAGACCATTAGACCTTTGAAGCAGGTGGTCTCGATCGCTGTTGTGCTCCCCCAAAAGGATACATGAATCGCACGTGATACCTTGAAATTGATCCTGAGTTCCATATTCGTTATCAATAACACGAATCCTGATTCAAATGTAGTCATCACCAACACCTCCCCCTTCTGTGATCGACAGCCTCGACCGGTCGTTTCGCTGTCCGTCTCTTTTCGGGGCCGCTATCAAATGTCACCGCCTGGAGTCCTCAACATCAAAAATGCTTGGCCACACGGCTCGTGCTAAACCAGGAACATCCATCAAAGATTATCAAGAGATTACCAATCCGACGAAAGCCGAGAAAACGCACAAAGAAAGGAAATTCGATGAATCTAGTCGAGGGCCTTGAATGGAGATCTGCATATGTAACTATGCCGATCGTGCCACTTGACTTACAGCACAGGCACAGCACGGTTTTGCTTGGCCCATCAGCGGGTTCACCACGGATTCAAATATAATCCTTTCGGCCGACTCATGTGCTCCATCGAATCCCCAGTCTCCTCCGCACGCGCAAACCCGTGCTTTTCGCAAGCATTTCCATTCAATCCCCGGGCCATCGACTTACACAAGACAACTCAGTCTCACTTTCACTTTTATTATGGGGTCATGAGATATGTTTAGCACAAGCGTCATTATCTAAGCCTCAATTGTTGCGAGTCTCGATTGACAAAAAAAAAGAAACGCAATGGCAAGGATTTGGTTTGCGATAAATGATGCTCGGCCTTTCGCTCTCAAAAAAGTCTGAATCGAGCTGCTTGACTAGATACAAGCGCCTGCTTGGAACGACAGCCCGTTTGCTGGCTCTCCGCCGATTACCATAGTTGCCTTTGGCTTCTCATTGGCATTAACATGCTCGGACAAAATGGCCCAATTGGCTCCTTGAGGCTAGAACCATTCCCCACCACGTTTCACCCTGGTTGGCGTCCCCAGAGTTCAGAGTCCAAAGTCCCAGACCGAGTCGAGTCGCGAGCCCGCAGTCTGACTTGGACCATGCCTGGTATATCATGTGCTCCGAATCATCAGCCATGTATGTTACATGCGCCGCATGCGCCTGAGCTGCTACGACAAGTAATTCCAGTCGGCCGACGATGTGCTCCGTGCTTCTGATTTAGGTGTCGGGTTTCTCGGCTCCGAGAAAAATCCCCATTGTCGTTATTCGTTCCTCGGATCGTTCTCGACAAACGCTAATATGCCCAGGACATGGGCACCTTCTATTGCTATTATTTGTTCATTGTCTTTCAGCTGCGCACTCCTGGTTGGCTCATGCTAAGAGTTTCGCTCAGCAATACCAATTAATGTCGGTTCACAGCCAGCTCTCTCATGGACCAAAATGCCGCGATTAACTGTCATAAATGCAATCTCTCAATGCAGCATAGCTGGAATGGAGTGCTTGCTCGACAAGTCCTAGCCGCCTCTGCGAACTGCTGTCTTTATTTGTCCAGGATGACTGTCATGCACTAGACAGGGCTGAAAATGGCACGCTACGGCCGCAAGAGACAGAGACTCCGGAATCCTTTTACCACCTTGAATCAATACCGACTTTTCTTATGAGTGAGATATGAAGCTGACAGATTTGTGAAAGTTTATACAAATCACCATCACAGCTTAAGTCTTACTACATACTGTCCAAAAATCACTCGATAATTTACCAAAACCCTTGTCAAAGTGCATGTTTATTATGCCACGTTTCTATAATTTAATTGGCTACAGTTTGGTAGGGTCCATTAACTTCTGCCGCCCTTTCTAGAAGACTTCATCTCCGGTACCGCACTAACGAGTTGGATGGCGTTGAAACTTGCTCAATTGATACAACGAAACAATTTAATGCAATTTGTCTAAATGCATAATAGTACAACTAGTCAGAGACTATTGAACACTCCTTCAGTCCAGTAAACAAAACTGGTTTGTGTTCTTTCTTCCCACGGGAATAAGCGATTGCTCAGCCAAGAGCGTCTAGCAACTTTTGATGGGTCCTCTACTCCGTACTTCTGCACCATCGTCATGAACCCCATGTTCCATATTATCCAGCGAATAGTCAGCCTCACTGACTCCCAGGCCAAGCCCCTGGAAGACCACTGTTGGGTCCTCTCTCCTGATCCTGATCCTGATCAGGCTCATGCTCATGCTCATGCTCATGCTCATGCTCCTGATCGTCATCAGCCTCATCTGGCATATCGTAGTCATCAGCATTCGGCCCGGCTATTATGCCAAGGACGTGCATCATTCGCTGAACAAATCCTGGAGCATCTCCTCCACCACGTTCGTGCTCTGCAAGATCCCTCATAAGTTCTTCGTCGTCTAGTGCCTGCACGGCCGCAAGATGAGCGTCCTCTTCATCATCTTCACCGTCATCTCCAAAGGGTGCGGCGCCGGGTGCACCACCCTGACCAGCTGCCGCAAGGCGCTCAAACAGGTTGTTCAGGCGTGTTTCGACTGCACTTTGTTGACCTCGTTGTTGTTTGGCAAAAGGCAACTTTGTGCCTTCGCCTGTAAAGATATTTTCCTCCTCAGGGGGTGGTAGAGGGTCGAACTCGTAGTTCGGTTGCATTTCTAAGTACTCTCGTGGCGCCAGACCCATAAGTGATGTCTGGCCCTCAAGATATACAAGCCTTGTGACGCCTTGATCAGGAGGAGAGTCACTGCTGGGCAGCACACTTGTATCAACCTTTTCGAGACTCTTGGCTGTCTTTTCAAGGAGAGGGATAGCTTGTGCGTTGTTCCAGATATCCTTGGCTTGGTAGATATAGAGCTTAACCCAGAACGAACGCGAGTTTGAATCAGCGTTTATGCCCCAGATAGATGGAGGTGTGTCAAGGTTTAACTCCTGGAACAATCCACAGTACAGCCAGGGGACACGTCGCATGCCCTTCTCGAGCTCTTCAGTTGCACGAGCAGTATTGCCTAGTTGCAAGTGAGCCAATACCAATGTCTGTCGAAGGTAGATCGAGTCTCGGTTATCGGTCGTCTTCTCTAACTCCTCCACGAAATCAATCAACCACTGAGACTCATGGGCACGAATAGCCAGCCAATGAATGAAGTGTCTCATGGCATAGGGATCGCCTGGATCCAAAGCGTATAAAAGCTTAGCCCACTCCAGGGCAGTGCGATTGGTGCCCTTTCGCACGAGACTCTTGAGGTAGTGATATCCAGCCAACCAGAACTGCCTGTTCTCTGGACGACGGAAATCAAGACGTGCTTTGCCTTGCTCAATGTTCTGACGGAAGGCATTTGTGGTCACGCGACCAAAAGTGAAAAGAGCTCGTTCACAAAGTTCAGCTGCGAGAGCCTGGTTCTGGTCTTGCTTAGCAATAGAGCTGACCTGTAGGAGTGTCGAGACATGATAGGGTGCTTCCTTGAGGAGAACGATCATTCGCTGAGGGTCTCCGATCTGCACGCATGTGAAGAAGAAAGCTTGTAGAGCGTCGTAACTTTGCTCGTGCACGTATGCATACTCCGTGAATGACCCATCTTCAGCTTTTGCCACCTCCTTCATTGTCAAGCCACCAGCACTTTGCTTTGGCCAGTGCTCACGTCCTTGGATAAATACGTTTCGACGCAGGGAAACCTCCGGAAGTTTCGGGGCCCCAGGAGGACCACGCAGGAAAGTTTCAAGATCAACTTCTCGCTGCATGGGGCGACGATTGCGTTCTTGTTCTTCCTCTGCTGCTGCGGACTCGATGACGTCTCGGCCAAAGAGACTTCGCATTTCATTGTTGGCCTTGAGGTGATACGGGTTGATAGAGAGAAGCTCATTGATTCGTCGAGTCTGAGCTGCTGTGTTCTCTGAGGTAGATGTGTTTGCAGGAGTTGATGTCTTGATGTTGAGTTCTCTCATGGCCTTGTCGATCTCGTCCTCATCCTCCTCGGGAGCTGCAGCCTTGGCCTTAGACTTCTTCTTCTTGTTTTTCTTTTTCTTGCTTTTCCCTGAAGTTGATGGTTGCTTGACTTCGGTCACATCCTCCTCGGGTTGTTGTTGCTCCACCTCATCCTCATCTTGTGCTTCGTCGTCATCGTCACCACCCAAAGCTGCAAAGAGACTCACGCGAGGCTTTGGTGCGACAGGCTCATTCTCTTCATCACTCTCACCTGAGCTCATCTCTGCCAGAATTTGAGTCTCCTCTAGCTCTCGCTGCTTCTGCAGCTTGCGAAGTTGTCGAGTCGACATTGTGAGTAATGTCGTGGGTGTGACGAGTGTTTTTGAGTTTGGTGTAGGGTGAGCGAATGTGAGACGTGACAGTGATGATTGAGATGCTTGAAGGGGAAAGAATGAAGAGTATTGAACAGGGAACCAGAAGGGATATTTATACAGCTGGTCGTTATAGGTTGTCGAGAGATATCAGGTTGCAGAACGTGAGGCTTTGATAGACTTTCAATCAGTCAGGCCGAAGAGAGATTATGACGTGTGCGGGGCTGTGGGCAAAAAATTTAAGCTCTTACAGTTCACGCATAACATCGTTGCCTTGTATCAATTAACCTTCCTACCGCCCAAACAATGTGGTCAATAGAGTCAAGGGGAGTACAAAGTAATTATTCAACATTGTCGAATTAGAAGCAAACACAACTTCGGCTCTCAACATATTCACGACATATTACCATCATGCTCATGTCAAAGTATGAACAAGTAGTCACGGCATTCACGATCACAAGAGAAGTGTGTCAACTTTGAGCTTGAATCGTTGGTTGTATTCATGTCAGATGCCTCATTCCTCTTTGAGTTGTGCTTCTGATATGTGTCAAGCTCCATTTCCTAGGTTTGTTTGCATCATCATGAGCTTTCGTCGCCTCATTAACTAGGCCTCCTTCTTCATAACCACCAGCGCCAGGCCGTGCCAGGCCGTCCTTTGTGTTTTTAACTCTGCAATTCAAAAAGGGCAAAAGAAATTCCTTTTGTAGCCTGCTATGCGAAAGGGCCTCCAATTCCGCCCGCTTCCAATTCGACCCTAACTCCAAGCCTCGTTCTTATAGAGAGCCAACCCTCCGTTCCCTTAACCCGTTCAAGCCCCAAGAACGGTAGGGAACCGTGTTTCGCTTGTGTAAAGCAGCAGAAATGCAATCGTCCCAAAAGTAGGAAATTTGTGATACATGTTACGAGCAATTATGAAACCTATATCGGTTCGTAGTCATAGTCGACGTTGTGGCGTACCGCCCAGCCTCGCGGTGCCGTTTGACATGGATGATATGTCTCAATTCGTATTATACTGGCCGGTGACGTCGCGGCCGATTATTGTTGAGCAGGTGTGGTCTGATACTGAGGACGGTTTCCACCTCGTCCACCGCGGCCATAGCCACGACCGCCCCGACCACGACCACGACCCCGACCACGGTAGTTGCGATAAGCACCATCCACGCTCCCCTGGCCAAAGGTCTCCATGTTCTTGCGCTGCTCCTCGCCCCTCCATTCGCGACCGCCGGGCTTCTGGCCTCCGTTTTCGGTTCGCTCTCTGGATTCGCTGGAGATGTTGTCAAAGAACGATCTCGACTTGTTGTAGGCAACAGCAGCATCGTCAGTCGTAGTTGAGATCTCGGGCTGCTCGGCGACAGCAGGGTTTTCTGGCGTCTCCAGAGGAGATCCAGCAATAGCCTCTTTGACAACATCTTGCTTGTTGAATTTGGCATTAGACTGGGCGAAGTCGAAGTCAGAGTCGGGAACCGCGACCTTAGCGGCAGTAGGACGTCCACCACGGCCTCGACCTCTGCTGGCTGGTCCACCTCGGACGGCGTTGACCCGCATCTCGTTGACCTTGTTCGTCAGGTTGTCCATAGCGTTGCCACTGTTGTTGCCCAATTGGGCCATAGCAACAGCGACCGCAGCCCTAGCAGCGTTGGTGGCATCCTGAACATTGGGCGGTGCAGTAGCTGCGGGAGCCTTGCTGGCAGCATCACCTCCTGCGCCTGGTAGAGAGAAGGGCTTGGCAGCAGATCCTGTCAAAGGAATCACAGGATTGACCCGGTGATTCCTGGGTCCAGTAGGAGTAGCCTTGCTGATGTCCTCAGGCTTTGCTTGGCCATTGGCTGCTAGGCTCGCAGCAGTCTGCTTGACTTCCTCAACCGAAGGTTTCGATTCGACAGGTGGTGTAGGGGCATGAGAGGGCTGTCGCACACCTTGAGCCAGCGATTTGGGTTCCGTGGGGGGTGCTGCCTGTCCGCTGGGAGTGGCTGGCTTGGCTCGATCGGCGCCAGGACCAATAGGAGCTGGCTTCGCATCTTGTGAGGGACCAGAGCCTGAAGTGGCTCGTTGGTTCGCGGGAGCTTCAACAGGTGCGTTAGGGCCAGGAGCACCGGGACCGCCAGGGCCTGGTGGAAAAGGATAGTTGCCCCAGGGTCCGGGACCTCCAGGACCTCCGGGACCGTTGGGTCCACCAGGGCCGCCCGGAAATCCTTGACCAGGAGGGAACCAGCCAGGAGGAGGGGGATACGGCATGTTCCCAAAGTTAGGGCCTGGGCCAGGTCCTGGAGCACCACCACGACCCCAGTTTCCTGGTGGTGGGCCTCCGTAGAAGTTGTTGGGCGGGTAAGGTCCTTGGCCTGGGCCGAAAGCAGCAGGTCCTCCTGGTGGAGCATTTTGGTTAGGCCCTTGGGCTCCAGGGCGAGCTCGAGCCTTGTAGCTTGTTAGCTTACGTGTCTTGAACCACAACAGCAAAAATGACAACAGAGTGTGAAATCCCAATCAGAAGGCAACGGAAATCTCGACATTATTTTTTGCGCTTTCCGACAATGACAATGTTTTACATCCGAAATATTTCATCATATGGGAGAAGGAGAAGGGGGATGTTCAAAGGGTAGAAAATGACTTACGCCAACGATGGCCGGATCATCGGGCACAGCTGGAGGCTTGTTCTCCTTGATGTTGGGATGATCCTCAATTCGTAGATCCTTCACGTCGCTGCCTCGGAATACAATGTACTCGTAGACTTGGTCGGAGGGGGCAATCTCTTCGTCAGGTCGACCTTTGCGACCTTCGGTACCGAATGACCTCACATTTTCAAGTGATACTGTCGACTCGTCCGAGTTGATTTCATGTAGAGTGCCAACATAGCTACCACAAGGTCAGCTACGTCAATCAATTGACGCGATTGAGCAAGTCACATACCGAATATCGCTTTTGGAGATGAGGGAAATGCGAGACCTATGGCTGCGTAAGCGGGCGTAGGCAGGCTTCAATGACCACGTCCAGCATACCCGAGAAATTCAGACATCGCCGATGTGAAAAGCCACGTTCAGCACGTGGTGAGCTTTGTGGGGGAGAGAAAAACGCTCTAAATACAAATACAGTAGCAAGAAGATGCACGATTCGATGGGTGGGAGGGAGAAGAGAGAAGGAGATTGTTTGGTCGTGAGCGAGGGAGAGGGAGAGAGGTGTGAGATGAAGGAGGGCGAGGTTGGTTGTGGTTGTGTGGAGGCAGTAGAGTTTTGTGAGAGATGAGGAATGAAAAGAGGCTGGAGGTTTCTAGAGCAAAGCCCTGCTAGTAGTAAGATGCGGATTAACCTCGGCTGTTTTTCGGCGATTGTTTGGTTACGTAGCTCGAGGCTCGAGCTCAAACACCTTCAACAAGAAGAGGTTGAGGGAAGGCTCTGAAACAGATGACTGATGCAGCAACATATATAAACTGAGTGATTCAGCTACGTTTGACGGTGAATGATCGTATTCTGCTATTGCATTGGAATTTGGTAGAAAGTTCACTTCAGATATGAAAAGTGACACTCATTATGAGAGTGGATATAGTAACATTGTACTCTCAAGACTTAAGATTTCCAAATTACACTCTAACCATTGTGATTTCAAAAATTGTTGTAGTAAGACAAGACGGTCTACATCTACAAATCACTAAGCATGCTAAACTCCTTCATCAAACGAAAGTACGCGTAAGGCCCATTATCAATAACAGCATAGCGCATCCATTGTAAGCCAAGCCAAGCCGGGTCAAGAAAACGACTGCCTAAACTCCAATAACCAAAGCCATTCCTCATCGGAACTTGCTGAAGATGACCGCAATAATAAGAATAACCAAAACAGTGATAATAGAGATGGTGATTATCCGATTTGTAGCCATCCTGCAATTTCAAAAAATGTCAGCTCTTCCGTAATTTGCCATGACGTCTGTGTGGGCCACTTTACCTACGCGCCATGCCCCTGAGTGTCTTGACGCTCCTGTCCACGTAGCCCTCACTCTCGAGCATTATGCCGCGAGTGTGCTCGATGGTTTCTCGCTGCCTGCTGAGGTCTGCTAGGGTGCCTGCGCCGATGGCTTCGGTCTCGTTGGCGAGGGCCTGGCTGGCCTTCAATCGCTGTGTGCTTCGATCAAGACGGTCGGTCCCCGAGAGCAACTGCTGTCGCTGCTCCATGTGAATGTCTGATGAGCCAGCGGGGTCGTCTGTGTATCGCGATCCGAAAAGTGCTGACCGATCGGAGGAGAGAGTGGTCAACTTGCGACGAGCAGCATCTGTGTCTGATTCGTAGTTTCGGAAGCGCTGATTGACCTTGGTGCGAGAGCTGGTGGGAATGTTTTGCTTTTCCAGGCGCATTGCGCTGAGCTGAACGGCGAAAGAGTTAGCATGGACCTGAGTACTGGTGGCGATGTTGAACACCAGATAGACCTACCTGCTCATCAAGTTCCTCAAGCGCCCGCTCGGCTTGGCTGATAGCGGCCTTTCGAGGCTCACCAGCTAGTTCAGGAATCTGGTCCAGCTTTTGGTTTAGGTCGGCCTGGATGAGCTTGAATTCAGCCTCGTATGAGCTGAAGAGCTCAGAGCCAGCATCGGTATCGAGAGGGTTCGACATCGTGAAAGGAGGCTGGAGAATGACAGGAGATCGAGGGGATTGCAAATGCGACTAATTTCGGTCGTGATAGGAGTCGGACGCCGAATTATAGAATTTGTTGGGGGATGTAGTTGAATTCGTGTCGAACGCGCAATATTCGGGTGATGTTGGATCTGAGTGGTTGATGGTTTGACGTTCTCGTCAGCGTTCCAAGTTTGGCAGGCCGAGTACTGAGTGCCTGGTCGTTTGCGTATGAGAGGCCAAGTGACCAATGAAAGCAGCACGCAATGGTGCACGTGATGTGGTGGTCTGTGCACGATTGAATCTGGGGCAGTATATCACTGAGAGTTGGCGACGAAATTTTGGGCTTTTTCTTCTTTTTTTCTCTTCATAGAAAGTTGAATACCCCGGATTGCGAAGAAAAAGCGGCTCAGCGCCACGACCTCGGTCAATGGCGTCGGGTTGAAACAAACTGGGCAGACGAAGGCGGGTTTATCCTGCGCGGCGCTTTTAAGAATTGGTGACTCGAATTACCGTTTACCAGTCCCGTTGAGTGTTCGACATACCATAATTTGAGGTCTTTGAAGGATTGCATAATGAAATAGCGGTTTTAAATGTTATGCATGTGAAAATGATGTCCGGATCAGCTATCGTCCTGCCAGGCTCGGCGTGGTGTAGAGTTTTCTTCAAGGTTGGGTTGAGATTTTCGGATCTTGAGGCTGCTGATGAAAAAAACCCTGAAACGGCATTTCAGCCAAGCCACATCCAGGATATTGATCAAGATGTGGCAGGCTGCATATCCCGCGAGGTTACAGTGCAGCCACAGGAGCATGAACCACCTGAGCTATCGCATAATGCCATTGATTATTGGGATCCATTGCCAGCTGTACTAGCTCCAGCTGACAGTTCAGCAGCCAAGCTTGCAAGGTCCTTTACAAGGTCCCTACCGAGTCGAGTCGAGTCGAGTCGCGAGTCACTTCGGTTTCGAGCTCCGTCCGTGTTAGTGGGTCATAAGCTCAATGTTGGGACGGGATAATCATCGATGTCATTTCTCGGAACCCCCAGCAAAAATAGAAGCTCGACCATTCATCTCCCGCTGACTCCCACCCTCCGCAAACTCTCATATTGTAGATCCCCAAAAGCCACTGTCTCTCTTTGAAGCCAGAAACAGAAGCAAGGCATTACGGCACTGCTACTAACTCTAATCTGCCTGTCTTATCTATTAGTACATCTCGGATACTGTATCCGCTACTCGCTAAAGCATGCTGGAGCCACAGCACATGTAAGTCCTTGTCTCGTCATGGTGACCTCCACTATTGCTTCCGTTGTCCAACCCCCCCAAAATCTATTCCATTGCCTCGTCATCAAATCAGCTTCGACAACTCACACCGTCTGTGGCTGCGAGACCAATACCGATACCGCTATTTATCCAATCATGAATTGATCATCGCCTGAACTGGAGTTTTGGGCTTGGCTCTGTCACATGCTTTTCCTTCTATTCTTTGCTCTGTCTCTAGTCTGTTTCTGCTCTCTATTCAAGATAGATATGTCTTGTACACCCGCTTGAACAGAGCAAACCTTTCCCTCTCTATTGTCTGCCTGCCTACACCGACAGTCGATACAATGAGCTCCTCGACTGATCGCTTCCGCAGGAAAAGGGTCGCCATTGTCGGCAGCGGCTCTGCTGGAATAGGTGCTCTGTGGGCCTTGAACAAGACGTATCATGATGTCTACGTCTACGAAGCCTCCGACAGGTTTGGCGGTCATACAAACACTGTCGATTTCAAAAAGGGAAAGTTTTCGACAAAGGTCGATACAGGCTTTCATGTTTTGAACGCCGCCACATACCGTGAGTCTTTGTCCCCTTCAACGGTTATGCGCCTAAGCTCACCAAGCTCCCTTAGCCAACTTTACCAAGTTCTTGGAGAAGATCAACGTCAAGACTACACCAACAGACCTAACATTCAGTCTATCTCGAGATCGCGGCGCTTTCGAATGGTCCGGTTCCAGTCCAGCCTCATTATTTTGTCAACGAAGAAATTTACTCTCACCGCGAATGTGGCGAATGCTTTTCGACATATTCCGTTTCAACCAATTCGCCTTGGATATCTTGAGCGATGACGAAGACGATATATCGAGCATTGAAGTTTTAAACAAAGCGACAAACTGTACCTGCAAAGACATCACAATTGGGAAATACTTGGAGCTTGAAGGCTACTCGAATGCCTTTAGAGACGATTATCTTCTTCCTCTGGCGGCATCAATATGGAGCACGAGTCCTGACAAGTGCTCACTTGAGTTCCCCGCAGCGACATTCGTGCGCTTCCTGTGAGTTCGGATTTCTAGTGACACTGTACAAGCCCATACTAATCATGTCTCAGTTGGAATCATCATTTACTGAACACAATAAGAGCTCGCCCTCAGTGGTTGACAATAGAGGGCGGCTCTAAATCATATGTCGATGCTGTCTTGAAAGGATTCCCTCCCAATCATCTTTTTCTCAAGACACCAGTCAGGCATGTTACGACTGAGAGCAACGGTCAAGTTAGGCTGCACCTGGAAAATGGTTCATCAGCTCTGTACGACCACGTCATTCTCGCCACACATGGTGATGAGGCATTCGATATCATCAAGTCATCCGCCAGTGAGCAAGAACGTTCCATCATGTCCAGTTTCAAGACGTCACAAAATGAAGCCGTTCTTCACTCCGATCTCGATATGATGCCTCGCCGTAAGAAGGCTTGGGCCAGCTGGAATTATCTTGCAGTGTCATCGCCGTCTTCACGAAAGGGAAACATCAACCAGGTTTCACTCACTTACAACATGAACATCCTTCAGCACATTCCTCGAAACACATTCGGCGACGTCTTCGTTACTTTGAACCCGCTTCAAAGGCCAAAGCCAGCAAAAACGCAGGGACGTTATTATTACTCGCAACCTATATACACCTCATCCGCCGTCCGAGCACAGAAACTTCTAAAACACATCCAAAACACTCGCGGTATTAGTTATGCCGGCGCGTGGACCAAGTACGGTCTCCATGAGGATGGTTTCAGCAGCGGACTCGAAGTGGCCCAAGAACACTTGGGTGCTAAGCTCCCATTCGAGTTTACCGATTCTACATACAGCCGAGGCAAGATCCCAAGCCTAAGTCTCATTGATCATTTGTTACGCTTGATCATCTTGGTGATTCAGGTTTTTGTGGTTCAGATCCTTGAACGATTGGTCGGGAGCAGTCCTTCTCCACGTCAACGGCTTGTGAATGGTAACAGGGTGAGATTTGCAAACGGAAAGCATCGATAAAAGTGAATTGTGTGTCTATTTGGTAGGAGTTCTTTAAGATTGGTAGTTTTTTCTGATTTGCAGGCGTGCACTTGAGGTTAAGTTATATAGCATAAAGCGATGAGATTGCATAGGCAGGTTTATGCTGCACGATTACTGAATTCGATATCATTTCTTCTTTCACACTCTTGGGTTGGCAAACATCATGGGGTACTAGGCTCGCAAGTTAGAGTAATATGATACTTGTTGCAAAGCGAAAGTGTTTCTACTCCACTTCAGGCATCAAAGGTGAGGCCTTCAAACCATGACATTCACATGCCTTCCACGCAATATGACTACGTGGTGACTTGACTTGCGATCAACCTTATCATAGAGCCCTTATGTTACATGGAGGTGACGTGTCGCTACAATGAGATGTCTCCTCAACGCAGATAGGCCACTGGAGAGTTGCGAGATGTGGTAGTCTATACGTGGATAACACGCTCAATGGCAGTTAAGGATTGGTCCAAATATCATCATTATTCGCTTGCCTATATACCCAGAATCTAAAGCAAACGCCATTACACTTTTAAGCATTGTAGCAACTACCTCGAAGGTAAGTTGGACAGTATCGCAATACCAACGCCCAATAACAACTGCACACCCAAACTCAATCCCAAGATGAGATGGACATACATCCACTTCGTAATCTGCAACACAACACCATTCTCAGGCTGCATCCCCGGAACTACTATACCAGTAGAAGCCTGCGCCGTAACAGCTATCACACCAATCGCAAAAGTCGACATCAACTGTCCCATATCTTCCGTACTCCCATTCAGGGGCTGTCCATACGAGGACTCGGCTGGATAACTCTGGAACTGTCGATCGCTGTTCGTAGGACCAAGTGAAGAAGCTCCGTATCCTTGCAGTGCTATAGCTGAAGTGGCGAGCGATGTGACGTTGTTTCCGATGTAGTGCTCCTTGCGTATGGCGTTGACGACGGGTGCAACACTCACGTTGCAGCGGTAGAACCATGCTTGGGAACTTGAGGCTTCAAAGGCTGTTACTTCACTCCATGTTTGGCCCTGAGGTGCAGCGGCGTTGAACATGAATGTTGTTTGGTTGGCGCCGTTTATGGCTGTGATGTTGACTTCTGTTCTTTTGTCATCGTCGATTGTGATGGAGATTTCGTTGCCGTTGCCTCCTTTTGCGACTTTCCAGCTGCGGCAATACCCTGTGGCTTCGACACTCCTGTTGGTGCTCACCACGAGATCGTATTTCTTGGGCCGTGAAGCGGATTCCTGGAAGACGTATATGCAAGATTTTCCGCCGCAGAATGCCAAAGGATCGTTGTTGTCCCATAGTGTTCCAGGTTTAGGAATATCGTCCATGCCTCCCCAGACCGGCCCAAGGGCGATAGTGCCATAACTAAACGTTTTGTCAGCGTTTACTTATGGAACCTTTGGGAGACCTTAGTGTACCTGTTTGCAGTGTATCGCAAGGCACCGAGCGCTTGTGAGTTGTTTTGCGACTTGTCTGCGAGAACTCTGTTTGTGACGATGTTGGACATGTCTGGTATTGTGACATTGCCAGGGTGTAGAATTGCAGCCGAGTCAGCTGTGTTTGTTGAGTAGACGAGACCGAGCATCGCTAAAGCAATCTGGGATACTATGTTGAGTATTATGAAAGCCACAGCGTATGACCGTAGTGAACGTGATTTAGATACCCAAGTGAGTTGGATGATCTTGGTCAAGTCTTTTGCTTTCAATATCAACTCGGTCTACCAGGTATTAGTTACCATTCACAATCGATATTTCCGAGCTTGACTTACCTCTCGATCTGGCCAATCTCGAAGACTGATAATCCAATATCTGATCTCCACAGCCATTGCCTCCAGAGATATCGTTATGCTCATTCCAAGACCGAGCGACAGTCCAATAATAAGAGCGTTGAATTCTCGTTTTGTCGTTGTCGACATGATATCTAGCTTCGAGTAGTACCATAATATCACGTAAATGGCGACGACAAACAGCACTGAAGCGAACCATCTTAAGATATTCGCAACCAGAGCCTTCCGTAGCTTCTTTGGACGATTTCGAAGCTTCTCTAAAGCAATTGCCCTGCTTGGTCGTCGATGGTGTAATGCTTTATCGGATTGTTGTGGCGAGCCTGGCGTTGGCGTTGAGTTTGACCTGCAGAGGGGATTCGATTCATCTCGCTGGTAGTCATGATGTGGTTGAGTCTGGAACTCTTCCTTTGGTGTATGAAACCTCTCCAGCTCATGAGCCGAGTGTGAATTGTTGTGCCTATCCTCTACCGTTCGCTCCATGGTCAATCACCTGAGAGGATAGAGGATAGAAGTAGTCAATGGCGAGAAACATTTCGAATTCTTTGGTGTTACACATGTTTTGGGCTTGGCTTTTATTTAAGGTTTTTCGCATCTTGCCTTGCTTACAGCTTTCGTGTCGGCGGGTCTAAGGCCAATCCGTTCCATTCGGAGTCAAGTTGAAACAAGCAGCTACTAAAGTACCTTTCCGTCTATTACCTCACGCCTGGAGAGTCACTGCCGTGGGTCTTGGTTGATACTAAGCTTTCAATAAGATCGATCCGTTTAAATGTCTGAGTGGTTATGATGTGCCACCGCGTAAGTGCAACCAATAGAACCGCTCAATGCATACTCCCTTTAAACTGTCAAAGCCACAAAGGATAAGAGATGATAGCATCACTATGGTATCCGAAAAAAGAAGCTTTCCAGCTGCTGAAGCATAATCGAGGCCTCCTGCTGCATCTACACTACACTACTGTAAGTTCGGTGGCGCCGACAGGGCTAAACGATGCAGGTGTCTAGAACCTCAAATACGAACGAGCTAATGATCGTAGCCATTGCAGCAGGGATTCATGGCCCACAGACACTGCCGAACTTCCTGCTAAAAGATGATCATGGAAGATCCCATACTACCTAAATGGCACGTGCTTCGGTTTGACATAATAGTTCCAGGGACCGCAGGCGGATGAATTGTCTTTTTATGGTAGGTAGTTAACCGTCCAGTTGAGTAAGCTGAACTCAAACCTCCACTACAGTTGTAGTGTAGCGGTTGTTAACGGCTAGACGGCATAGTTGACACATTCAAGACGTGATGTTCTATTAAAGCAGAAGTTATTAGAGAAGTTATTAAAGGATAATAGTACAAAATGAAGGAACATATCTTCACTTTTTAGCTTTTAAGAAAGCTATTCGCATGTCACTTACACCAAGATATCTGTCTGCAAAAGCCACCTAGTTATTCATCTGTGATGTAAAGACAAGTTGTTCACTGGAGGCCAATAAATAGAAATGAGTGACAATTCAGTAGGAATACCGCAGTAGATAGATATTGAATGCGATTTACGAAATTAAGCAATTACCAAACATGCCAAACTTCATGATCAATAGGCGTTTTTCCACAGGGTAGCTCACTTCCCACCATCGGCATTGCAGATCCCGATCCCCGACGTCAGCAAGAAATCCCCAAACATCAGCCGACTCAATAGCTACGTCTCACCACCAACAAAACCACCAATTGGCCCCAATTGACCATGAACGTAGCGCCTCGACTCGCGCGAAGTTCAGCCCTAGCGGCTTCTTCACAATGGTCATGTTTCTTCTGCCAGAATACCCGACCGAAGCTCCAGCGAAATGCCTTCAACTTTGCCCGCAATGCATCGAATAACGCCCGCACGGGACAGCCTTATACACCTACGATGGAGGAGATTCGTGCGCATTATAGCAAGAAGAACAGGACCGTAGCGTACGATTGAAAATGGGACTGCAGAGGTCGTGGCTTACGATTATCAGGTACTACGTCTTGAGTACAATCCTCGGATTTGTAACTCTCACTTATGGCTCTGTGCCCTTCTACAAGATGGTGAGGCACTCCCTCCTCAATATCATGATCCTTTCTAATGTACTTGAAGATCTGCCAAACCACCGGCTGGGGCGGTCAGCCTGTACGTGCCCACGGTGGTCCAGGATCAGGCGACGAAGGCGATCTCGCAAGCCGAGTCGTCCCCGTTAGAGACGCCAAGCGAATCAAAGTCACTTTCAGTGCCTCTGTCTCCGATGTCCTGCCCTGGAAGTTCGTCCCTCAACAGCGAGAAGTGCGAGTTCTCCCCGGTGAGACCGCACTGGCTTTCTACAAGGCCACCAACAAAAGTGACCAGGATATCATCGGAGTTGCTACCTACAGTGTGACACCTGCCCAGTGTGCGCCGTACTTCAGTAAGATCCAGTGTTTCTGCTTCGAGGAGCAGCGTCTCAATGCGGGCGAGACTGTGGACATGCCCGTTTTCTTCTACTTGGACCCTGATCTGCTCAATGATATGAACATGAAGGGCATAGAGACTGTGACATTGAGTTACACCTTCTTCAGTAAGTTATTCAAGTCACATAAGGAAGATAGAAAGCCTAACGACTATTGTAGAAGCCAGATACGATAACAATGGACGATTCCAGAGACCTATGTCTGCATAGATGGGACAGATGTGTTGGATTAAATGTACAATACCCTCCTCTTGTAAAACAATATGCATACCATAGAGTTATTTCGGATTAGACATGTCTATGACGTTGAAGACTATGACTCCGTGCCACACGGATTCAAGTCAATGATCAACACTTCTTTCTAGTCAAAAATTACTTCTATAAAGCTTCAAATTCCTCGCATGTGCCATTAGCATCCGACATCATGCAGATTCTTCTCATCTCCTCAACTTGACGCCGATACCTGCAAAGAAAAACGGTGTTCTAATGCTCCAATGCGGCAAATGCGGCCCGCAATCGCTGACTCAGCCAACTCCACCATCGAGCTCAAAGTAAGGTAGGGTAATTCAGTCACGTGCCCACAAACTCACTAAAATCCACACAACTTTTTCTCCTTCAGTTTTTCTTTCGTTTTGTCAATCCGCTCTTCATCGCCCAACGCTCAACTAACTCACCAGCGTCGTCCTCGCCAACCACCGACAAAATGGTCAAAGTCAGCCCCAGTGAGTTTCTCTATACGCAACAATAGCTTTTCGTGTTTATTCTGACCTCAATTAGTCGTTTCGTCTTCTCGACGCAAGAGCCGTGCCGCTCACTTCAAGGCTCCCTCTGACCAGCGCCGTGTCATTATGAGCGCTCCCCTCTCCAAGGAGCTCCGTGAGAAGTACAACGTGAGTCCTTATGACAGTCAACCTAAATTTTCACGTCCCTAACAACGCCCAGGTCCGCTCTATCCCCATCCGAAAGGACGACGAGGTCACCATTGTCCGTGGCTCCAACAAGGGCCGTGAGGGCAAGATCACCTCCGTGTACCGTCTCAAGTACGTTGTCCACGTCGAGCGTGTCACCCGCGACAAGGCCAACGGCCAGTCCGTCCCCCTGGGCATCCACCCCTCCAACGTCGTCATCACCAAGCTCAAGCTTGACAAGGACCGTGAGGACATCCTGGCCCGCTCCAAGGTTGGCCGTGAGCTCGCTGCCAACAACAAGGTCACTGCTTAAGCGATGAACTTTGTCGAGCAATAACAGAAACCAAACCACCAAAACCTTCAAGACGACACGATCAAACCTCCTCCATGGCGAGGACGAATCTTTTTTCTTTTTTCACCACTCACATAATCACGACATCAATGTGAGCAACTCAAAGGGCAAAAGTTGATGAGGAAATGGGCATTTTACTCCGGCGTTTTTACGATACCTACGTGCTTTCCTTCTAACCGCACGGTACCTGGTCTACAGCAGGGTAGATGAATTGAGAATTTTTAGGGTTCTCAATGGCCATTTCACTCAACTGGTGAAATGCTCCATGGGAGGTTTATCCCGAAGTCTTGACCTGCTCTCCCCACATGCACATTTGCGAGTCCCCTCGTGATGTTATGTCGGACAGGTGGCTGACCCATCTGTCCTCTCGTAGGATGCTAACACAACCATCAGACGCATTCAATTCAATGCCTGTCTGTCGTAGACTTGAGTCGCACTTCGGTGCCTCTGCGCGGTAAGTCGTAGACTTGATCCACCGCTAGGATATCTCCGCGTCAACCACTTAGATCCATGGTTTTCGGGGTATACGTCTAGCGAAGAGTAAACCCGGCAGGACCCAACTACTATCATGGGGTCCTGCTCTCCCTAGAAGATTTTCACCGAGTTGCCAATGAGGCTGGAAATTTGAAGGTGAGGTACATGCTTTTAGCGTTATTTTTAGTATTTTGCAATCAAACATCATTTCTCATTCGTCATATTTTACCGTTCACTTGTCCCGACAAGTCGTACTTAGAATCCTTACTGAGAAGCGTTCATTCACAGACCCAGTGCGAAGAGGAGTCTAATGGCTAGCAAATATTTGTGAGCAAACGTATCTAACATAGAGTCCTATGAACATAATCCATGCCCTTGATGAGAATGATCCATCTACCACTTATTCTGCACATTGAGGCAAACTTTTTGACGTCTGTCCATGACCCTCGAAACCCTAACATGTTAAGTATTCTAACACTGATGTTGCCTGTGCGTCTGTGTGCTAGGCGGTTTATTTGATCAAGCGTTGACCGATTCAACCAAATGCAAAGGCCATCGGCTGTGGTGGACTGTGAAACCATGCTTTAACCATGAGTAGCATGTGAAAGAAGCTGTGCAGTAAGTAATACAAATTGTAATCATAAGAGCAATGGCTGATGCCGATCGAAAGCAAGGAAGATGCGGCATCATCGATCGTCCCGCGTCCAAGAAATTGGAAAGGTTGTCAAGAAAGAATGTGAGAGGGAGGTTGTTCAGCGAGTAGAGAACCCATGGTGGCTCTTGTCCTGAAGGCTGACGCCGCGCAATTGTTGATCAAGAAGTTCAAGGGGTGGTCTGTTCTCTTCACGTCTTCCGACAGTGATGTTTGCTGTTGGGGAAGCGTTCACGTCTCCCAGCCTGGCACTGTTACCACGAGAGTTGGTAGTAACTGCAGGAGTTAAGGATGCAGTAGCATGCCCGGCGTAATGAGGCAGCACACCTTGAGCAGTCATGGGGGAGACCTGTCCTGCAACTACGTTCGCGCTCGTTTTCCCATTCTTTCGCATCGTGGACCATATGTCTTTCGGATACTTGCTGCTACGAAGTTAGCATCGGTCACACTGAGTAATATGGTATTCACATACCTCGTGTCGCGATCAACTCGGCGCCCTTTGAAGAGAAGATTGCCCTCTTCGTCACCCGAGTCGTCTGAAACTCTGGCACGCAACTTCTCACTCGGGTTTCGTGGACCCTCATTGATCGCACGGCGAAATTCCAGGTATCGACTTCCAGAATGAGCAGCGTGGGATTCGGATCGAGGCACCTCAGAGGTTGAGCTTGCGTGAAGAGAGTCGTCAGTACGATGTAAAGACTCGGAGCGAGTAGCGTCATCAAAGCCGTAACGTGCAGAAGACCTGGTAGCTTCGGAGACAGCGTGGAAAGGATCAACCTCATTAGGCTTCATAGGCGACGTTTTTGGCTCATTTGACCCAGAGGCGTTTTGAGGAACATATTCACCAGCGCTAATAGGTTCCTCCTTGATAACGCAAGGTGGATAGAAATTCTTGCCGTCATACAGAGGGAGTCCATTCTCGAAGATAAAAGGTGCCCGTCCCCAATATGTGAAGCGAGCGCGCTCTTCATCCGGCATCAACTCGCGATCGTACACATAATCAGTGTCTCTTGCGTTTTCTGGCTGAACTCCTGGCTTGAGCTTCCCAATGAGATAGGGAGGGCCCATGCTCTTGTCAGCATGAAGCTTGTTCCTAAAGAACGTTCGCCAGCCCTCAGCGTTCTTGTACATGCGTTCGTATTGCTGGATTTGCGCCCCCTCGTCGACTTCTTCTACCTCATCAGGTGCGACAGCAGATGTTGATAGATCTGAGCGCGGCTGGAAGACAGGTGCCAAAGCAGCATGGATCGGAAGGCTTGATGGCTTACGCTGTTGTACATCGTCATTCTTCGACGCATTGCTGAAGTTCTTGGCCGAAGTGGCTGCCGTGGTTGGTAGCCGACTTTGAACACCCGCAAGGCGTGTGTCAGTCTTTTCGACTGACGATTGATTATCGAAGCCTGAGGGATGCAATGGATTGACTGCGTTTGAGCCATCGGATTCACTGTTGCTGTTGCCATAGTCATTGGATGAGTTGGAAGGGGGCCCGCTAGGAGACCCGACCTTTGGGTATTTCCTGGACTCGAACTCGAGCTGAGTCGCCAGCATGCGCTCGAAATGCTCAATCTCTCGGCAAATGTTCTGAAGCCGTTCTTCCATGTCTCCAGCATCGATCTGGTGCTTGTTGTACCGAAGTTGGTCTTCGTGGTAACGTTTTTGACTGCGAAGAACCTCAAGCTGCTTCTGGGTAATTGAGCTCGGACGAATTGACGACACGGGAGGACTGGCGGAACTTGAAGGATCATTCTGTAAGCAAAGGGGCAATGGCCCAGGCTGTCGCGACGATGGGCGTCCATATCTAGCAGGAGCTACGTTGAAATCACCACTGGGGCGAGGAGCTGATGGACTGGGGACAGCAGGGGGTGCAAAGCTCATCTGAGGTGGCATGCTGATAGGGTATAGAGCACCTCCATTCGCGATCCACCACTGTCCGTTGTATAAGAATGGGCGGGAGTTATCGAACTGCTCGGCAGGAGAGAGGTGAATATTTCGCGCCTGTTCCATACCCGCGTCCGGAAGCTTGCCATAAGGACCAGCTTGACTCGGGAGTTGCATTGGGAGACCAGAGGTAGAAAACTGATTGTATGAAACGGGAGCCAGGTTATAACCCATAGGGGGAGGTATAAAATGGTATCCTTCAGGTCGAAGTTCCATTCCTGGTAAAGTTCCTGGAACATGTGGAGGGACCATTGGAGCAAAATGGCCCCAACTAGGAGGGAAAACGGGATAAGCAACGCCCTCAGGCTGACTAACATTCATATTACGAGTCTGGTTCTGCCCATCGATCGAGCTTCGCTCTCGGCTCCATTTCGATGTTGGAGAATGAGGCCCTCGAGTGTTGGGCACAATTCGACCACCGGCAGTGACCCGAACATGGGTGGGGGAAACAACAGAGTTGTAAAACTTCTGAAAGCCTTCGGATTTCTGGGTTGCGAGATCTGCTGGAGCAATAGTCGGTGCTCGATCAAGTTCAGAATCACTCCGGCCTCGGTACTTGCGATCCGAGTCGGTGCCGTCAAGCTGCTGCGCAGGACGTCGATGCATCTCGTCGGAGTCGCTGGAGTTACCCTCTTCGATAATAAGGGATAATGATGGACTGATCACGAGAGGGGTGCGGATGATGTCTTCTGCTTAAAATTAGATTTCAAGTTCATGTTCTGGGGGTAAAAAAGAGACTGGAACGTACCTAATTCTCTGTCTTCCAAGACCTTGGAGACGAGTTTGCGAGAAATCTCTTTTCGGGGAGGCCTGTGACGTAGACGCAACAATTCACGAGCAGTGTAGACAATGTGTCTCATCTTGGAAGGGCCCAAGTAAAAAGACAACAATCAGCTGCGATGAAAGAACCCAGTTAGCAAAATTCCAAGTATTTCTTTGGGAAGCCAATGCCAAATCTCCCTGTATCAAAATGGAGAGTTGTTGACGAGAACCAGGAGCAAGCAAGCCAAGATATTGTCGTTAAATAAAAAGGCTGAACCGACCATGATGAGAAGCCAGGGGCGATCTACCAAGTGCAGTAGCTAGGAGACTTTACAGTGTACTGGATTCTGGGGCAGCCCAAAAAGCGATGCTATCCCGCCAGTGCAAACGGACCGGCAGCGAAAAGGTCGACACAAGGGTAGAAAAAGGAGGAAGCTCCAACTTACTTGATATGTACTGACAGCTAAAAAGCAAACAGTAGATGATACAAACTGAACAGTGCCCTTTGTTTCTAGGCGTATAACTTGAATGGCAATGTCTTGATGTGAATGCCAGATAGTGAACGTTTTCTGACAAAGACTGACAATGAGAGCAACAGCGTGTGGTCGTGAGCGAAGGCAAGGGTCGAATACTCGGTGAAGTGAACGAGGATGATGGAAGTGAAAGGTTGATGATCGTAATTGTTTCAAAGATCAAAGTGTTAAGGCTTGGTAGGCAGGTCGAAGTGAGGGAGGTAGGTGCAGAGGGAAGTCACTGGTTTTGGGAAGGGCCCCCTTCCACTCTCCGAGGAGAGGAGCACCCCAACAGTGAAATGATACAGAAGCCGCGATCAAGTTACCTCGCGGTGTGTTCTTTCGGTGAGCGGTATCTATTCACAATGAACGGTTAGAAAATTCACAGGAAAGAAGAGTGAGGAGAGAAGGAAAGGAAAGGAGTCAACGAGCACGCCTGACACTCAGGTGAAAGCGAAGGCAAGAGCACGATAACTACTCCAAACTCGAATGAGGATAATAAAGAGGTGGGAAAATGAAAGAGAAAGAAGGGTAAAAGGACGCGAAGCTATTCTGAAAAGAAAATAATGCCAAGGGAATACTCACATCGAGGGTGGGGGAGTAGAGAGGAGGGAAATGGCCACAAAGGCAAAGATGAGATGAGGATTAGTGAATTAAAGCTCACAGTATAAGCTTAAAGTCTCTTCTTGAATGGCCTTTGAGAATGCTTTGCTTTGTGCCAGGAGATGATATCCCTGGGGGAGAAACAGAGCATACTGTGAAGAACTCGAGCTGATCATAGGAGAGACTGCAGGGGGAACATCTACACACTTCAGATACCACAATCGGTAACCTAATGTCACATTTACTTAGTTGAGGTGATGGATAGAAGACTGGTTGCTTTAATTGTAATAATAGGTTCCTCTCAATACAATGCAATACATCAATAAGTCAGGGGGCACTGGCGTTTGCACGAGAACTCCTTCACCCACTCCCTGGCTTGCAAACACTTGAGTGATCTCCGCGTTTGAAGACACAAGATTATTCTCCGTGCGAACCATTTGCATGGATGAGAGATGGGAGAGACGAATTAGGCATATTTGTTGAAACTTGAGTATTAGTGCATGCCTTGTGATACGTCTGGACTCAAGCACAATGCGAACTGGAGACCGCTTTTTACACGATGAGTTTCTATGAACACGATCATAACTCAGTGTTAAACTCACAATAGTTAAAGCATGCGTTTTTTGAAAGCTGTGAATGGCTTCGTCCTGCGAAACTGTTGTCGTTATCAGGGAGTGCCTCTCAACCATCCTGAAAAGGAGAGGTTGAAACAAAAGTACTGTTAAAGGATGTGTACTTTGCAATCATCGCGAAGAACTCACTTTTAGAGAGGTTTCTTCGAACCACCTCAATAAAATGTTGGAATATTGGTGTTGCTCTTTTTCATCCTCACTTGCACGGGACCAAAGGTGGTGGTGTAATTCACTGGACACTTGCAGAAGGGTTCACGCACCGAAGGGAGAACCGTCTCGAGGTTGGTGGGAAGATGCTCAATAATTTCCTCCCAGACTTCTCGTTTACTAGACTCAATGATAATGTATTCGTTTTAAAGTGGTACTATTGTGATATTGTGTAAGGGAGAGTTGAATATGTGTAAGTGAGGGGTAACTTGGAAGCGTTTGTATCAATAATGTAATTCAAAGAAACAATAGAAACAGTGATATTAAAATGAAGAAAACACAGTATTGGACCCTGTTGATCCAGTGTTTGGTTTCAAGATATCAATGCATTGAAGAGAACCCTACTTATCTGGTGACAAAATGGCCCAGTCGTTGGAACATAATTATTCTTGTCGCCTGCACTGAAGCCTTATTAACGCTGGCCTAGAGACTGTATCGCTTGGTGAATAGACATTCAATGCTAATGAATTGCACACATGGACTCACCAAATGATGACAGAACTTCATTATTTCTCGAAGCTGATTCTTTCTATGTTTGTTTGACCGTTGATGCCTATGAACTTGGCGTATGCCTTTGTCCCTTCAATAAAAAACCTGGCCGACGCAGCGCTTCAAGGTAGGACATGAAGCCTCAATTGCGTCCTTTTCTAAGTAGACATGCACCACTAACATTTGCGGGTTTATTGATTACATGCCTCGATAATACCAGAGTTGTATGACTGTTGTGAAACACCTCATGGGAAGATGAGATGAGGCGTACCTCGGCTTAAAGGACGGAGATGCCGGCCCACCTCTTCGGCCCGCCGCAGCCATGACCACGGCTCATGAGACCTCATGCAATGTCAGCTGTCATGCCGAGCTATAGAGAGATGGTCCACAAGATATATTCCTTTGTCTTATGGACAAGATGCCCAAGACTATTGACACCGATTAATATAGGCTCAATTACCTTTTACGCATTCCTCATGATAAGCATATTTTATCCTATTAGCTATCATGAGCTGCTGTGTTACCCCTCCATCTTGTGATTGTCAGCCAATGTACCCCTCCACACCAATATCCCACCATCGCAAAGTAGCTTCAACCCCACGGGCCAGGAACAGCCAATCCCCTGGGTCTAGATTCGTTACTGCTCTTGTCACATCACTAATTCTGTGACACATTCATTGCTGATAGGTCACCCCTGGCCAAGGTCTCATGCCATGCTGGCGGTACCAGCGGATAATAACTTTCCGGGATATAAGGTGCCTTCGCTATAGTTACAGCTCTAGGTATAGACAAAGAATGAAACAAGATGCTGCCGGTACTCCGGATCTTAGTCCTCCTCGGCCCCATCACTTTACCCCGCCACTACCAAGACACAAGCGTGAAATATCCAGAGACCAACCAACTTGAGGTATGCGTACCTATGTCTTCGCGGGGCGGGTCAAACAGGGTCCAGGCATATGAATTGCTTCGGTACTGCGGAGGCTCCAAGCTAAGCAATTCGCCAACACGAGCTACTGTACGTATGCGGGCGTATTAGCTGTGGGCAGATTATTGAGAAACTAAATAAGAATGCTTGTATTTCCTCGTGCTCTCGTTCTCGTTTGTACCTTTGTATTCAATTGATCGAAATTCATCTTTCAGAAGCTATAGCTCCACTTAGACCGAGGTCTCACCAACGCTGCCGATCTCTGACACCGTCCTAAAACGACATCATATAACTTCGATTGTAAGTCCTGTCAAAAATATCCTTCAATTCTCATTCTAACTCATACCTTCAGAGATCGAACTCATATTCAAGCCTTACCCGCTACCAAACCATCAACAATGGCTCCTCTCACTCCCCACTGGCACCAGCCCTCTCACCCCGCCATCCAAGAAGTCGTCATCGTGAACCCCGAGGAATTCACCACCAAGAGCATCTCGCGCGTTTCCCTCCCACCGTTTGCTGTCTTTGCAAAGTTCGATTTCCCTCCCTGCACGCCCGCCAGCGAACCGACCTACGCTACCGTTCAGACCGGCCGCGACACTCATCTCAACTTGAACAGTGACTTGCTGTACATTAACCATTCTTGCGAACCTACTCTCGTTAGTTGACCTACTTGAAGGAGAAGCCCCAGATGTTGAAATGCCCCCGTCCTTCAGAAAGGGACAATTTGATTAACGCGAGGGTATAGCTCTTTGATGTAGGAAACTTGAACATTCTCGTTGGACCCAAGGGTCTCAAGGTTGGCGATGAGCTTACAGTTCGTTATTCTCACCCCTCAAATCTCATGCCCAATAACTCATGAGACGTCTAGTTCTTCTATCCCTCCACCGAATGGCACATGGCCCAGCCCTTCGACTGCCTCTGCGGCACCCCTTCTTGCCGCGGCCGCATCTCTGGTGCGCGCGACATGACCCAAGCCCAGCTCGACGGTATCTGGCTCAACGGTCACATCATCCAGCTCCGCGCCGAGCAGCTCGCCCGCTCCGAGGATCCCACTGCCAACGCCCTCCGCGACGCCGTTGTCCACGCCGAGAAAGTCCTTGAATCGGCTCGTCTTGCTCTTCGTTCTTACGCGAGCAACGCGCACGCTCAGAACGGAAATGGTACTTTTCCTTCCAAGTACACCAACGGAACTCTTGGAAAGGCAGCTGTGTTGGAGCATCGCGGCCCGACCTCTCGTGAGCTGAGCGGTGAGATGGGTGGTGATACTGTCCGCGCTTAGAGGCCAGGGCTTTTGATGGCGGCGACTGGAAGATGTTGCTGCTGTTGAAGAACCCACTGGTATCAGATATGTAGGTAGTTAGTTCACAAACACATTCGTTTTATGATTGACGTGCTGAGTCTCGTTTCGCGGCGACGGTGAAAGCTTCGTTATTGAATTCATGAGTGACTCTCCTAATCTGCCGAAGTCTCTGGTCATCTCCACTCCAGTCAAACGACAAGCCTCCCTATTCAGTATCCCGTCAAGACACCACTGCTCAATTGTCATTATCATAATCCCATTATATATACGCCCAAAAACGCCCAGGACCAGTCGCCGCAAACCAAAAATGTTGTCGAGAAGTTGTGTGGTGTCGAATTGCGAGGATGGCCATCCTTCACTCTCGCTCTTTCGAATCCTTCCAACGACTCCAAGCATTACGTCCCTTTTCAGAGCCAGCACCGCCGCTATACTTGGATTCTTGCTTCTCCCACTCAATCCGTTCCATGCTGCGACGTGCAAGGAAAGCGCGCGCGAACTTCCAGGCTTCTGTGTCTGCCAAGTTCCAAGCTTCGAGCGATGCCCGTAGTCGAGTGTCAACGGTCGATTTCTTGAAGGCAACAATCTTCTTGGCGTGCTCCAGAAGGGCCTTTTCTTTGGCCTGCATTTCTTTTGGTGTGAGTTCTTTCCCCTTCGGCGTATCCTCTGGTCGAGGTTGAGGCTTTTCAGGCCTTGTGTCGCCATCAGCCTTCGCGGCACGCTCCGCCTTTGCTGGTTTATCAGCCTTGACCTTTCCTGGCATGGGCCCTTGCTCAATTTTGCCGCTCATAGCCATATATGTCTCTCCCAAGCCCTTGGGAATGCGGAATCCAAAGTACCACTCCAGATCTGGGGGAATATCAGCTTCAGCCGACAGCCACAGTGCATGAGTCGGGGCGTGTTCATCGGCCACAGCCTGTTTGAAGTGCATGATTCGGGAATTGCTGGAGACCTTGGAGCCCAAGAGTCCTTTTGTGATAGTCTCAAGCCAAGGGTCTCGAGGTGCCTCTTTCCGGATCCAACTAACGTCCACCCTCTCCTTGAGGCTTGTCAAAGTCGCAAGTGTCCAAGGATGAGGGACTGTCCCAATTGCAAACGCACCGCTCGTATTCTGATACTGCTCAGGAGTAGTGACCTTCATAGATGTGGTGCCAGCGGCACAGTGTGCGCAGCTTGAAATGCCAGGAGGGCATGATGACGGGATGGGGTTGTCTGGGCAGAAGGCTAGGGAGTCGGCAAGCTTCAAGGCCGGGGTGACCATTTCGGTAGTGTGCTCAGGAAAGGGCTTGAGGACCTCGATACCCTCGGGGAAGCTACTCTGCCATACAGCGTGAAGATGGGCGTTGATAAGCCGATTGAGAGCTCCTAATCCTCTTGCCCTTCCATTAGTGATACTGTCATGGACCTTGGGGTATTGCTTTTTGATGATCTCTGGGCTATAATGCACCAGTGCAGTTTGTGCTTTGTCGACCTTGAAGTCATTCTTTGTTGATGCATCAATAACACTTTTAGCAGCTTTCAGTGTGGGCGAGTCCATCACTCTCCGGATCGTCTTTGTGACTTCTTCCTTGGGACCTACAAAGAGTGCACTTTCGAGACCTTTCCACCTGGTCATGGCAGGATATTTTCCCCTTCGGAGGAAAACCAAGAGAGGATCCTCAGTGTGCGCAATTGGAAGCAGTGTATAATCCACCAGCATGCCAGTTCCCATAGATTGCCAAGCGAGCCATCTCATGAGGTCGGCTTTTAGTTCGGGCTGAACCTCAAGCCGTTGAAGTTCCTGGTACATCGGATTTCCAGTCGCCTCAGACGATCCCAAAATGGTTGGTCGGAAACCTTGAGCCCACCAAGCGCGACGCCACGTTAGAAGAAGATCGCTGTCGGCATCTTTTTCTTCCCTCGATTTCTTAACCGTTGCATCGTAGTAGCAATAAATGAATGGGCGATCCTGGAGCGGGGGAAGCAGTGCTCTATCCTCGTCAAGGGTAAGCGAGCTGGAGAATGGCACAGATAACCACTTCCAATCAGCCCACCAAGAAGTACCTTGGTATGAATCTTGTGCTCGAGTCGGTGGTGGATGGGCAGGGCCACGAAACGGATTCAGCTCTGTCACGCCTTTCTTGAGCGAGTGACGGATGCCATCGACAGAAGTCTTGATCTTGCTAGAAGCGTCTGCTTTTGCGGCATCTTCGGCAACATCGGTTTGGGCGGCATTTGGAGACAGTAGGGTCAAGGTTGAATAGGCGAAGACAATGAGAACGAGAACGAGATAGGTCAAACGACGAGACACGAAGCGGCGTTGTCTGCCGTAAAAGATGTTTATCGCCATTGGGTCAATTGGAAAATGAGACAGCCGGTTATCACGGATGAATCTGGTGGGATGCGTTTGCTGTTGATGTACGATGAAACGAAGGGCAGCGAACTTGAATTGGTCGAGACGCGCCAATTCTCAAGGTCAAAGAAGCATTTCGATGATACTATAGGAAGCGAGAGGACACAACATGCACATGCGACTGTGTAGAGGATGAAGTAGAGTAGACTTGTTTGTTGTCGCAAATGAGGGAGGGGAAGAGGAGGTCAAATACGAGAATTGCTGACAGAGGCAGCAGCCCATCCCAGCTACTAAGGTACTGAGGTGTGATCCCTTTATGGCAGGGGCTGGCAAGGGTCCATAGGTGAGACGAGCGAGAGTCACGCGATAAGACATGGCACAGTCTAATCAATAGTACCAATGGATTAGCGAAGGCGTCAAGATTTGATTGCCAATCGATCTGCATAAATACATTTCCGTAGATTTGTGTACTTGTTCAAGATTGTATAACCATTCACTTGGAGACAAAGTCACCAAAGTTACCAAAGTCATCCACCAAGGTCGTCACCTAAACCAAGACCTGGAGCTTGAGTGGATACAGGTATTTCGGTGAAAGAATACTCCTGGAATAGAACTCCAACTATTCTTAACCCTTACTTCTTGGTAAGCAAAAATGCCTTACAGCCTATCGTCGTTAGACTGTCAGGGACTCTTGTCGTCTTTGTCGAGGTTGAATCCTCAAGGTACCTACCTCTATCTCTGCCTTTTGTTCGAAGAGCTTGATCAAGCTGGAGTGGGTTCTAGTCGGACCCACCAAAGCTTTAGCTCTCCACTCTCGTAAGTCAAGGATCAAAGAAAGGCGAACGTGAAGTAACAAGGAGAAATGGCCGAGAGACACTTCTTGCAAATGCGAGTTCGCCTTACTCACATAAATTCACGCAGAATTGTGTGATATCATCACAGTCTCCAAGCTATGATCCTTTGTGAGTACCTCTTATCTGCCAACATAGTTCAAAGCCATTGCCATAAATGTCCGCTTCTCCAGACGTCATTGGTAGGGCTGAGCAGGGGGGATTCTTAGCTACCTGTCTAAACTAGGCCCAGGTCCATATAATTGATCAATGGATATTAATATCATCCTCCAGTATCAAACGATGTGAGCGTTCATATAAAGACGGGAATGAAATTAAGTAAATTTATCCAACAAACGCTCTTCGTATCACTACTAACTTATGATGTGGCCAATCCTTTGAGCAGCAGAATGGCCTTTCTTTCATTGACCCTATCCCTTTAGAGTCTTTGAATGACTAAGGTGGCAGTGACAGTGGCAGGCAGCAACAGCCCTATTACCATTTCTCTTTCACGCTCTCGAGTTGAGGTACTTGCGGGACACAGACTTTCAATCACAGTCAGCTATGACTGGAACATTCAATAAACAAACTTTGCCAGAACCTGTCAAATTTCGGCACAAGGTCAACTGTTCTATTCCCCAAAATTTCTGAATCTTCCCTCTTCATCTTCCCATCTCCCCCCCTTCAACAACAATAGAGAGGGGCCATGGGTCTCAGGCAATTCAATCTCGACCTCAGGGTCGCGATAGAAGCTCTTGATAGCTTCTCTAATGTATCAAATCTGCGCAAAGGCGATTCTGATGGAGAGATCGCTTTCACTTATACGCCTGAAGCAGAACACGAAGCCGAACTACCCCCCATCGATGTTCAAGCCCTATCAAAAGATGCAGACTCGTACCCAAACCACCCGGGCTTTATGATCTTCACTTCCTCAGAAACACCAACAGACCTAGAGAAGTGGCTGGAAGAGACCTCTAGCTTGACCGATGGCACTACTATCGCGGATGCCGTCACATTGATTTCTAGCATGTTAGCTACAAAGCTGAGCATTCCCAATCAGTCAACTTCACAGGCACCGCCCTATTACGGCGAAGAATCAGATGTTGATTTACTCTCCGATGACGAAGACTCCTTCTTTGAAACCGAGTTCGATGAGATAGACATTGACCCGTTACTACCTGGCGAATCTGCCTCAGAGAACGCCACTGAAGCCGATGATCCAGAATCAATGGCACGTCTGAAGCGTCACTTGCGAGAAGCCAAACAAAAGGGGTTCTGCATCTCCATCCCGCCTGAAGAAATACGCCGGTCGTCTTTCGGTCTCTTCTCGCTCTCTATTCGAGTATGCAAGCTTGGGATCCCTGAAGAAGCCTTGGAAGCTTGGGGTCTTGGGCCGATCGAATACATTGTCATGCTTTGCAAGCTACCATCAACTTATCCTCATGTGTTGGACTTCCAGCATCTTCCTCCCGACCAAACCCGAATGCACTTCAGAGTCGGCAAATGCAGCAGCCCGCGGCCAAGTTATAAATCCATGAGGCAGATGTTTGCAGGAGTGGACGATCCAGCAATGCCAATACACAGAGACGAAGAGAGCACGGGTTCCTTTATTCCCCTCTATATGTCGTTGTCACTCGACGCACTTCTCAACCGTTTATTTCCAACCCTTTTACGGCTGCGACGATCAGCAGGGATATCATGGGATGAGGCACGAGAACTGGAATACAATTTGAGCCTACGTCGCCATTCTAGAGACATGTCAGATCACGCTCAAGATATGATTGTCTGTCAGGACCGAGACTCATCTGATGATTGGTTCGAACCTGAGTTCCTTCGGCATGACTACCTATCGAGGAATGCAGGCGAGATTAACATTGTTCTTATTGCGATGCAATTTGGCCTCCAGAGATTGATCAAATGCACCAAGTACTGTCTGGTTTGCCATCGAAGAGCAAAAGGAGGGTTTGAGGCTGTAAAACCTTTCGTTTGTGAGAATGAGCTTTGTCTCTACCAGTATTTGTCCCTTGGTTTTGGCCAGAGCATCGAACACGAGATTATCAACAATCCATACGTGGTCGACCTTCTTGTGAGCTTCTTCTATGCTGCTGTCACCCGTTCCCGTCTCCGCGAGTTTCCCAGAGGACTAGGTCTCAAGTGTCCCTCGTTAGCATTCACAGCGAGCGCTTCTACCCCGGTCAATGCTGATGCTTATTTCAAAACTGGCGTGTTGAGGTTTGAATCCAAAGACCTTACTACATGCAGAACTATCAAGGCGGGCCATTGGTTACTGCTTTTCGTCCCTGGAGCCAACACGCTGGATTCGCAGACACCAGTCATGAGAACATGTAAGTGAAACCTTAAGCATGCAAAACCTTGTCAAGTATCGGCTTGGACAAGAAGGCTAATAAAGTATGTAGATCGCGAGAAACATATCTGCTGTGTAGAATCTTGCATCGATACCGACTTTACGTTCAAGGTCATGCATACGTTCACGAGTCTTGACAATATAGGACAGGAAACCCCAGAGAATTCTGTGAATCAGGTTACCCAACCTACCCCAGGTGGTGTAAAAGTATTGATTTACAAGTATGGACAAGACATCGACGAACTCGAGGATAATGTCCGTGATGAAGCACTTAACTTCATGACCAGTTGCATCCCACCTGTGCAAACAATGAGACAATACCTAACAGAGGTACCCGGGCGCCGGCTATCTTCCTGGACAGGAATGGAAGGATCAACACTCCGTCTGCTGAACTGGATCGTTTCCTCGAATAGGTCACATATTGTACAGGATAGCCCAGTTCCTGGGGCTTCTGCAACAGAGGAACAAACACAGAATGGCAGCCTTGTTGGCGGCATGAACAACCACTGGATGCAGTTTCGTTTTGCACAGGGCTCTCCTGAAAAGGAGCTCATTTTTTTCAATGAGCTGCAGAAAATACCGAGATCTCGAATCGATAGAAGCTACCAAACACTTTTCGCGTGGCATGGAAGCCCTCTTTCCAACTGGCATAGTATCATTCGAACCGGCCTTGACTTTTCGAACACGCTTCATGGGCGTGCCTATGGCAACGGCGTTTATTTGGCAAGAAACTTCGAGACTAGTCGCGGATATTCCAACCGTGATACGCTGAAAGGATGGCCAAGCTCAGCATTGAAGGTCGCGAGTGCCATCAGCATGTGTGAGATCGTCAATAATCCATCTCAATTTGTGTCGACGGATCCATTTTTTGTCGTCAACAGGATCGATTGGATACAATGCCGCTATCTCTTTCTTGAAGTCCAAGCACTTCAACCAGAATCCGCAGTCCCCCTATCCTCTGAAGGATTATTTCCTGATAGGGTGCAGGATGAGGATTATATCGAACAAGACCCTGCTTATCAATTAACTTATGGACGGCAGCAACGAATTCATATCCCTCTATCAGTCATACCAAAGTCTCGTCGACGTGCATTCGGGCAAGGCCAGCAGAATGGCACGGGTTCATCCATAGACCATCCTATCGTTCTCGATGATTCGGATTCAAACGGAAGCCCTAATCTCAACGATTCAAGCTCTTTGGAAAGCCCTGAAACAAGTGACGATATCGATGTTCTACTAGCCTCGGATGATGAAGGTGATGACCTCCAGTTCGTAGGAACACGAAAAAGACGGCGGACGTCTACAGACTCGGGTCTGGGTGAAACACAACAAGGACCTGACGATGTAACACCATTTCAACCAGGTCAGCTTGATATTGATTCTCTGCCTAAACTCGCCGAACCTACGTGGGCATCATCATCACCAGCTGCTCTACGAGCACTCAACAGCCAGATCAAAGACCTACAAAGGACCCAGTCCAAAACCAACCTGGCCACGCTGGGATGGTACATCGACTTTGACAAGCTGGATAACCTCTTCCATTGGTTCGTCGAGCTTCACAGTTTCGACTCGGACCTACCACTTGCCAAAGACATGGCCAGCCATGGATGCTCGAGTATCGTGCTCGAGCTTCGATTTGGTGCTTCTTTTCCAATCTCGCCGCCTTTCGTTCGTGTGATACGACCTCGCTTTCTACCTTTTGCTCAAGGAGGTGGAGGTCATGTCACAATTGGCGGCGCTATATGCTCAGAGCTGCTCACAAACTCAGGTTGGTCCCCGGCTCTTTCACTGGAAAAGGTGTTCCTTGAAGTCAGAATGAGTCTCTGCGAAAGGGACCCTCCAGCTCGTCTCGAAAGAGTCCATGGTTATCGCGGTAATAGAAGTTCGGGGAACATGGACTACAGTATGTTCGAGGCTGTGGATGCGTACCGACGAGCGGCTGTGTCCCATGGATGGCAGATCCCGTCCGATCTTCAGATGTTGCAATCCATGAGTAATATTACGGAGACGTAGTGGCATCAACAAATTGGGGACCCTTTTCTGACAGATATAAAGAATATGTGCCCGCCTTGTCACGAATTACGAGTTATGAGTACTCTTGTTTTTCCAATAGGGGAGTTAGCTGAGAACCAGACTCGGGACATCCAGTAAGTAGATCATAGGTAGTAATAAAAACCTTTCTACTATGATATTTCTCTTCACAACTATACTTGCTCACTTGACTGGTGATGGAACTATCTAGTTTTCGTCTTACGATCGACATTCCGGAACAGCATGAAGTGGCATATTTAACATTTTTTTTTATATTTATTTCTTGAACTTTTTGACAGCATCGCCATTTGCAAGGCTAACTGAACCGCCGACCTAGTCTCCCGTCACAGCACAGCAACTAGGCCAGCACCTGTCTACTTTTGGTTGATCCAAATGTCTACGTTTTGATTTTACTTCTATGCATTTGCAGGACTAGGATGAGAGAACCGAATCTCCGAGAAATGTCCTTTGGTTTATATCTCCAAGCATACCACTCTTTTTCCAACCTCGAAAGGTAAGAAATACAGGTATTACCCCAAGACAGATGTTTAGGAAAGATTGTGTAGAGCAAAGAGAAGAATTAGGTCCCAGGAAAGGAGAACACGATAGTCCAGGCTAAGGAATAGGTGAAATTGTGCAGCATAGCAGAAAGCAAGTTAACCCGTGCCCCAACCCGCGCTGCAGTCGTTCAACCAAATCCCTCCCTCCCATAATCTTCGTTGCACACTGTCGTGTGCCGGTCCAAGTACCTTATCGATGTTGTTTGATGAGTGTAAATGGGAAATTTTTAGAGAAAAAGAAACGCCAGCAAACCAAATCTGGCGGACGGCGAATGCAGTATGATGCAGAAGCTCCCCGGTAAACTCCAAAACGAAAATATCCCGTATCATTTCAGCGCGTCGCAACTCGGGATAAACTTTGCGACATCCGTGGCAGAGGGATATGTCCCGTGAAAACACGGGTACCCAGTAATCTCGACGTGGTGCTATTCATGAGGAAACGAGCCCTCATATGATTTGAGTAGATGAAATCCTGTTGACAAACCGTAAGTGCGCTTCCAGCACTCTAGTTGTGCTGGAAAAGGACGCTGATAGACTCGCCGTGATGAACACGACGGATAGCCTCAGCAAAAACGGCCGAGATATCGAGTACCTCAAGCTTAGGGCAAAGACGACGATGCTCGTTTTGAGGAACAGAGTTGGTTACAAGCATCTTGTCAATGGCAGAAGCATTGATGCGAGCGATAGCGTCGCCACTGAAGACACCGTGGGTGACGAGGGCATAGACTTGAGTAGCGCCCTCCTTCTTCAGAAGCTTCGCAGCACGCGTGATCGTGTTACCAGTATCGACAATGTCGTCAACTAGAATGCAGATGCGGTTTGACACATCTCCAACTAGCATCATACTGGCGTTACGATGCTCGGTAAATCGAATGGGCCGTCGCTCCTTTGTAGCAAGACATGAGTTTTCAAAAGCAGCAAAATCAGAATTCTGTGGTATTACCTTGTGAATCAGAGCAAAGTCAGTCTTGAGACTGTCCGCAATCAAAGTAGCTCGCTTTGCACCTCCAGCATCGGGAGACACAATGACAGCGGTGTGGTGATTAGGAATTTGAGATTGGATGTAGTTCTGGAGTAGCGCCTTTCCGTACAGGTTATCGACAGGAATGTCGAAGAAGCCCTGATACTGAGGATCGTGCAAGTCCATCGTGATAATATGATCGGCACCGGCGCAGGTGAGCAAGTCGGCAACGAGAGTACCAGCCTGAGCGATCCACTGCTTGTAACCAGGCTTAGGCTGGAAAGCAGAGATGTTGGACTGGTTCTCATAGTCGTGGGTGGTGTAGGCATTCCTCTGGGAAGAGGTCGAGTTCTCTGCGTGGTGTCCACGGGCCTCAGAGGTGCTGCTCGAGATGGTGTCCGAGCGACGAGGAGTGCTGAAGACGCCATTATTGCCGTTAGCACCATTTGTCGCGCCCTCGTTTGCGAGAGCTGTTTTCGAGAGCTTCTCGGTCAAGTTGTTGACACCATTGGGCAGGCCAGCTGACTTGGGGCCACCTGGACGAGGCGTGGGAGGAACACTCTCAAATGTGTAGTCTTTGGAAGCACCAGAGATCTGCGACAAAGGTGCGCCGGCTTTGTTATAGGGCCAGTCGGGTTGTCGCGAATAAGGGAAGAGTGGGACAACGGCGGTGACTCGTTTCGCAGAGCCAGTCTTGCAGGCTGAGATCATGATACAGAGATCGATGAGGTTGTCGTTTACATTGCCGGAGCCAGATTGTATGATGTAGACATCTTTGCCGCGAACTGAGTCCTTGATTTCGCAACGGCTCTCGCCGCCAGAGAATTTTCCAAGAATGCGATTGCTTGCCGGAACACCCAGAATTTGGCAGACATTTTCTGTGAGTTGCGGGTGGGAGTTGCCTCCCAGAACAACAATATTGCGCACCATGGTGAAGGTGAAGTTGTGTCGGTTTGTGGTAGAGGTGAAGGTTGCTGTCGGCTAGAAGAGCAAAAAGTTTTGATGCGGCGAAGGACGGAAGCGGAAAACGGATGTGGAGGGGCCCCGAATCGGAGGGGTGAGTACGTAGTTTTTTTTTTTTTTGCCCTCTGAGGGGGAAAACGAGACCGAGTCAAGAGCTTCTAAGCGGTGGAATGGAGTTTCGACTGCTGTTGATGAGACAAAGCAGAGATGGAGAAGACCTGAGACAATCCGAAACAGATCGGAGTAAGACTGGAGCCAGTCGAGATCGAAATTGAGGCTGGGTTGAAAGGTTGCAAGTTTAAACTGTGTTGACGTCCTATTGTGAATTTTTTTTAAACTCGGCCTCTGTCAATGGCAGCCCCGGGTTCTTGGAGCGCAGCAACGGCAGTGTGTGGGGTGGGGAGCTTGTGGATTTAGCGGAGGTGTGATTGGAAATAGGTCGTTCAAGTGTCGAACCGTGCTGCAAGAGTTGGCTAGCCTGGCCTGGCCTGGCAAGCAAGCAGTGTCCGGTACGGCACGGTAATGCAATGCGAAGCCGTGAACGCTGTAGCCGATGCTATTGTTGACGGAATTGGGGAATTTGGATGGCTGCGTCCAGATACCGTTTTGGCGGACCAACAGGGATTCAGGGCCGAAGTTGACGCACAGGAGAGTCGGACAGGGCCCAACCGACGTCACTGTGCTGTGCTGGAGCAGGCGGCTCAGGCTCAGTGTTCAGTGCTCAGAAGCCGGATGACAGGGCAGGGATCTCCAAGTAAACAGACGGTCTGCCGGTGTCGGAGGCAGTGTGATTTTTCGAGCAGACAAGATTTACTATGAGGCGCTCGACAGTGGAGGTAGCCGGAAATTGTCTCCAAAGAGAAGATGTTGACGAAGGGAGACTCCCAGAAGAACAAAAGCCAAGCGACAATCGACGAAATAATAGTCGAGGATGGCGCGCGATGGTCGTAACGACACGGGCAGTCCCCGGGTGGAGGAGTGGAGATGATGGGGAGTGGAAGAAGATCACAGACCCATTGTGTGAGATGTTGAATGCTTTTGTAGGTAGTGAACAAATATAACCTTTGTGGAAGAGGGTCAAGTTGGACAGGCTGAGTTTATGGTCAAATCAGAAAGTATCCGTTGTGCTCATTGTCAAAGTTGAGCTTGTAAATGGATGATTTATTAGAGCCTGTACATGAGGTGATCGGGGGAACCCTCCAGCAACCAAAAAGATGATGACATGGCGGCACCCGCCAAGTTGACATTTCCACAAGGTAAACTTACTAAAAAATACTAAGACACAACTGACGCCTGGTACTTTCCGATTTAGACATATCTGATACTTTGCGATATCCCATTCTTTACTTACAGTATGGATTATATCAAGTTCTTAGCTTGACAAAGCTATGTTGTGTTGCATATCGGATTTTCTTCTAATAACTCTCGAAGATAATTAACCTGAAACTCGAAGAGCCAGAGGTACCTATACATGGCTGACTTGTACCCACCCCCGCCAATTCTCATGTATCCAGGGTACTCTACGGAGAGTCAGGGCATCTGGAACTCTCCCGTTCCGCCATTTAAGAACCCCCGTGGTCATCGATTTATGAGAGATAAAAAGAGACTGAAAGTATTTCCAAGCAGGGATAGCGGTTGCATACCGCCATATCATAATCCGAACATCCCGTTCTGTTCTTTTTGGTATTGTATTCTCTGCAGTTGTAGAGGAAAACTCGGTCCTCCCGCCAAACAACTTTCTCCGTAACGCCGTGAATAAGGTGCCGATAAACTCTTTTGCTTGAACTGTACGACATTGGATGCTCAGCCTGGCAGGGGTTGTCAGTCATTTGATCTGTACCACCCCAAATCATTAGGTGTTTGTTCTCAGAAGAACAGCCCAGAAACTATTCTCTTAACATGGCGCTTTACGAGACCAAAAGAAATCACTACTGCTTGAGGTACTTGGCTGTTCTCCCATGTCCAAATTTCACGACGAGGTACAAACAAACATAACCATTGTCTCAGCCTGGAACTTATCGAGGCTTCTAGCTTCCTGTTCTTCTGATGTGGCCGGCATCGGTCAACCTTTGTTCTGGAACAGTGGCTTGCATGCATGCCTTTTCCTGCGGAGATGCACGCGACCTCCTTCTTCGAACATAGTGGCACGCAAAGAGCTAAGACAGATAATTTGTCAATTCGACATATTGTCCTATTTGATGATGCCATTGGGCATCATATGACTCCCTATTGGATCCTGTACATGCATACTACCGCTACCGGTACATGTTCAAGATGCTCCTCAACCTTAACGGATATCTCTCGGTTTCTCTCCTAATAATTGAAACCCCTTATTGGTTCGATGTATGATAAGAATTCATTGGACGGAAAAAAGAAAGGAAAGGTATAAAGTGATGCACTCTGACGTATGTCCAAAGTCTTCCCCAGCTTTTAGCCAGACTCACATGCAAAAATACACCGCATTCAACTTCACGTATTAGCTTTGCCCAATAAGAAACCACGTCCAAATTCACACAAGGTAGCAGGAGCCAGATCGTAAAGGAACAAGCTGCAGTGTAAAAAGGAAGAGAAATTGGAACCCTCCAGTGTCGCACAAGAATTATAGCACGCTCCAGGCCTGCATCCACTAGAACACCTCCGCTGATTCAGAGCTTGTCGAGGTACTGGTCTTTTGATTGGCTAGTGTCAGATCGTCCTCTTTTGCAATACTGGACTCCACTATTTGATCTAGACCTTCGTTCAATGCTTCGTATCAATCTCACAGCTCGGCACATGAGCTCACTCAACACTCACCATGAAGATTCTTGAGGCACAATCGGCTGTTCTCACAAATTACGAGGTGTATCAGCACGTATCAGAGCAGCGCGAACGATACAAAAATGCCAAGCGTCGTGGTCCCCCAAATCTCGAGACGGTAGTTCGCGAGGTAAGATTTTTCATTCATATCAAATTAATGCCCAGAAGCACAACTGACACTCTTTATAGCTCCTCCAATATCTTCGCACAAACCCTGGTCCTCTAAGCCAAGAACCCCTTCCCTATACTGAGGGATGCATTTCCACGCTTCTAGAACGCTTACGGCCTTACAACCTCGCAAAGGGTGAAGTCGTCATGATCATCAACCTGCGCCCCGCCTCGGTCGCTGCTCTCAATACTGTTGTTGAGGAGATGTCTGAGCGATTCAACGAGGAGCAGCAGGAAGCCATGGTCAATATCATCGCTGAAGTCCTTGGCCAATTCCCTGCTGCGGAGGAGGGTGCTGAGGAAGAGGGCGCTGATGTTTCTATGAACGACGCCGCTGCCTGAGCTCTCAGCCCACCAATACAATAACTAATTACTAAATCATGTTCCCACTACTCGATCAAAGTCTCGCCGCCCCTCCAAATCTCATAATACTGCGCATGTGCTTGCGCTCTGGCTGTCTGCGCCCGTTGTCAGAGTCATCGCCGTCTTGCACAAATCTTCAAACGCCAGTTTCAACAATTCACCCGTAACTGCCGAACACTCAACATATCGATCAGCTCGCAGAGTTTGCGCAACCTGGTATCCTTCTTGCGGATATATAATTCCGTTTGGATCTTGCTCCGATCTCAGATCACGCTTCAGCCCAAGGATGATAAGGGGAAGGGTATCGATGCGTTGAAACGATCTCTTGATTTCGTCTTTCCACTATCAAATCTGAGTTGCATGCTTGGTACCGTTTATGGAGCACTTACATATCTCTGCATATTGATCAAACTCAATCGTTGGCTGATGTCGTAACAAATGACAATGGCATCAGGGTCAAGGGTCCTCCAGTTATCAGGGCATGATGTGTCGAAGAACTCGAACTGAAACTTTTTGGCTCCTGTCTGAATACCGAAGATGAAAGGTTGATCCATATCACGGAGCATGGGAATCGGGTTGGCTTTTTCACCTGCACTGAGTCGGCTGAGGATATGGATTTAGTATGATACGTCGAGGAATCGATGGAGGAATTTAGACTACATACGAGAGAAAGGTCGTCTTGCCGCACTTTTCATCGCCTACAAGGAGAATCTTGATCACCTCGGGGTCCATTTTGCATGTGAGAGTGCCAAAGTCGTTAATATGCTTATATTCAAGTTTGATGTATGGAAAATGGACCAGCTCGAGAGGAGCAGATATGGCGTCTATTAATTGAATGCCAGAGATAGAGATGAGATGAGAGCTGTACGTAACTTATCAGTATACCCCCAACTGTGGCGTCGTGCTTAGCACAGCCACATTTACAAGGCAAGCCACATCTCGAACTGCAGCAAAGCCCTTTTCCACTTGTAAACTCTGATGGGTCTGCATATAATCGCCCAAAATTGGAACCCACCAACTTCATGAGACCCTTTGGCCGTTGTCTTGGGCGGCAAACTTCGCTCGAAGGCCTAGTCAGCCGAGTCAAAGGTCGAAATTTCTCGCAACCCCAACCTCAACTAAAAAAATCATCAAGTGGTGATTCTTCAAAACTTCCTGTGCAGTCAAAAGGTGCCAAGTACCTCACCATGTCTGCAGAGTCGAATTATCAGTCATGGACCAAAAACGGTCTCATTCAGAAAGTCAAGGAACTTGAGGCTGAACTCAGGAATCGACCTGCTCCAGGGCCAGAACCAAAACCTGAGATTCAGCCTGAGAATGAAGAGGGAGATGAGGCCAAGAGGACAAAACCAAAGGGGAAGAGAAAGATGGATCCCAGCAAATACTCTACACGATATATCGCCTTGAAACTTGCATATCTGGGCAAGAATTACGGTGGCTTTGAGTTTCAGGCCATGGCCAACGCTCCATCGATTGAGGAGGAACTGTGGAATGCTCTCACAAAAGCATGCCTCATCTTTCCCGAAGATGAACGGATTGTCGATTTTGACTGCTGCGAGTATTCAAAGTGCGGTCGCACAGACAAAGGAGTCAGCGCCTTTGGCCAAGTCATCGGCCTTCGAGTTCGAAGCAACAGGCCCCTACCCAAAAAGCGAAGACGTCTAAGTGAAGCAGGCGAGGCAATGGTCGTTGACGAACAAGAGGGAGGGAACGCAGAAGAAGAACCCGTGGAGGAGACACCATCTTTCGATGATATCAAGGATGAGCTTCAATATCCTCGACTGCTTAACCGTGTTCTACCCCCTGATATTCGCATCCTCGCCTGGTGCCCGTCTCCGCCACCAGACTTCTCCGCTCGTTTCTCATGTCGCGAGCGTCAATACCGATATTTCTTTACACAACCTGCTTTCACTCCTGAACCCAGCGCTGGTGGTGCAAGGAATGGTTGGCTCGACATTGAGGCGATGCGCGAGGCGGCTAAGCGCTACGAAGGCGAGCATGATTTCCGCAACTTTTGCAAGATCGACCCTGGAAAGCAGATCACAAACTTTGTTCGCACAATTTACGAGGCCGATATCGAAGAGGTCAAGGACGTCAGCTCAGCTTTGCCATATCTTTCTGGATCCCAGTACGTCCCTGCAGGAGGCTTGCCCGACGATGGCACCGTGTACCCCAAGGTGTACTCGTTCAACGTCCGAGGGTCCGCGTTCTTGTGGCACCAGATTCGTCACATGGTTGCTGTACTCTTCCTTGCAGGTCAGAAGTTGGAGACACCTGACGTTGTGACGACTCTGCTCGATGTTAAAGCCAACCCCTGCAAGCCTAACTATGTCATGGCAGATGAAGTGCCCCTAGTGCTCTGGGACTGCATCTTCCCTGGTCTAGATGCTGCCCCCGTTGACCCCGCGGCGAAGAAGACCGATGGCCTTGACTGGGTGTACCTTGCAGATGACCCTGCGCTTAGCAAGCCTGGTCCCTTTGGTGTCATGGATGGTATGTGGGCGTATTGGCGGGAGCGCAAGTTGGACGAGTTGCTCTCGAACCAATTATTGCAAATGGTATCTACACAGCGCAGCAAAGATCCCTCGAGGCATGTCACTCGTCCTGAGCCCTCGGGCAAGCAGGCGAACAGTGTAGTTGTCTACGAGGGTGGCAATGGTGGTCGCATGGGTGGCCGCTACGTGCCATTGCTGCAAAAAGTTAAACTGCAGTCTCCTGAAGAGCAGAATGAGAGATATGCTATCAGAAAGGGGTATGCTAGTTCAGAAGATATGCGAAACCAGAAGGGCATTGGAAAGCGAAAGGTAGATGAGGCCATGGATGAGTAGACATCGCACAATGCCTTTCAGTATAAAAATAAATAAAGAATTAAATCATATCATCGTACACTGGACACATCCATGTGCTAAACGCTCCTCTGTGGGTATAATTCCTTTTAGCCCAGTGATTTATCCTCTCCTCTTTGCTCATACAAACACCGCCGAACACCCCTCCAAACTTCTTCCACAATCTTTCGTCGTGGTAACAAGCCTGGAAACACAACCACCACATCATCCTCGCCCTCAACTATAACAATGAGGTAGTATCTTACCTCAAACCCGAGAAACGCTTCATTGACAAGAATGTCTTGGATCTTCTCAGTCGGTATGAACCTCGTCGCTGTACCAGCAAGATAACTCCCTGGACTTTCACTAGTCTGTACACCCAAGCCTCTCATGACAAGAATGCTCTCGCTGGCGTAGCCTCTTCGACTGGATAGCCATAGCACAGCTATACTCGCGGGAACGAGGACAGATAATGGTATGTTTTGCGCAAGGGCCGCTGTCGAAGTTGGTGCACGGAGGTATGAAGCTGGTATGATCTTGAGGAGAGAGGGAGGGGCGTAGGCAAGGAGAGGATGTAGAGTCAGGCGCGTGTGGAGTAGAAGAAGGGCGAAGATCGAGAGGAGAATTCGAGAGATGATAAGTAGTGTATGTAGAGCCGGTGGTATCGGCCGGAGAGTCGTGACTGTGAATTCGGCGGTTGTTGGAGAGGGATGTCGAATGAGAAGACGGGGCGATGTTGAGAGCATTGTGACAGGTTGGAGTATGTTCAGTGATCGATCATGGCTGTAAAGAGTGTTTCGGGGAATTGATGGCAGGGAGTCTTCGGCGAGGTCGAACGAGATCGTTGTTATTGCAACATGGTTGTGCTGTGTAATTGTGATCGCAATGCGATTGCAGTGGTGTTGAAGGGTGAATCGAAGCTGTTCACTGGTGATCCACTGAAGCTACAGGTGTCACCCACTGTAGCGCCCCAGCACCGCCCCACCAGTCACAATTGAGAGGAAGGGTATATAAGTTGTGAGTACTGACATGACTCTCGACTGTAATGGTCTAACGGTGAAGGCGTTCAAACCCGCTCAACCGCCCATCCCAATACTGTAGTACTTCGGTGCCTCAGCCCTCCGCCGCGCCCCGCCCGAACGCTGCGGTGGCCGCCCACTCGTGCAGGTAACTCACGATGCTGGAACTTTGCGGCCCTAAGCACTGGAGATGACCCTTGAGGGAGGTTTCACTCTGCAGAGATCTCTCCCCCGTCGCGTGGCGGGTGGGAACACGTTAGTGCGGGGGGATTTGGGATGGCAAGTGGATGAGATGGAGCAGCCAACTGTCTTTTTTTGCATTTTTTGACCATTGACACCAACAGACAACACCATTCTAAAATATCGATATAACCTCTTCTATAGTCAGTCAATCACATATCAGCTTCTTGTACTTATACGACACCGGGTTGGCGTGATTCGAACCCTCAAGTGCAGCTCATACCTGGCAGACATGAAGCTATCACCACTCCTTCGCTCCAGGAAATCTGCTCCCAACACACATACACACAATTATTATCGAGTATAACCATAATGCAAAGCAGCTGTTCATTCAATTCGTAAGTACTAAAACCCTCCGGGGGAATCAAAATGCATTTCCAACCCAGCCCGTTTCAATCCATTCCTACCCATCTTTCACCCATTTCCATTTCCATTTCCAATTCCCTTTTCCTCATCCCCTAACTCAAACAAGTACCGCGAGGCAACATTGTATAAAGCAGTCGCTACGTTAATCCCCTATCACTTCACCCATTTTTCTCCTCCATCAGCCTCCGTCAACCTTGATCTCCCCGATACCCAATATTTACTACCTCCAACATTCCGCCTTCATGTAAATATAACAAGATACAGTACGAGTACTGCCTCCATCCTCCTCAAACATAGTCTGTAAGTAAATGTGGTCATAATTTGCAGAAACCTTCATGGTCCGACCAAAAGAAATGTAAAGTCGTATACGTTCATTGGCATCCTTGCCAATAATGCGAAAAGGGCCTTGAGAGATCCGAAAGTGATATCAAGAGCGAAGAGAGAAACAAGATGCAATAGTTTCCAGTCGTCATACAGCTAAATCCTTGAAGAAAAGGACAAAGAAGTATAATGCCAAAATGCGAGCCTTGAAGGACTATGGTATCGACTCGGGAGGAGAGAGAACGCCGATCGCCATGCACAGAATCGAACAATACAAAGGTTTATAGGGAGTGGTAGAAAGGAAGAAAATAATGCACCGCGCGCTGGCCACCGTCGCGAGAGACTTCCTAGATCATCTCGTTTCGGTTCAAGCCAGTCGACAAGTGCTTGTTTCGAGAATCAATTGGCGAACGCAAAACATCGGGGTTGAATGACACTGGTGGGGGAGACTTCATCTGTCGAGGCATGGGAATGCTCTCGTAGGGAGCCTCAAAAGGAGGAGACCGGATATACTCCTTTCGACTGCGGCTGGCAGAACGGAGTCGCTCAGTGGCCTTGTGAATGCGGCCTGAGATGCTGCTGCTGTCTCCAATGCTTCGGCCTCGGTTGTGGCTCCTGTGGGAAGCTGGAGCCGGAGGGCTGGCCTCTGAAGCTTGATCATTACCAGATGATACATCGTCGTCCATGACAATCTCAATCATGCCTGATGCAACAGCGCCAGCCTGCTGATGTCGCTGGGCGTGTTGCAGAGGGGCAGGAGGCGGTGGGGGTGGTGAAGCCAAATGCCTGAGTTCCTTAAGAACAGGGGGTGCTGGAGGAGGAGGAGGGGGGGGCATAGGGTCTTCGTGAGAACGTCGTCGCTCACCAGGGACAACTTCTTCAATGCGTCCAACACTGTTCTTGCGTGCGAAGCGAGCAGGGCGCTGACCAGGCTCATCAGGAATGGGAGCTGACATGCTACGAGGAATAGGAGGTCGCGCTGGTGGCTGGTAGACGGTGGATGGCAGCAAAGTGAGACTGGGCTCGGCAACTGGCTCCTCTCTCTCAGGCGACTGTTGAGGTGAAGTTTCTGGCGAATATCGCTGAGAAAAGCCAGCTGGGATACTAGGCACATCCGGCCTGGGGGTGCTTCCTGATTGATCATGGTTGCCCTCAATGATAAGTCGCATGGCTTTTGGGGTCGCTGGAAGTCCGATAACAGGTCCGCTACGGGCATACATGCTCCTTTGTGGTGGCTCAGTAGCACTGCGAGGTGGGATGTCGTCAGGCAGCGGCTTTGGCTCAGCAGTCTCAACCGTAATCGCAAGCGCGGGAGAGAACTCGTTAGGATGAGGGATTGAAGGTGTTTGGGCACGCTTGGCCAGAGACTTGCGGCGCTCCTCGAGTTCCCGTGCAGCCTGTTCCTTCTTTCGCTGACGCTCGTCCTTCATTTGCTTGAGGTCACCAGCATGCTCAGTTGAGGCAGATCTGCCGTGAACAGAGATAGAACTATCGAAGTTGGCGACCTCAGAGTTGGCCCTGCGTCGGTGCTCCGAAGCATCTTGCTTGCTCAAGGCCGGTGAGCCAAGACCTCGGCTGCCACTGCGGCTGTGCTTGTTCCTGAATTCCTCTTGGGCAGCCATGGCTGCTCTGTAGTCTTCTTCATCCTCGGAGCCTTGGTAATGGTGAATGGCAGCACTCAGAGGCAATGGTGAAGAAGGAGAACGTTGTGCAGAACTCTCCCGGCCTTGACTTCGGCCACGAAGTGTAAGAGCTGGCGGGCGAGAGCGGCCTTCTGGGCTCCTGCGGCGGCTTCCACGGCTTGAATTGCGGCTCTTTGGCTTGGCAGTTGATCCGCTAACCTTGCGTACTGTGTTTGGCTCAGCGACCTGACCATGTCGTGGAGTGCTCAAGTTCAGCAAGTCCTCTGGGGACATGGGGATGGGGGAAGTAGGCGATCGTTTCGCCTTGGGCCAATTGCGAGCACTGACGCGTCCACGTTCCTCAGAAGGTTCTCGGGAGCGTGCAGTTCGCTCTCGGCTTCCAGGACGACTGCGTGAAGCATCCCGAGTTCTTGAATGGCTACGCTGACGACTGCGCTGTCTCTTGGAGTAGTGATTGGCAGCATCCAAGCTATGGATGTAATCTTCTCGGTTGCGCACAGCTTGATGGCGAAGACTTCTTCCAGCGCTTGATGCAGAAGTGACAGAACTTGTCACAGAGGCAGGACCTCTGCGGCGAGTTGGCCAGTGATAGCGGGTAGAAGAAGTAACTGACTGCTCTGGAGATGTAATGTCGTCGTGAGCCGGCCCAGGATGCAGCTGTAGATTCACGCCCACAGGAATGCGGTCACGGGAGCCATTACGATGATTACGTGATGCTTGTTGCATCTTCAACATAGTGGCCTGGTCAGGTGGTGGTGGAAAATCGCCCTCACTTGGTTGGACAACGCGTTGAGCGTGCTCTCGCATCATCATCGGGCTCGCAGTAGCAGCGCGCTGTAATGCGGTACCCATCATCATGTTGTCATTGCCAGATGGTGTTCGAGCATGACCAGATCGAGGCTCATAATCATATGGCACAGCAGACAGTTCAGCAGATCTAAGTGCCTCCCGGTTGAGGTCTGAGGGAATCTCACCAATGGACGGCAAACGCCCACGTCCTCGGGCAGAGACTGGGGTATTGAATCTGCTATTGTTTGAAGGGCGAAGGAAGGCTGTCGTGGCCTCGTTGTTGGAAGCATGAGAGAAAGCGGGAGAGCCGGCAGAGTCAGCGATAGGGGTAACACCCGCGGCAATCGGGGTTTGACCACCATCGCCAGCAAAGAACTTTGACTTTTGCGTTTGATCACCAAATGAGGTGATGAGCTTGAGAGCAGAGGTCTTTGCGATGCTGCGTTGGGGGCCACGTTGAACACCCGGAGGTGAGAGAGGCGGGCTTAAGATCTCAGGAATACTGGGAGTCATAGTCTGGAAATTCAGCTGCGCAGCGGATGGAGAAGTCCAAGGCTCAGTAGATTCCTGATCGGTGCAAGCAAAGCATCGGATAGCTAGCTGCTGTTGGCCATGTTGAACTGCCCACTCTCCCCATTTCCTGATAATGGCAGCTTGCCGTTCCCAAACACTAGGGGCTGAGAGGCATGTGAGGATCAGCGCCTCCATGTAGCGCTTGTGAGAGATATACACCTCGATGGCGTCGTTGTGATCACCCATACCAAGCATAATCGTAACTGCTGCGTGCACGTCGCCAGCCTCAAGTAGGCGCTGGACGTACGTATGGCCAAGCTTCTGTTGTGAGGTATGGCCGCCGATGCCGCTCAGAGCCAACAACATCCAGTCAGAAGAAGTCATGTTCTCGAAGTTTGCGTTCATGATATTGGGATCGATATCACCAAGCCATTTGGCCAATAGAATGCGGCTGGGAGATCCTTGGGGATGCCTACTCATCTCATCCCTAATCAGGTCTTCAACCTCTTTGTTCCATCCGAAGATGGTGTTGAGCATTTGACGGCGCAGATCATCATTGGTGAGACGAGCACTGTTGGCACCCATAGCATGCTTGTAAGGAATATCACTGAGACGCGCCCGAGTAAACTTGAATAGGTCGTGCACCTTGTTGTCGTCAGGGCTACGGGGAACTTCATTGCGCAGGCGAGAAGGTCTTCTTCGTGATCGGCTTGAGGCCATGGAAGGAACACTTGTAGTGCCAAGAGAGTATCCCATGGAATAAGTGTCCAAATCTCTTGTGTTACCGTGAGCACTGTTGCCAATAGTTGATGACCTGATCGAGGTTCCAGCCGAGATATAGGTGTTTTCTGACAGTCCTCTTGACCTCATGGATCCGGAGTAACGGCCAGGGGTTTGAGACGACCCAGCTGAGGACTTAGATAAGGATGAGAGCCCACTTCGGCTTGAGACAGGGCTGGCTGATTCGTAAGGCTCATTACCAGAGTCGTAAGCTTGGCGTCGAGTCAGGCGAGCAAATGGTGATAGGTGATCCTCATCACTCTCGGAAATATTCATGTCCAGGGGGATAGAGCTCGTCTCAGACTCGGAGGCGATAGTAGTAGCCGAGGTCGCTGATCGATCACCAGTTTCTTCTGAGACTGGAGGCGAGGGTGGCAATAGGTTTGCTGGGTGTTGGACATTGGCGACCATGATGGCCGGCGAGTTCAGGTCGAATTGCTGCACGGTGTTATTGGGGCCAAGGGTGAACAACGTGGCACCGGGGCCATAGACGGCAAGGCCGCGAACAAGATCGAGAGTCGGGATGGGATCATGAGTGACGTGCTTTGTCCTAACATCCCATGACTGTGTTTGCCTGTGCAGATGTTAGTTGATGATAGGGGTCATGCAGCTAAGCGCGCGCGTAGCCTAGGGCGTTTTATGGTGGTGGCAAGCTGCAAACTTACGAGTCGGAGTACTGAATTATGCGACCGTTTTTGGACCATCCCATCCAGTTGGGTCCATCCATGGAGATCTCAGCCTTCCTGAGGTTTCGAACCACCTTTGCAGGGTCATCGGCGCTATATTTCTTTGCAACGCTCCAGACTCGCAAGTCACCGTCACGCATCTGGACAGCAAGCATGTCCGACTTTTGCCGAGACGAGGAAGCATGCCACGCGAGATTTACGATAGGTGACGGTCCTCTGGAAGTGGTAAGGTTGTGTAAGATAGTGAAGCGTGGTTGCAAGGTTGCAACAAATAGAGAGCCATTCTGGTAGCTGAGACTGTGTTAGTGCGATTTGAGTAAGAGGAGGATAAGAACTCACCCGATGGCAAATGTTCGACAATCAGCTGATGGTGCCAATGCAGTCACAGCAATTTGGTCAATAGTCCTTGAAGAAACATGTTCGGATGTTGATGGCTCAAACATGATAATGCTTCCCTTTGTGTTGCCTTCAAATCGTTAGTCATGGTCATGTGAAACTCATTCCAATAACTGACCAAAAGCCACATTGCCATTTTTCATCCACGCTGCGACAGTTAAATGATCATAACAGGCAAATCGAGAGATCTCATCGCCTGTCATTAGATCCCACACAATTGCTGTTTGGCCAGCATCGTAACTGACAACGAAGCGGCCACCACCAGCCTCACTCTGATTATCGACCGCTAACAATTGAACCTCATCAGCGTGTCGAGAAAACCTTCGTTCAATGGTAAGAGTATCATGGTGACAGCAAACAACGGATGAACCCTGGGCGTACAAAAACATGGACGCAGTGGCGGCGCAGGGGTCAAAGTACTTTAAATCGGTAACATGAGGCATCGTGGTGCTGTCTGGGACCTGCGACGTCTTACTCCTTGTTGCAGACCTTCCACCGGAACTTAACGATACGGTGCGATTCCGTGACGAACCAGCCACGGGGACGGACATGATGGGCCTGATATTCTTTCTTGAATCTTGACCTGCGTTAACGGAGCCCGTGTTAGCCAGTCGGATGACCACGGAGGGCTATGGCTGCTCTGCAAGGATGCCCGCCTTGTGCGACGCTGCACGTACTGTTCTGATGCGAATCGATGTCGACGACGAACGACCCCCGATAGCGGGGTCTACACTTTTGTTGCTCTCGGGGTCGCAGGAACAGTCGGAAAGCTACACTTTAGGGCTGCCGAACATGCCTCGGAATCCTCTGCTGCCCGCACCCGGACAATGACGGTTTCTTGATGTGTCGGTAAGCCAAAGTCTCGGATCGTGTTATACTGAATTCTGTTTTGTCACTGCGCGATACGGTGCGATACGGGCACGCGGGTAGCGACGGGCAAGTGAGGTTGGACAACGAACGGAACTCTTGGGGCTGTATGTCTCGGCCGCGACGGTGAATAGTAAGAGGCAGATGCGGTGAGGCGAGAGAGAAGTCTTCGGAATGCAAATTAGTGTAAGTGTGAAAAAGTTGAGAAAGTCAAAAACACGCAAGAAGGCGTAAAGAAAGACTCGATGTGTGTGGAGATGGGCAGAGCAATGGTTTTGCTTGTCGAGAGCAACATCAACCAGGGCAACAGTGGAAAAAACGACGCTACAGGCGCAACTCGGCAACAGTAAGAATACAGCCGCCAACCCTGCTCAGATTCGATGTGATTGCCTGGGGTCGGACAACGCCAAATAGAGATGTGCGCGCAAAGTGGTCGAGGTCAAAGTGTAGCTACCAGGAAGAGCTTGGTAGTGGATGCGGATAGGGATGGAGGATGTGAAAGGGGTGTGACCCGGCGCTTGACTTGCAGACGTAGCTTGAAATCCCTTGAAGATGATTCTAGGGTCCATCAAACATGTCCTTGTGTAGGCTAGGTAGGTGTTGTATGCGTGTGCGTGTATGCTGAGCGACAACATGCGACTTAGACGGAAGATATGACAAGGGGTGAGAGGCCCAGGGCAAGATGCAGGAGACGTACAATAGGCAATTAGGGGCATGAGAAAACAGACAATACAGACACTTCCAAGAAGAAAATGAATTGGAATTCCTACCTTGATCCTTTTTCTCCTTAAGAAGAAAGTTGATCAATCTCTTTGGGGGCTGGTGTAAACGGTCGTTGGTGGAGTTGTGATATCAAGGTTCAAGGTAACTGCTGGAGCTGAAGATGTGACAGTGTGATGAGGCGACACCAACAGACAGGGAGACACAATACACAATGCAAAGGCGGAAAGAGAAGACTAAGAAGAGGGAGGCCCAAGAAGGAAATCCAGAGCAGAAAAAGTGCAGGTTGAGATGATTTTGAGAAAGACGCAGACACAGGGTTCGTACCAGTGTGGGTGCCTTTACTGCGTGTGCTATGTGTGATGGACCATCAATCATGGATCAAGGTCGGGGTCCAGAGTCAGAGATGGCGCCTAGAGAGTGGCGTACTGGCCTGTCAGTGGACGATTCAGAAAAAAGACGATATTAAAATAGAGCCCTGAGAGCGTTGGGTTAAATGGATCAGCGGAGACGGACCGGCTCATAGGCAACATGGCACCCAGGGGTCGTCTTGGAGGATGGTCGACGGCGGCTGGGGATTGGGAGCTTGGGTTAACATGAGCACCTTTCTGCTGTTCGGACTCGAGCTAACAAGTTGAGTGGGGTAGAAAAGCCGCAGACGACTGGGATCCCCTCTTGTATCGTTGACAGGGGTTTTGGGTATGGTATAGCATCAGACATCGATCTAAAAGACACCAGTTGAGGCGGAGGCGGTCACTTTGACGTGAATGGATCGTGGCCGGCGGCTGCGGCCTTGCAATGACGAACAAAGCCCAGCGTGGGATTGCCATCGCATCGTAAATTGTCGACTGTGGATCTTGGATTAAAAGACAAGGCGAAATGACAAGCAATGTGTCGTAGCAAGTCAATTGTCTAGCGAGCAATGCCCCCTGCCAAATTTAGCCTCGTGGGCTGGCCGCGTGCCATTGAATTCAAGTCTCTCAAAAAAGTCGTTGGATAGCGCATCAAATTGTGTGGTTCACTAGACTGGGACCCCTGTAAATCTCCAGATCCATTCCGGCTTGAGACTCGAGGGACTCGACCTATCAATCAATCAATTGTATTCCATTGTTCGCTTGCAAGCGCATGAATGGCTCGAGTTTCACCATTTGAGATATAACTCTTTATCATGAAAGCACGTCCTTGGTCGTCACGATCTCCGCCGTCGTCTCATCCAAATTTCATCCTGAATTTGCATTGATAGGAATCCATCAATCACGTAGAGTACAGAAATCAATGTCCCTACGGCCCCTCTTTTGGTGAAATGATCAGAGGTATGCAATATGCAAGCGGCGTCTGGTACGACGACAAGCGGTGGCTTCTCAAGCATTGCAGGACAACACAGCAGAGCATAGTGCAGCAGCGTAGGGGCAGCACGGCGTCCTCCCACGCAGTGCAGTTGCTGTAACGCTGGTGCAGTAGAAAATAGGCACCACGACATGATATGCTCGATCCAGTTGTTCTGGATATCCTTCGAGACCAAAGACTGGTCGGTACCTTACATTGAGGTCTGTGGGTGCATCAACACAACATCCATCCATCTCTGATGGAAGCGTCACAGATGCTTCTCCAGGCAGAATGATGCAGCATATCCTACAGTGGGTGTCCTCTACAGCTGCAGTGGTCGATAGGGCATATAGCACGGTCGATTACAGTGCTCTATGGCCTCTGTCGGAGACATTTCGACGTTGAGATGAAGAAGATAGAAAAGCATGTGGTTGGGGAAACGAAACATGGGGGGCTTGAGCAAGCGCTTGTAGACTAACATTGATTGGCTACAGCTCTAAACCTGGCTTGCCAACAGTTGTGCTACAGCTGTTTCTCGGCGCTTATTGGCCATGTTAGCTTAACGGAACGGGCCAATAAGCCGGCCGATCACCTCTGTTGCAGGGAGTTAATCGCCTTCTCCTTCCCGTCCCGCTAGCGAAGAGGGTCCGTACCCACATATTTCTGACGGAAAGAGCAAGGAGCTCTCTCCGCATGGACTTTGATGAACAATGTCATTCTATCAGCCTGTAGATGTTCTGATACTAAGAAGCACGTTGCTTGGCGTGAAAATCAGATGATGAGGGAAATTTTGACAATAGTGTTTGATATGAAGATCGCGCGTCTAATATCCGAGATATTGTACAGCCACTGATATCATTTCGGATAGAAATGTCGCCTATCGACTGATATCCAACCGGACAGTATGTTGCTTCTCCACTTTTGACCTCATGCGATATTTCGAAAGGAGCAAGTCTCGATGTGAACATTTTCACGCCTGACTCTTTGAAAACTTACCTTATGGGCTTGCCTTAGTAGCATTGCTGGCATCTAGTTTGGTCTTGCCATTCGTAAAGTCTCCTTGTTCATTGTTCCTTGTTGCGTTTACTAGGTAGGTTGTGGATCTCTCTTTCCTCTGCTCCTGCATACACGATTCTTTCTTTGCTTTTTCCCGTGCCCCTGGTCCATCCCGTTCCAGTGCTACCATACCCACACCCACACCTTATTCTCTGCCGTGGGTGGCTTGGTGGATGATGCTTGAGAATAGCGATGTTCTATTATTCAAACTTCAGACTTCAAACTTCGTATATCTATTGACGAGCCTCTGACAACGCAGATATCTGCGTTTCATACACGTCACCCTGCTCCTTAGTTGGCAACTGGGGATAGTGACTCAAGATGGGTACGGTACCAACGCATCGGTCAAACGAACAGGGTCTTGACCGTTGAATTGGCTCCCTCACTTGTCTTTCAGATTGACTCAGTCGATCTGGGGGTCAGAAAAGAAACTGCACTAAGAATTCACTTGAGAACATTGATATCAACAGCCCTCAAACTCCGAATACGGATACATGCAGTGATACCGTCATTGTCCCTTGTGCCTGAGACCTGTACATCAGCATCACTTACACGCCAGCCTCCACAACTGGTCAATTCTGGCTGACAAAAGACGGAAAACGTCTTTCTGTTTATTTCAAGCCGGTATAAAGCCTTTCTTCCGATGTTTGTCTCAGAAACATGTGGCTGAGACCCAAGTTGGATTGCTTATCCAGACTTAGCATCGCTGACCGGCAGGCAACCTCCCTGTCACAACCTTGGCATTTCCAGTTCCTCTGTGGGCACGGCGTCTCAAGTCCAACAAGCGCCTCCACCTATAGAAATCTTGCTTATCAACCGCTCGGCTAAGAACAGGTGTTTGCAGTAGATGCTGTCCACTGTCACGGTTCCTTTCTTGCTGAGTCGGTTCGCCTTGCTTTACTCGCTTCCGTCGTACAGGTTCTTACTTCTATAGTTTCCTGCAAGCCAAGCACAGCATGACCAGTGAATTGATAACTGATTTCGACCTCAAAGACGTGCATGCGGAGGGTCATGAACGTCGAATCATTGTCAAATGCATTCAGACATCGACCACGTATTTATCAGTTGTTGGATTACAGCTTGGTGTTTTACTGCCCAAGATCCTATCTTGTTGATGTGCAGATAGTTACGATGCAAGTGGGCAGCTCCGCAAATACATACTATTCTGCTGCACACACTTAATATTCAGACACGACCGGGCCTCAACGCCACTGACCGAGGGCAAGAACTTTTGCCAGCCGAGAACCTACGCAATTTCATTATCCCGGAACTTCGCTTGGCTTGTCTGGCCTCAGAACTTATAATCCAAGTTACCCCACGGTCGTCTGTAGTCTCCTCAGGCTCTGCTGCAGCCTCGCACAAGCTGTGTCTTTGTGCAACATCTGGGCACGGATTGCTGCAGGCACTTGATCTGAGAGACATCTAAGCTCCCTTGCCTTTTCTTTGCTTCTTCTGCTGCTGGTTCACCTCGCGCATGCAGCTCGTATCAAGCAGTCCTACCCAAGTCAAAGCTACAACTTTTCTCAGTTTCTCACAACTCACTTGCTCAGAAAATCTCAGGTCTGTGCACTGGGTTGTGATTTTCCCATCACATTTCATTTCCCCTGTTGACCGTAACATGCTGGTCCTTGGTGAGGACATTCTTCTCGGCCGCGGGGCTTCCGGTCGCTGCTTTCACACATTCGATATGGCGACTGGGGTATGAGCATGCGATTCCATGCTATAACCTGCGGCCCAAACCGCGGCCAGGCTGATGGATGGTGACTATCACATCTTGATAACGCCACTTGATAAAAGACTCCGAGTCCAACGGTCTTTCTTGCGGTCGCAGTGTCGGCCGCCTTGCTTCATCAGATCGACCCAGGGACAAAGCCAGCATGTAAGATTTATATATGTGACTTTATACGTGATTGGTAACAAGGCCCCGCTATGGGATCAAAGCCTCTGTACACTTGTTTGCCGAGATATCAATCTGGACATTTCAACTGTCCGAATGGTTTCGGCCCATTGGAATACGCTTATATTCGAGTGACATTCAGCCAGGCGCATAATGACTCGAGCTTGACTAAATTAGTAGCGCAAGAATCGCGCAAGTTGGACAAACTGACCCTGGTAATGAAATGTTATACTGGACAAACTCGAAATAGGAAGAAGGCCCCGGAGGCGCCATCTAGTGTCTTCATGTCAAAACAGTCTACGGTTGTAAAGTGGAGTTTACACCATCTTTCTATGAGTTTCGTTGACAGGTTGACAAGTCAACGTTGCTCTCTCATTACTGTTGATCACTTTCAGCTGACTTACAGATGTGATAAGTTGGGGATCAACGCCCACGCATGGCAGGGTCTAGGTCTACCAAATCCTTGGGTTTACCCAAAAGGCTCGGCCACGTTCTTCTGTCTCACTGCTTTCTTCCAAGAGTCATGGCTCTCATCACATCTCAGTCGAATTCAATCACTTTCCACAACTGCAACGTAAGGCTGGCACACCGAGCACAGTAACGTTGAAAATTGGGTGAGTGAAATCCCTTGCATCGCCAACCATCAACTCGCGTGGCCTCAGGCTTCCCCGCAATCAGACCCATTTGACCCATTTCCAAGCATTAGATGGGATCCAACTGGAAGCCAACGGTTTCGAGTGGCCCTTCTACGGGGTATTTTAACAATGCATACAATCATCCACTAAAGAATTACAGGGCGTTGAAAGAGGCCAATATTTAGATCTCACTTGTCTCGATCATGGTCCAATTGGAATGAAGCCGGCTCCGCGGGGCATTCGATATTCGACATTGTGCATGAAAGGAATGCGGGTGCCAAGAGGATTCCAGCCTCGATCTGAGCCCATCAGAGGCTGAGAAATGTGAATATGCAATGAATCGATACGAGACGGAGCTCACGATAGCGGGCGTTCGACATCGGCCGTTATTGGCTTATTGTCTCAGATTTGATTGTCTCGATTTGGAGACAAATCATTTCGCAAATCGTGGAAGTGGGCTTGATCCTCGAGAAGGATCACAAGATACCCGAGACTGAGGCTTGATGTCGGATCATACTCCCAGTCTCTTTGGGTATTTATGCATCTGCAGTATAGTTGTCAACTCTTGATTGAGTATATAGATTGAGCTCAATTGGTCTCGTGCATCATGGTCCTTTTATCCGGATGGTCGAAGTTGTTGGTTGTAGGTCCATCGTCACTTGGGCAAGGTCAGATCATGTTTAAAGCTCTTATGATGCGTCCCAAGTGGCTAATTATCGAATTCCAATTACGGATGCATTTGATTGTTCTTGTCGTGTTGATCACCTATCAGTTTTGACAGATATTGGTGTTGATGTACTGTTGAGGTATTACCCAGAACGGCCTTCATCATCTGCCCAGATTCGACTATGGAAACTGATTTGTGGTCTGCAGAAGTCCAGATATCTTCTCTTTGGCATTCAGTCACAATTTGTCAGAATATCCATCTGATGTATGCTCTCCGGTGCCTCTATCGTAATACATAGTCCGCCTAGAGTTGAGACCTGCCCAAGAGGGTTCTCAAAGTGTCTCCCTCCCAACTGCTCTGAGAAACGCTTCGTGGAGTCTCAGACCAAATTATATATAACAGACGTGATTACAGTTATCTTGATATATTGTATCCAAAGATACTGCGTGGTTACTTCATTCATATCTTGAATAACGGAGAGTTACGCGGGTGTAGATAGATGTCATTCAGCCACATCCAGGCCTAGACACAAGACAGTCTTTATCTGTTCTGTAAACGCTTCCATTCTATTTTAGTTACCCTACCTCATTCAATAGTATAACAGGGTTTTCTGTGGTGTTGTATACTAAAGAGAAACGCCGTTGTTGGCCAGGCTCAGTCTCTGGGATGAGCCTTGTGGTCGACTCTCATCTTTCGATAGACTCCCAACCAGGCCATTAAGCTACTAAATCATATGTGCCCAGTTTAAATGGCCTTAAAAGGTGTTCTCTTGAGTATTGGGTTGTGGTAATGGCTGATGATGTCTAAGGAGACACTGAGAAGACAAGCCGTGGCATGCAAGTGGCGCTATCATCATGGGAACAACTAGTGATGCAAGTGATGATTCTATCTTTGAGATATCATTCATTGAGATCCCATGAGACTATTCAGGCTAGGATCTAGGTGGCGTTACTAAAATGCCATCGACGAGGCTTGCCCATCGTTCCCGGCATAGCGATGGCCTTGCATGCTTGGCTCACGATTTCATCTCGATCTGTGGTCCAAGACTATCTCTTATATGATTTTTCAACTTGAACTGATGTTATATAAACAGTTTCCTATTCGTGTTTCCTGCAATGCGTGTCTATACTGCATAGTTGCACTGTCGCCTTCACGAGACTCGATGAAAACCTCCTTGGATTGTGCGAGAGAAGAGGGTGGAATTCCGGGAACCTTTCGAATTTATGGTATAATTGTGAGCTATAATTGATCTTTGAACGGTATTCTCCCAATAGTGTGGTTTGAACTCAGCCTGTGCTCGCATGAACTATCTCACGACACACGATGATGAGATCTTTGCTCTGCGCTTTGCTTCTATGCCAATAGCGGAATCCCAAGACAAACCACACTTAGAATGGAGCATAGGGCTTCAGCATTATGCAGTCTGCTTCACTTGCTACATCCAGATAGACAGGAGTCCTAGTCAAGCTGACCGACCCCTGGCGACTGAGCAGGTTGAGAATATGGAGCTTGTGACAGAAAGCGCAACGACGTTTTATACCCACTACTGGAATTCAAGTTGACTTATTCAAACAAATTAGCAGTATTTAGTTTGCTATGAACATTCCTTCAAAGAACGCAGAGAGATGTCTCTCGTCAGATGTCTGTGGAGTCTCTGTTGAGGTCCTTGAAGGCAAACTATACGCCGCAGCAACAAAACAAAAACGATTATACGTATCAAGGTGTAACACTAAGTGAACAAAAAATAGAAGACACAAAAAGAGAAACTCTAAGAGAACATCTCTCCCCCGGGAAGGCTCGAACTTCCGATCTCCCGATTGTCTATGAATAACAGTCGGACGCTTTAGCCAACTAAGCCACAGGGGATAAGCTGATTGGATGGTAGACAGCTTCAAAATAGGGGACATATTCTCATCATCCTGTCGAAATCGATCAATTTGCAATCTCGTTGACCTCAAGTTAATTCATATCAAATAAGAGATCTGAAAGATGTATTTGGTTTAATCTCTCGATATCTATGGCTTGGTTCTTGCTTACTGGAGTTGGCGGAACAAGCATATAAGTCAACCCAAGACTCAACCCATGGGCCTCACATCATGAGCTTCTACACGAATGTTACAACAAGCAATTCTGAAGTGCATCTTTTTACAGTCAAACGTCTCAAGCTTCTGCTATCAAATCACTCTCAGACATTTGTACATCTCCAGCCAAATACGCCACGCTACATCTCATCTCAGAAACATCGCAGATTCTACCTCAAGCCTTGGACTTGGACTTGAAACCCTTAGCCGTCCAATTCTCAACTTGGAACTGGTAAACCTCCTTAGCCAGTTCTTCAACAGGTCCTTCAACGATAATTCCCGGAGCAACCTGGTTGATGCTCAACGGCGCAACCGGTGCTCCAACCCCAAACTCGGCCTTCCAAGCCTCCAGCTGCTCCGTTGAAGAAACATACACAATCCTTCCAAGCCCACACCACGCATGGGCAGCGGAACACATAGCGCAGTGCTCACCGCTCGTGTACACAGTAGATTTTGCGCGCTCTTCATCGCTTAGGTTGAGCTGTGCCCAGCGCGCAAGGGTGAACTCGGGGTGGAGCGTCGAGTCAGCACGACCATCACCGTTGGAGCCTGTGACGGTGCGGTTTCTGTCGGTTTGAAGGACTTTGTTGTCTGATGAGACGAGGACTGAACCGAAAGGGGCGTCTCCTGCTTTGAGGGCTTCGTGGGCGAGTGAGACTGCCAGACGGAGATGCTCCAGATCTTGGTCGCTGATCATTTTTGCTGTACCTATATCAAGTAAACGTCAATTTCTTGTATGAACTATAAGATCAAGTGCAAAGTCTTTCATACCTGTGTTGTTATAGGTGCTAGTGGTGAGTTGACTTGTGAGTAGTGAGGTTGAGGGAGTGAGGCTTGACAAATCCATGATGCGGGGAAGATGATGATTGCAATGAGGTTTCTAATCAAGATTACCTCATGACCGTACAACATCACGCAAATACCATGATTTATTAATGCTGTAGTCTTATATTGCTTAGAAATCTACTAAAATGAAGCTAATTGTCACTTATGTTCTTCATGTGCCAGATGAAAGAGTCTCTTGCTATCTCAAGTCATTGTAGGACTATATCATGAATGAGTCTGAGCGGCGGGATCGATTTATGATCTCTGGGAATAGAATGCCAAGTTGAAGCTTTACTGAACTCACTTATATCAGATTCAGTTTCTGCCTAGTCACATTGCTGAGATGCTCAAGGGGGGGTTCTGAAGAAGTGATGATGTTGGCGACCTCGCTATCATCAAAGCCATGGAACTACATTATGGGTAAACGATACCCCGGCATAGACTTCCATAAGAAGAGATTTATCCTGAAGGACCTATTCCATAGGCCCTGGTTAAGGACTCACAGTATGCTGCTTTCTCTTCTTCCCTGCTACAACTCCATGTGATTCTTCCAGGCCAGTTCCTCGGTTGGCCTGACCTTTGCTGTCTAGAACAAGTGGCAAACTGTTGAGAGTGAGATTTACCGAATGGTTCTCGAGTTCATCGGCAATGCATTAATATGTCTCAATTAGTTTATGGTCCGATTGTGCTTGCTCCTTGATATCGGTCTTGAATACTCGATCTGACTTACATCAAGCATCTTTAGAAAGGAAAGAGACTTCTTACATGATCAGTAAAAGGATATCCAAGAACTTCAATATCTTACCATGACTCTTGAAAGAATCTCTTATGTGGGACGATGCATCCGTTCATCTCGATCAAGGCAGTCCTGTCATCCACGAGCAGCATGCTCCAGATCATCAAAGACCTTCTCTCCAACTTCTCGATTGTCACACAAGCAATGCAAGAATAAACTCAGACCTCTAGAGGGTCTCAATTCCATGTTGTATAAATCTTAGACCCGGATACCTGCGTTTGTGTATACCCTCAAAATGCGAACAACAGGACCGGACATCGACATGGTCTCTGAAACAAAGGTAACTCAAAGCACGAGTCTGTCCTATCTCGGCTACTCTAAGCCAGATAGCCTATAACATCTCGGACACTCCCGCTCAGACCGTTGACATCTCGTTGTAGTTCTATTCTAGGCTTCTTTGGTGTAAGTTTCACTCCTCATGCCTCACGCTTTCGGCATTACCAGCGCGATATACATCCCATATCAAACAAAGACTCAACGGCATACAAATCGTTTGAGACATGATCTACATGTAGGTGGCACAAGCGCCCGTTGATAGTCTGTAGTCTCTTTGTGTTTGTTGTTCCTGAGTTAAGGTTGGTAGTATACAAACAGCCAAGAACAACGCTCTAACAATACAAAAGCTTATATCTGTACAAACATCTATACAACATACATTTAACCTATCAAGCCACACGGGACAAACCAACTTAAAATCACAGCAAACAAAGCAAATGCCGTCTTCCCCGCGATCTAAACTAACATCCCCAACCGTGCACGATTCTTTGACACTCACATCACCAACTACCGATACCCTTTCACAATCACAATCATCTTTCCTGTCCAAACACCCAACCATAGCAGAAAAATATCATAAGCTCCTATTCTCAATCACAAGCTCACCACGTGAATTTTCATTGTCTCTTATCGCCGATCTCCCACTCACCGCTCTCCACCAACCCCGCGGTTAAGGCGTTATGCCCCCATGTGACAAAGCAGCTTGACCTTGAAGTCCCTGGCACGGGACGTTACCACGGGCCAGGCTAGAAAATAGATAGGTCCCTACTGTCGCCGGTACTCGAAAAGTGTGCTTCGGTAATGGTTGATGGTTATTGGATGATAGGGTTTTGTTGTGGCACACGCTTTGGTGAGATTGGCTTGTGGCCCTTTATTGTTGCCAAGTTTGAGTGTGTCCAAGGTTGGTGATAATACAGAGGGCTAAGCGCCTGGAGACCAGAGCAAGAGTCACAAGCAGAGGCGGCACATCACATGAATCAAAGACAAGAGCTAGGTAGGGTAGATGTGTATGCCAGATATGATTGATGCTAACTAAGGGGGTATCTTGAAATCAGGGCAGGCTCAAGGCCGCCAAACTATCCTAAGGTATCTAAAAGCCCAGATCGCCGTGTAAACCCATGCAGTGTTGTGTGCATATCCAATGCTATGCAGTGCCATGCCAATGTTTCCCATTCCATATGCCAAGTGTGTGCCAGCTGATTCATCCCAGTGATGGGAGGCTGAAGCATAACCTGTATCCAAATGTCCCATGCCCTATGATGATGCAAGCCAGAAGACAATGCAATATTAAGAACTCCAATACATGAATGCTTTCCATTAAGAGGGTGTGCGAAAACGAAAACGATCAAATAAACTCAATAATGAGCCCGGTGAACCGGGACGGAAAACATAAAATGTCGGGCTCGATTAAAAGCCTCAACAGAAAAAAAGAAGCAAGCGGATAGTGATGGACCGAAGACGAATCCGTTTACCGGGCCGCCATGCGGGGGAAGACAAGAGAAGTGAGCGGTAGATGGCCGAAGTCGCCGACGGTCCGGAGAAGAAAACATCCACATCTAGAAGAGTGTCTAGATTGGGGGAGCTTCCACCCGCCCGGCGGCATCAACTTCGGCCGCGATCGGAAAGATTGAGGAATTGATGGGGAAATGATGGTGCTTGACTTGATTGTTGTTGTTGTCATCCATTTCCAAAGCTTGGCTCATCCATCTGACTCATTCTTGGTTGGGTGAACCCCCACCCCCACCTCTGATTTGCTGGGGTCTGAGGCGGTCTAACCATGGCGTCATCGACCAAGATAGTGGTGGTGTCAAGTTGTTTCCCGAAAATCAAGCCGGCGGTTAGAAGTCGATCCGACAGCTGAATAAGGTTGCCCGGTATAGCGAGTGACAGCTTGTTTGGTTGTTTGGTTGTTGTGGTTGTGTGAAGAGATTTCCCATCTCAAATGATGGAATAGTGGTGTAGATAAATCTGGCAGGTGCAGCTATTATTGCGCACATGCAATGCTGTAGTTGTGTTGTGTGGGGTATCATGATGGGGTATCATATGCCATGTAAATGCAAAACGCAGCCTAAAATATTGTTAGTGACTGTTGCTGTTTTGAGGTAACATGCAAACATACGCTATCGTAAATCGTAACAGTCATTAAGAAGTTCCCAGAGCTTGTTTACTCAATAGCCTCCTCGTTGATGGAGGTGAGCTTGGTCTTGGGACTCTTCTTGTGAGAACTGCTACGGCGCTGCTTTCGTGCGGCGGCACGTCGACGCTCCTTCTCGAGGGCGACAACGCGAAGGCACTCGCGTTGCAAAGCGGCCTGGCGTTCGCGCTCAGCCTGGATGAGCTCGAAGTCGGTGATGACGTTGGGAGGAGAGGCCATGGCACCAGGAGAAGAGCTTCCGGCGCTGGAGACGCTCTGGGCGTCGTCGTCGAAGGGATCGGAGAGGAACAGATCGTCGTCGGATAGATAAGAGGTGGGTCGCTCCTCTCGATCAGACTCGGAGAGAGAGTCGCGTCGGGGCCATGATGGAAAAGCGCAGGCGGAATCCTGAGATCGGTAGATGTTGCGAGACGCGATATCCATGGGCGCTGAAGACGCGCACATGGAGCTGATGGAACTGTATGAGCCGAACATTGTTGCGGTTGTGATATTGATGATAGGCGAGGTGATGGTCGTGAGTGAAGCTCAAAGAGCTGTAGCTGTTGCTAGATAGCAAGTGTAAGTGGTGATCACTTGGCTTGATGATGTTGTTTTGTGGACGGCAGATATATGGATCCTTGGTATGAAAACCTGGGGATGCGGGTAGATATAAATGAATGAAGCAGAACGGGCAGGCAGCCGGCTAAGGGAGGCCAAGGGGCGTGTGAGATGAGAAGAAAGATCGGGTTGGGTGAGGTGTGGAATGGATGATTTGCAATAGGGGCGTGGGGTGTGTAGGTGACAGAGGACCTGAAGCCTGAGCCTGGGGGTGCGACCGAGAACGGGTGCGAGTGCGGGTCAAGGGTCCTCAAGTTCGGTCGCCGGGAAGAGAACCAGATACCGCTACCAACTGCCCTGTCGTTTAGGCTTGCTGCTGAAATTCAGCCTGCGGATTGATCCCGACCGAGGTGTAGGGGTGTCGGAACGAGGTGACGGGAGAAGAGGAGGTGAACGTGAAGAGGAGACGAGACGAGAGGGGGGGCGTGGCGAGAGGAAAAGAGCGGTGGGAAATTCGAGTCAGAGAGACCTGGAAGGGGAAAATCAGGGCGATACAGAGGCGGCTAAGTGGACGGGCGGAGCGGATACAACGCCTGCCACTGGTAATTCTTGGGGGGGATGGGGTGGCCGAAGCGGATCCGTGGGGAGAAAAGGAAGAGTCAGAGACTCTGAAGGCCTCTGAAGGCTCTGGTTGTGGCGGTTGTGTCGAGATATGGGGGGCGTGTGGCCGAGCGGGTAGCCAACTCGGTATCCAGATCTATTATTCTCTATCAATCAGAGAATTCGCCAAGACTCCTTGAATAGAGTCCAGCAGAGGAAAGTAGAGTAGAGAATGGCTTATCGCGCTCGGGTCAACTCGTTGAATGTGCCGAGATCGCGCCGTAAAGACGAAGCCGAAGTCTTCCAGAAATCAAGTTTGTTGTTCACCGTTGCGCTGCGTTGTATTGTTGTTTGCTATTGATAGGAACAACAGCAAAGCATAAATTGATAAGCCTCGTAATGGATGGTTACCAGCATTGACTGACTGTATGTATGCACACTCGTGTTGCGGTGACGGACGAGCTGAGAGCTGTGCCGTCCGTGAAAGTAACTTGCTATTGTAAAAATAAAACCTGTGCAAACCTAAGTAAATCCCCAACAGACGGTGAGATAAGCAAGACCTTTTCATACGGATCACAGCATTGCATCTCATTTACGGATACGTCCAGATCAACAATAACACAAGACAAGACTCAGCGTCCAAGACAATCCGCTCTCATCCAAGACACCTCAAACTTGTTTGTCTGATTTGCTTGTCCCCAAGCAAGCCGGCTTGGTCTCATCTGCCCTGTGGCTTTTCGTAATCCGGGGGTGAAAAAAACGCCTCCTCCAGATCCCCAAGCCCAAGGTGAAAGTCAGAAGCCAAAAGGCGAAAAGCTACGAATAGCAACCACAATACCAATTACACCGTGTGCGATTCGCTGCCGTCGCCTGGATCACAGCCTCCCTCCCGCGGGTCAAGTTACCAAATCACGGGCTGCGCGGGCGGCAATGGGACACAAGTCACAGTCATCAATAGAGTCACAAGCTGTAATAAGAGCACAGCGATTTATCTTTTTACCGCCCAGGCTGACCAACTGGATTACTCACCACCGTATAATGTAATCGTAGGTGATTACGGCAGAGTCAGCGCAGCGCAGCAATCGCTTGCGAATTGGATACGATGTGATGTGATACTTTGCGACACGAATCAACGTATTCATCACTCATCAGCCCGAGGTATTGATGCTTCATTGGTGCTGTTGTAGCCTGTAGCGAGCGAGTGGGAGTTCCGTTGCTTTCGCTCCTCCATGGATGATCGCAGATGATTCATTCCTTTTTGTCTATTCGATTCGGATCAAAAGCCATCCGCTTACGATTCGGAGAATGATTGATGAACTCGTTCGGAGTTAGGTTTGTCTCATCTCTTGTCTTGTCTTGTAATTTATCGAATCTGATGATTGATTGATGCGTTTGTCTTTGGTTGCTTTTTCATGTCTCTCAAGTTTCCTCTCTCCTCTTCCGTTCCGTTTTCTCTCCCCCACGCACGCCCTGTCCCTCCCTTCCAGGCCCGACTTCCCATTCTTCCAGCGCCCAACACACCCAGAATCGGTCCCTGGCCGCGGTCGATCCTCGGGTTGCTTCTGCTTCTTCTGCCCTGGCATACGTTGTCCCGAGATAGCTCAGCGCCCAAACCTTCCCGTCGCTTCGGGCAAGAGTAGGTTTTGATAGCCGCACACCACACCATATGCATCCCACAGGGCTGGCTGACACTCAACTCACTCCAACTCTGGCTGTTCTTTTTTCCTACTTGGGAAGAGGGGGAGGGCATTCGCAGGATTGAGGGATTGCTGGATTGGTCTTGTCCTCAAGCAAGGGCCAAGACAAGATGCGATCCAATGCAGGTAGGGCACAGCTTGCATTTCGCAATCACTGACCGCTCCCTTGACGCAAAGGGCACTCGTTTCTATTTGCTGGATACGTGCTTCGTAGTGTTGCAGCATTCGTCTGTAGTTGGTTAATTGTTTTACCACACGCAGTCCATCAGCGACCATCCGAAGAGTCATCTATCAATCGGTTGGGGTACCATCTTGCAGCGACTGTCCGATCCAGCTGCGCCATCAACCACTAAAGTTGCGGAAGCCGAGGATAGTTCAATTTCACCGCCGGTCAACGGCATAAACAACAGCCATACAGTAGTAAACAACAAATCATATCATATGCATATGCATCCTCGGTAGACACACAACCACGCCGACATAGCTTGAAACTCTCTCCTCCGACCTCTCGGTCTTTTTCCCGCCGAAGCCTACCCACCTACCTAATATCGCGTCTTATCGCAACCTATTCCGTTTTCCCCTCCCAATCTAGAAGCTGTCAATCCAAACTCCAGGCTACCAGAAACATCAACCCCCAATGTCCCCCAGGGCACAAGGGGTGCCTAGTAAAACAAAGTTCAAAGGTTCTTCCTCTTCCCAACTTCCCACTAGGGTTATAGTTGAACTGTAGAATTCAATCCCGGACCGAGCATTCTTCTACCCTGCATGCCCGTTTAGCCTACAAACCTTGAACAGCTCCCCCCAGGACCAGCAAATTTCCCCTTTCGTCCAGGTTGCTTGAGCGCACGAATCGCAGCTCGTCCCTCTCACCGCTAGCTGGCATGGGTATCGATGTCGGTAGCCAATCGCGGCACTGTATTTCTTCTCCGCGATGTCTTGGCCGGTAGGAATCTCGGTGGTACAGCTGCAGGGTTTAATCCTAACCTAGCCATTGGGCACAATATTCAATTTCAAAATCCGGTGGAAGAAGCAAGAATCTTGGATAGAACGAAAAAAAAAAAAAAGTGAAGAGTTTTCTCAACTATTCCCCAGTTACACAAAGCAATACAGTTTCGCTTACGTTTGGCAACGGTTTAAACCTGGTGAAGACTGTGATATTTCTCTCAAACTCTCCACATGCGATACGCCGGCGTATTCTTCGGAGACCCGCATCCACAGTCGGAGCCGCTTTTGCGGCGTTTTCTCCACCCTGTGGCGGTCTCCCTTCCGTAATCCTTTCGGCCTTTCTACAGCATCAATTGGATTCGGTTTTTTAATCCCTTGACTGTGAAGGCTTTTACCCCTCGCCGAAAGGCCTTGGCGCTCGGCTGAACAACTGACTCTCCCTCGGCGCTTGTCTCGCCCCGGTCGAGTCAAAGGGCGAACGTTTTTGACATATCGGAAACAGGAGAACTCAGATAGGAACAACACATATGCGAGGGTGCATTTCAGAGCTATGATCCGAATCTAGCGCTGTCGCTTGTGAGTCGGAAGACATCAGATTGGTGAGCTTGAGCTATCGGATGTGCTCGCCTGAGGATGAGTGAGACAGCTTCAAGAGCTTCTCCGCACTCTGGCTAAGAAATGATCTGCAGTTCGAGCCCTCCGAGCCAAACACAGCTGTGAGAGTCTGGAGCTGTCGCAGGAGCTGCACAAAGGGGCTTTTGCTCCTAGCCGAGCAGCCCAGAACGTTGATAGATCTGCTTATCAGACAGAGGAGCTGCTGCTGATCCTCCTGCGATACAAAGTGATGTTCATGATTAACGGTCTGGCCCGTAGTGAACCCTGCAGATAATGGATGTGTTTGGCCGTCTGGATTCACAGCAGCGTTCTAGCTTGTTGATCGCTGGAGATACAAGTGGTTCCAGTGGCTCTGGTCCTCATTTGCACCAACGACAGCGTGAAGGCAATGCCGAAAAGACCCTGCGTATTCCCGCCTCACTCCACCTTTATCCGTGAGGCAGCACAACACAGCACGCAATTCATGCCCGCCGAGAAGAAGAAAGGCTCCGGCGGTCAAGTTGTTCGGTGATCAACCGAAGGATGAGATGCACTACAGCTGCAGCTTCGGCGGGAATAACTCGTGATATGAGTCAGATATGGGTATCAGGGTCCTTTGTCTCCGCGCTGTTTGCGCCGTCTGCGATACCTTCGTCATGGCAAACCTCCAGTTTTCCTTACTTGACCTTATCTCTGTGTTTCCACTTCCACCGCCACTTATTTTTCTTCACTCAAAGCCACTCCCACGATCCATTCTTTTCCGTATAATGCCGGGTCTGGGGAAACACCAACTTTACATTACTCGCCGACAAGATTGGCCTTCCATTTTGACAGGGAAGATTCCATGGAAGAATTCTTCTCATGTTACCTAAGGTAACTCCACCTCGGTACAAGGAATTTTCACTGCAATTCAAATAATTGACACCTGAAATTCTTCATCCCGAGCAATCTCGCTGTAGTGGACCTTTTGAGCCTGACCCTTGGTTCTGGTTACAGCTATGAGATCCTTACAGCGGTCCGCGCGGCCGGGTGCTGTTCCGGGATTGACAAGTTCCAAGTTTCCAATCCCAAATTCCCAATGCTACGGTCAGAGATCGGTCATTAAAATTACAGCCAGGCCAGGTCAACCAGCCCTGGATATCCCGCTGGCTGGGGGTGACCCGTGTCGCCGTTGGGCTCTGGCGTCTGGGGAATTTTGAGTTTGATAATGATAATGCGATAATGCTTGCAATAAGTGTCTCAAGCAAAGGCCAAGGAAGTAAACGTCATCAGTCCCTTCATTTGTCGTATAATTACCTGTTTGTTATCGAATCCCGCGGGAAGAGACAAGATGCTCAATCAGGAAGTTACTGTGCCAAGGCTAAGTAAAAGCTTATCGAAGGCTGGATCAGACACTCTAATAACACTGTATCGGTTTCCGAGTCTGCATCGCGATATGCTTTACTGGTCTCGCATGCTTAACTAACGAAAGACTAGCCCTTCTCGTACGGCAGCCTCTTTGAAGAATTGTTTGGTCTAGCAAGAGTCCAGTGTTTTGACCCGTTTACACGGTTTCGCTTGCGACTTTATCCGGCGCACGGAATACCATTCTCCTGCATTATATCACAATTCCTTGTGACATAACCGACTCAGAACCCATGTCCAAAAGCAAGTATCCGACACCACGGACACGGCCTGCTGCTGCATTTGAAACTTTGTTGTTTGCTTTGCCTTGCCCTGCCTGGCGTTGCTTTGACGATTCATCTCAAATCAAAACCCCAGCTCCGGACGGCGGACTGCCATTCCTAGCTCCCCCCAAGCGAATGGACGGCATGGGACGGAATACCATTCCCACCTTCCGAGGGCCTGTTAATTAGAATTAAACCGCTGGCCTGGCGGCTTAACCAGCCTTTTCTTCCTTTACCGTTGCCGCGATAGGATTGAGGCGTCCATAACCCCCCCTGAAGTCTACCGCTTGTGAGAAGCCCTGGTCCCCCGACCCGAACCGGCGGTTCTCCTCTCACCAAATAGTGAAGCCAAGCCAAGGCTTGCCATGTCTGAGTTGCTCCCGACAGGCATTGCATTGACCCCATTCACGAGTCGCTCATAACGTAAAGAACCCCCTTTAATATGGGGGCTGTTAGTCAGTGATGCTACGGAGTAAGTAGAGCCGAGAGGGAGATGGAGACTGGAGTCTTATCGGAGGGGCTTCTATCAATTCTTTCCAGAACTTCCTTTTTCTTTCTTGGAAGCCACCCTGACATGCTGTCCACCTTCTACTTCGGGCCTGGAGCATAAAGTTGTGGTGGTGAAGATGCAGTTGTGGACACTAGAAGCATCGGTAGAAGGGCCGTGGAAGGACAGCCACAATGTAGAAGCATGTGTCATGAAATCATTGCAAGCGTCAGTGTCAGTGAGTATCTGTCCTGAAGAAAAATTCTATGCATCCTTCAGGGTGCAGCTCCTGAATCATTCGAAACGTCCAAACTCAAAATATTCCAACCTCGGACTTCGTCCCGTGCTACCTCGGGTTTGGGGCAAACGCCTCCCGGATCTTGGTTCAGTTCTTAGCTATAGTTAGCTTCCGCAATTTCCACGTGTTTGCGGTTGCGGTTGCGATTGCGGTGCCGCGGGGAGAGTAGCGAGCGAGGAGGTCATCCCAATCTCTCTTGATAGACCTCGGGCCAATTCCGGCAAAGGTCCACGGTTAGAATCCGATCGAGAAAAATGTGGCTTGCGGGAAAACGAGTAGAGTTGCCCGGAGCTGGGGAAGAAGCGATAATGGTCCCGGAAATTCCCCCTTTTAGGTAGAGTCGAGGTAACGGGCGAATGGGAGGAGGGGGCGTGTAATGTCGGAAATTCCTAAGGAAAAGGGAAAGGTCACCGAGACTGACACCGACGCTGTCATTGTCGGTGTCACTATCGAAGCAACGTGGGCGAGCGACTCGTGTAGGGCTTCCATTTCGAGAGTCTGAGAGCCAAGTCTGCCACGCGATTGACAGCTTTGACGTTTCATTCATCATGATAATGCATCACCCACGGAATGACCGTCAGGGTGAGTATGCACTGTTGGTCAGTGAGTTCCTCGACGGTCAATAGTTTCAAAACTGAATCGTAATTGATTAATGAAATCAATTAAACATGTCTACGATTTCTGGTTTTGGCTGAGACTTGTCGCAGATGATAACAGGTTTTGGCGTGTTATTGTCTCTGACTCTCTCGCTGCAGACGTTGAGACATCCATTGTTTGTTTCCGGCCACAGCAACAATGATCCTGACGCAGCTGATTTGAGATTCCTGAATTTGATGCAACCTCGAAGAAAGCAACTATTGAACAACCGAGTCAGTCATTTCACTACCAAGGAACCTGCAAGACGAAGCATGTCACCGAGGTATGAAGTGTACATATGAAGGTATACGTACGCCACAACGTGGGAGCGCCGCCTACGCCACGACTCAGCGCAACAGGTTACCTCTTTCGTTCAAAACCTGGACAGATCCCTTCTGGTTTACCCCAGGATCGCGATTCCAAACCCGCGTCGTGGGAAATATCCAGAAAGAGATCAATATGACGTCGTGCACGCTGAAATATGATATGTCGCTGCTAATCTCACTCATCTCGAGATATCCGGCGTAAATGGCAGAAATGGTATGCGAAACCAAATTGTGGCTTTTGTTGCTGTGATGAATGTATTGGTTGCACTGTCGGGGTATGATATGATGTGATGTCGTATGCAATGCTCACTCTGCAATACGCCGAGGCTGAGATAATACGGTCTCCGAATTGCTCACTCCTTCGCTGTTACTGTTACGCCTGCTAGGAATAGCATCAGGTTGCATTCGCGACACGGACGCCGTGGCTGCTTACAATGTCTACGCGTTGTGCTCCCCTAATACTTTTCGCATTCCCCCATGTTTTGATCAAAGATTGGCTCGGATCTCTCGCCTCCGAATTTACAGTTGAAAAGGTTCATCGTCCCGGTGTTCCGCAGTCTGATTGATTACGCTATCAGTATCGTATCTGGTCCCGTGATGCTTGGCTTGGCCCCCGAACTGTAACAATCCAATGTTTCGTTGTTGCCTGCTTGCTACGTGGTGGTTTCTTGGGAGCTCACAGCTACGGTGTGATTATTACAGGCATTCAGTTCGTATGTATTTGGGGCTGAGTTGCTGAGGCCAAGGCTGAGGCTGGCGATGACGATTACCATGTAGCATGTAAATTGGGTGTAAGTCAGCCAGCAACGCCTCGTCATCTGGGGGATCGATCACCTGAGAATCCGGGGTAGGTAGTTGTAAAACGCATAAACCATCGACTACGATTAACTTATGCTCAAGGGTAATTTGGTTGATTATTTCATCATTCCGGCATATTTGCCTCCAAATATTGCATCTGCTACAGTTCGTTTGTTTTGCTCCGGTAGAGAGGGGAGGTGAGCTCTTCAACAGTATTGATCGTCATGATAGACATGTCACTGAGCGACAAGGCGTTATGATAATCCCCTATCGAGGCATCATGATACTCAAAATGTGTAATGACTTTCCATGACAGGAATTTCTCATTTCCCCCTTATGATGCCGTCATTGAAACAAATTCGATACTCTAGTACACGCCCCTGTCTATGAGCCCAAGACGTGATATCGAATTTGGGTCGCATTCTCATCCGAAGTCGGCCTGTGTGTTTTGAGCTGGCTGTCTCCTGATACAGTACAGCCCTGTTGGCGTTGGTGTTGGCAAAGGCACCCAATCTATCACTCCATGTGAGGCATGCCACCTGCTGAAGTGATATCGGGTGGGGGTGCATAGGCGGTCTCGTGGGGTTGACCGCTTTACAGCACATCAAGCCAACATCAACTGTAGTGAGAGCTCTAATATCGCCTTCTCCTCAGGCACGAAGCAGCTAGAGCAATCACCCGCTGCAGCCTCACGCCTCGCAAGCCATCCATGGTTGTTGGGGGTTGAAGGCTTGAGGGGATAGTTGTCTCTTTTGTTCTCTCAAATTTTGGGGGGCTTTTAATTGGATGTGATTTGTCGGGACAGCGCCATGCCGCTATTCAATACAACAAACAAACTGCCGATACAAGGCCTAACAAAGCCATAACCAACAAACTCCTTACACTTTGAACTTGAAATTGTTTGCCCCTGTATAATTAGAGCATGTCTCACGCGGCAAGAGCGTTAGGCTCGGATCAAGTGCTTGCCGTACCGTCCCGATGATCTCGCATCCGTTGCTTTAGCTCATCAATCACATCACACTTGGCCTTGTCTTGTTATCACATCCCACCAAAGTATCCTCTTCTCCCCCCACGCAGAAGCAAAACCTAGGTGCTGCCCAGGGTTTAATGGGTGATTCTCAGCCAAGGAATCGATCCACGAGGGAATATCCTCTTAGTTCCCGCTATGGACATGAACATGAACACGAGCAATGAGACGGCACTTTACTTTTTGCCCTTGCCTGATGTTTGAGTAAGGGGGAGGAAACAATTAGTGTTTGTTATGCTTTGACCCTATGATTCCCTGATTAATCTACTGATTTATTGGAATACAATCTTCCTAAAGCTGCAAATGTCCTCTCGTATTAATATTGTTTGTGAGTTGTCACCTTGTTGAATCGTGCTTTGAGAAGCGGTCAGTTATGCTGAGTGTCAGTGTCAGTGTCAGTGTCAGTGAATAGATAGTGCCGGGTAAAAGAGATAACAACACGCCCTCAACTGCACTGCAATGCGTGTGCGTTCTCTCATGCAGCCTTGCCCTGCTGCATATGCAGCTCGAGTCGACTTGACTTGACCTGACTCTTTTATCCTACACCGATCAATGTGTTTCAAGATTCTGCTACACTCAAGCTTCACCGCATCAACTCAGCTAGCCATACAGGCCCTTTGGCCGGCCAGCATACCGCCTTTTGAAACCAGCCATGCAGACACATTTACTCACAGCAACGACACTAATAACCCTCATGCATGCACTTTCCCAATATTCAGGTTATACGGACCTGCTCATATGCGCTGGCTTGTAGTTGGCGCGCATTCTCCATCGACAAAGTGTTGAGCTGGCGGGTCTAACTTACACGACAGCAGCTATATCTGGTCTGGTCCCTTGCAGCTGTCCTTGGAAATGAGTCACATATGAAAATTTTTAAATTGATTCTGTGACGTGACTGTAGGGTGCCATAGCTTAGGCGATGGATAATTTTTTCAAATTAGGTACTGTGGTTGTGGTTGTGGCAGCGGCTTGATTGCGGTGAAGTGAGGCCATCTACGGATGTGACTATCCGGTGTGAACAACAACACATCGGTCAAACTTGCTTGTTTCCCCTTGTTCGCCGCGATGACATCGGGTAACCCAACATTCGGCCGAGACTAGAGTTGTTCCCCGTATCACACTGCTTCTGAAGTATTGGTGGTTGGGCATCGCTCACCTGATGCAGTATGTGCTTTAGGGTAGGCCACTATATGTGCATGATACTGAATACATCGCGGATAATAGATCTGGAGGCGCAATTATGAATATAATCGATGGGTTTTGAATTGGACCAGACATGGTATCACCTGATTAAATATTCGATTTTATTTGACACGTTGATAATGTTTGGGCATGAAGGTTCATCTGTTGATGTGATGAAACAGAGGAGTTGAGTTGTAGGAAACATCCTTTCAATGATTGTGTTTATGGCATAAGCTCAAGGAAACGAATCAATCTGCATCTAGTCTATCGATTACAATACCGTTTGCACATAGATTTAGCTAGTTATACCACAATAGTATGAGAAGAGACAGCAAACATATTGTCCTTTTCGCCCGTAGCTATCCACACCCTCAATCAACAAAAGATAAACAATTATCCGCATAGACGGTTTTTAGACAAGACGGAAAACTAGAGCATATGTAAAACTAGATCATATATCATACCGGAACCTAGTAGGTTGAGCTTGAGTTCTAGCAAGAGTCTTGACCTGATTCTTTCACTTTAGCTGAACTTGCTCGTGGAAAGACACAATGGCCACTGTGCCTGCTAGATACAAAAGTTCCACAAACGGAAGAAAAATATGATGAACTTAGCATAGGGAGCTAAATTACTACACAAGTTTATATGTTAGCACATCGCAAGCTGAACATCGATGTATATGTTGACTATTGGATTCGTGGACTTGCTCTCTGAGCAACCCAACGACAAGGAAACACCCAGTAAACACTGCAGTATCCTTCACAAAGAAGTATAGTAGGGCAGAGCATCGTTGAAAGTTGGTTCGAATGGCGTTCCGCAGTTCTTACATCCATGCACTTATCATCATAACGTCTAGTCTCAGTATTCAGTTACACGTTCAATAGCAAATCGGGAGTGTTGGTTGCTCTCTCAAAGAGGTATGAGGCATCCGTAATGAGCCTAACTTGATACTGGAACATATTAAAGCATGAAGTTCCCGAACTTCGTTGTGTGTCCTTACTACTCGCGAGGTTGCCACATAAGCTTTCGGACTTGGTGCTCAGTGACTCTCCAAGAGCGAACCGTAAGTTAATGCTACTCTTTCAGAGAGTACAATACGCAACGAGACTGACTCGAAGCACGGTCAGTCTACAAAACCAGGAGATGCGAACATTACAGGCACGTTGTGTGAAGTGCATATGATATTCACCCCCAGCTAGTGGGCAGCTGACAGAGGCTGGAACGAGAGCTCAGATGGTGATCATAACAAGTGGCATAAAGAATATCATGAAACACGGTTATATATCTCGTCGTAGTGCAAACTACGGACAATGTAATGCCAATACTATAGTCCTCAACAAGTCTTTGTAGGATCGAGTGTATGCCAAAACTGTAGATACGCCAAACTCCCCCAACTCCTCCCATGATGAAGAACAACTGGCATCTTTGAACAACACCTAACCAAGCAAGCCTCATCACCAAACGTATACTAACTTCGAAGCGCCTCTAACCGGTTGCGCATCTGGTCCATCATAGCTTCTGGATCTTCTTCCTCCTCCTCTTCCTCCTGGGGTTTCTGTGGCTCCGGTACAGGCGCCACAGGCAGAGCGGGCTGCTTGCGGTCCTTGAGAATCTCCCCCAAGACTTTGTCAACCTCTCCGTCGGCCTCCTCGTCCTCCATAAGCATGTCACCGTCAGCAGGAAGCGAGTCCTCGACCATCTCCTCGATGATGCCCGCCTTCATCAACTCCACACTTAGTTCTTGCATGGTACCAGCCAGTTCCGGTAGACGGATAAGCGAGTTAACATCCTTCATAATACCGACACTCGCTCGAATGGACCCTTCAATCTTTCGTACAGCGAAGGCCTCCTGCACCTGCATCTGCACCGAGTTGAGCTGTGCCTTGGATGTGATGAGGCGTGCTGAGGTCTTTCGGGCGCGAACGAGCTCACGAGCAAAGTCGCGAACTTCTTGTTGGGCTTGCTTGGCGCGAGATGGGTCGCGCTGGGCTCGCTTATCGGCTTGGAGGATGAGGTTCTTCGTCTTGTATTCGACTTGTTTCACAGTCTGGATATCTCGATCGATCTTGCGGATGTTTTGCCTCATCAACGCATTGCATTTGCGCATCTACAGCCAGACATGTAAGACTATGATACGGAATTAGGTATAGACCGGTGTGTGTACCTGGGCCTGAGGATCAGGCTTCGCAAATAGAGATTTGAATGTTTCCATGGCGGCGGTTGGATGGACAAGGAAGTAGGAAATGCCTGCGCCAATGACGCAACTGTAAAGATGGCCAAATGGCGGAGTAGAATTCGTGTAGAGGTGCAAGTACGGTACAGTGATCTGTATGTTCGAGCTGAAAAAGTTGTTAGACTGCCCGTAGTACTACCAAACCTCGAAACGTCTTGATGTCGTCGAATCAGCCGCAGCCAGTCGTTGATGATGTTGGGTCATGGTGGTGAGGCTCGCCCGATACTAGCCTCAAGGCTGAGGTGATAGGCAGGCCGAGGTTTAATTGGCCCGCGAGCAAAAACAGGGACTGGAGGGGTTTCAGTGAGAGGTCCGCTGGAGCTTCCCTGGAACCTGGCACCAAGATCAGCACTGGCTCGCCTCCGGCCCAGCTGTGTGAGGTGCTTACCCCGCCATCGAATGCCGGCCGCGTGTAGGACTAGGCTGCCATTGCTAATCCAGAGATAAAGAGCCACTACACTCAATGGCCTTTGATTGTTTAAAAAGGGATTGTTATCGAGTCTCATGCAAGAAGCCTAAGAATTGAGCTAAATTCGCACTGGATTTGCATCTGGATACATCTCGTAACTGCTTGTACGCAGCAAACCTCCAACTGAGGTGACAAAGCTCCAGCACCTTCTAGGAGCTACAGCCCAGTAATAGTGGAGAAAAGCTGGCCACTTTCAAGGGGGCGGGCAAACGTCAGAGTGGGCACTCAAAAGCTGTGGTAGGGGAGTACCTTAGATAGCACTATACTTCAGTGACAGCTGAGGTATCTGCTGATCAATTGCCCCTCTATTCTCTCCCCTTCTTAGACATTCTACCATCCCGCCTGTGACCAGACAAACGTGCAAGCCTCAAGGCGGATTGAATGAAGTACGCCCTGCCTACCTCTCACTTTAGGTACTGCCCGCTGCGTACTTTGCTAGACTAGGTACAGAAGCTAAAGCTGCACCTCCTCCGCCCAGCAAAAACTCATCCATTCCGTCTCCATTTCTCTTTCTCTGCTGCATCTGCATCTGCATCTGCAACATCTTTCGCCTTCTTTCTCCTTATCTCTCTCTCTCTTCTCTGTCTGATTTTTCCTCCTTCACGTAACTTTACGATACGATAAGATACCCTTTTACTTCAACCTTCACAATGTCTGACACTGTTTACCCCGAAGGTATGTCATTGCTCGTCCCTTGTGCTCGTATTCCCCCTCCCTCTCCCGATGCCGCTCTCAAGATGCAATCTGCCGATAATCTTTTCCACGGCTACAATCTTGATCGCATTCTGCGCATACACTCAGTATCACTTGCAATTCACCCGCTAACCACCCGCAGTCCTCTGGGCCCAGCGATCCTCCGTCGCCGACGCCTCCAAGAACTTCATCTACCTTACCATCTCTGTCCCTGATGTGCCCAAGGACAGCCTTACTCTCGACCTCCAGCCTACCAAGCTCACCTTCACCGGCACCTCATCCACTCTCAAGAAGAAGTACCATGTCGAGCTCGAGTTCTGGGGCGAGATCGACCCCGCTGAGAGCAAGATCAACCACACTGCCAAGAATGTTGAGATAAAGCTGCAAAAGAAGGAGCTCAAGGAGGAGTACTGGCCCAGATTGCTCAAGGACTCCAAGCGCGTCCACTTCCTCAAGACCGACTTCGACAAGTGGGTTGACGAGGATGAGCAGAACGAGGCCCCTGAGGACGACTTCTCTCAATTCGGTGGCATGGGTAAGTCTATTACAAATCCTAATTGATTGTGTCTCGCACAACCCTATGACTAACAAATTTCAATAGGCGGCATGCCTGGTATGGGAGACATGGGTGGTGACTTTGGCGGTATCGACTTCTCCAAGTTGGGAGGTGGCGGTGCTGGCTTCCCTGGTGCCGAGGGCGCTGGTGATGAGCTCGACGAAGAGGATGACGACGACGACATGCCTGCCCTCGAGGGCGACGACAAGAAGGAGGCCGCCCCCGCCGCTGCCCCCGCTTCCACCGAGAAGAAGGACTAAATCTCTCAACTATGAATGTTTGACGTTGCCAAAGAGGAGCATTTCTGAACTACAGTACAGGATTAGGCTGGGTAACTTTGGCGTTGTGCCGTACCAAGGCAGGCTTATTTTTCGGATATGTAGTTAAGACTGCATTGCCTGTTACGATATGGAAGAAAAAAATGGAAAAACTGTTAAGCCCACGGTGTTCGCTATTGTGTTGAAAATCTGGTCAATGTGATCGTCGAAAGGTATCCTGGTGATTTCAAGGCTCATGCTTGAGGCAGGTCTGCGTTTGGACCCCTTCATGTCTTGGCATGGGCGTTGTATTAGGATTAGAAATGGTGATTGACCGGTCCCAGATACGAACGAGTTACCCAGTCTCGGTTCAGTGACTGGGATGTCTCAACAACAAAGCATAATTGGGGAGAAACCATACCAAATCCTTCGTATACTTTATCATGGGTAATAGATGTCATCATATCTTCAGAGATTCGTGTATATGGAGCTTTTCTTATTCCATCTATTGTACAGTACAATTTAATTTCCAGGTCCTGCGGTTGCTGCTAAGCAACGTTGAGACATGGCTGCCGAACTGATAAGTTCGACGTGTCAAGGGTGAGAACTGAGACCAAACAGTAACAAATGCAAAACCAGCGTTCCTCTGTTCGACCTCGAAGGCCTCTCTTCCTCTTTCATTTCGGATCAATCTGCCGCAGCACTAAACCGGGTAACCACCGTATCCTTCCGCAAAGTGTCCATAAAATACCAGGTCCCTTGTTTTTGTAATTTATTATTGTCTCATGCCATCGTCGTGGCGCTTTTGGCGAATTTACTAGTATCGTAGTTAGTATCAACTGTGCAGATCAAGGACAACATTACATACAGCGATCTCATCCATGTCAGCATCACCAGTAGCAGCTGGTGCGGGTGCAGGCGCAGCAGCGTTGTTGCTGGCCTCAGGGGCGGCCGAGGCGTCAAAGTAGTCAGCCATCTCCGAGTCGAGTTCCTCCTGGGTCTTCTTCGCGGGACGGCTGTTGCGACCACGGCGCTTCTTGCCAGCAGCTCCCTTGGCAGCGGCACCCTTGGCGGCACCGGCGTTGTGCTTGTCAGCAGCAGCGGACTTGGGTTGAGCCTTAGGTTGGCTATGTCGCTGGTCAGTGATTGTCTGGAATATGGCAACGTATTTCACGTACGTGGTGCGCTCAGCAAGCGTCTTGACGGTAGGAATGACCTTATCAGCCTGGGCAGCTCCGACAACGATCTCGATCTGTTCAAATTAGTTACTGATGCAACTGGAGGTGCCAATATAGCTCACCTTGATAGGTCGGTTGTCAACAAGAAGGCCGTTCAGCTTCTGGAAGGCCTTGCTAGCGCCATCCGACTTGTGGAAGGTCACGTTTGCGATACCGCGGCTTTGAGAGTTAGGGCCGTAGGAGAGCTCAACTCGTTTGATGGGACCAACGGATTGGATAAAGTACTCCTATCGGGGGAAAATAGCGTTAGTCTTCCGAAGTGTAGTTGAACAAAAATCGTCATTCCGTCATCGAGCCTCGGTCGTTCCAGTTCCGGGAGAGTATCACGTCGCCAGGATTTGGAAATCATGTTGGTTGACAGCTAGCAAGCAGAGCAGTGAGACAAAGACAGAGCCCTCGGTCCGCCCAGCAAGGGTTTGAGATTAGTTTAAGCACGCCAGGCCACACCCACATGGCTCTCATTCAAATAGTAACCCACAACTTGGACCCAGCCCAAGTATACTACAAGTGTAGTATTCGAGAATATGCTGAAAAATAGACAAGCAACCCGCTGTTCTCCCCAAAAGGGGGTTCGTTCAAGCCGACACAACTTTGTCTCAAGATCTGCGAGGGATAGCTGCTGTATGTGCTCACTGCTTGCTCGCTAAAGTAGATGCGGGATTCCAAAAGGTTTCATCCGGAGGAATTCGCTGGCCGTTGGCTGGCAAAATACGCATATCGTTATGACAAGCCTCTACCCTGAAAAGCCGGCGCTACATAAGCGAGGAACGCTGACCAGGCGATTCCTACAGTGTCATTGCGCGACAAGGGTCATCTCGACTTCTGACATAGTACCATATTCCAGGTTTTACCGAGTCAAAGAAGGAGAATGGGCGTCTGATAGCTCCAGGCCTAGGCTAAGTCGACAAACTGGTCGGAAAGACGCGACTTCGAAGGCAAAAATGAGAGCGGCGAAGGAGAAAAGGTCGAACAAAGTCCGAGGGCTTCAAGGGCCGCAACGGAAACATACCTTAATCTGCTGCTCCGAGACGTCCTTAGGCTATTGGGAATATTAGTATATGAATACAATTGGAAATCCTTGTTTGCGACTTACCAGATTGCTGACAATGATCTTGCTATCACTGTTGGTAGGAGTAGCCTTGGCTGGGGCAGGCTTTGCGCCGGTACCGCGTGCGGGCTTGGTACTCTTCTGGATACCACCAACGGGTGCGGCCACAGCAGGGCGTCCGGCACCGCGGCGCTGGTTGGGTCGGCGGCGAGCGCTACGGCGCTGGGCCTGGGTGATATCGTCGAGAGCTTGGTCGAGCTTGCCGGACATGATGATGTGTGTTTGTGAAGTTGGTAAGAGTAGGTCAAAGACGGGCTGAGAAGGACAGGCCCGTGAGAAAGAAGCTGTATCTGCTGTTCAAGCTGATGCAGTTGGTCAAATCAGCAGAAGATATCGAATGACACGTGCGATTTGGTGTCAAAGACGCGATTAAGTATGGTGAAGACTAGAGCTCGATGACGGCGCAAGTCGCGAATGTGGAATGGGGGTTGAAGAGAAGGTGGTAATAAACGTCTGGTAGACTTGAGATGAAATAAAAGGCGCGCAAGAGTTATTAAGGCGGCCGAGTAAGGAGAAATTGCTTGGGCTGGGTTGAGAAGTGGGCGTATATCGGTTGAAGTTGGGATCTGAGTGAAGTTGGGTGAAAGGAAGAGGGAGACAAGGGAGGGAGGGAAACAAAGGCACAGAAAAACACGGGGTGGGCGCTGCTTCCTGCTCCTTCTGTTGCCCTCTACTGCCTAATCAGCTCAATGCGCGCGGGTCTGGATGTGGCGCTATGCGAAAGCTAGTCTCTTTTGGTAGCAGTAAGCCTCGCACCGCCACACTGTAAACATCTGGCACCAATTACAATGCGAATAGGGACATGCGTCAAAAGGGACAGTTTGCACAGACAAGACAGAGTTCCATCACAAATACAAACGAGCGCAATTCCAAGGAGGGAAACAAACGACCACAAAGATGTGTTGTTTGTTCTTTGCTTAGCAGAATCTGCCTAAGGATGCGTGCATAGCTCATGCTAGGCAAATATGATCTGTGATAGGCTGGTGTTGGCGTGTGCCATCATGTCTCCTATCCCAGTTGCCTTCACTTCAAGTCGACTGAGATAATTTTTGGAAAAGATTCTCAGTATTGCCTTGCAGATAGCTGAAAACCTCCCAGCAAAAGATCTAAATAACCCCCCTAGTCTAGTTGTATCAAACCCAAGCTCTGCTCTTCGAATAGGCGGAATCGTTCGTCCAAAGAGTTCTCCTTAACGCCGAGCAGTCTTTGCTGCAAACTGGATATTCCCTTCTCGTAAAAAATTACAATGCGCAGTAATCGTGATACTGTGCAATTATAGTGACTTTGACGCTCCCTCCTTGCCGGCTTCAATCGGATCTTTCGCAGCGTTGACTTCGAGGAAGTGGTAGAGAACAATGAGAATCATTGCCGTAGTGCCAAAGAAAATGGCTAGTCGGTAGAGATCGCCGTCTGAGATCATGTTTGCGGTGATGAAGGAAATGGACGGGAAGCTGCGTAGGCTTGGGGAGCTAGATGATTCTCGATCAGCACTTGGTCCTGTGCGCAAGCATTCATGCGTTGATGGTACAAACCGGCTATTGATTTCAGAAGAGAGTCGTTTGAATAGAAACCAGAATTGAGTCAATGCTCTGAGTGATCTGTAACAGTGCTGTGGGATGGACGCGAGGCTGTATCTGTAGATGTTGGATATGGAGCTTCAACTGGCCAGATGGAGCTCTAAAGTGTCCGCGTTGCAGAGACAGGTACGTATTCTTGCTGGGGTTCTTAGCGCGGCCCGCAGTTGAAAGATTTCCCGACTCACTATCCCCACTGTGAGCGACTGAGTGAGTTTCTAGGTGAGAATAACTCTTTTGTTTCATTATGTACGCAGTTCTGTTTTCGCATCCCGTACAAGAATTAGTTCCTATCGCAATTAATACGAAGAGAAAGTAAACTACTTGATTTCTATTGAATAACCGATAATACTTTGCCTGGCAACACAGACATCATTAATCACTTATACACGTTGAGCCACTTGCCCTCGAAGAAAAGTCTTGGGCGGCAGACACGTGACTAGCTGTGACTTCATCCTCCACACCAAGGTAGCCCAGCCCACCAACTATCAGCAATCTTCGACATTCGTCTTTTTTTTCAACCTAGATTTGGTGGCTTAGCCTCTCGCCATTCCCAACACGAAATCGTGGGCATACACGTCAACAGAAACCCTCGACGGACCTCACGATCGTCCGAATCCCATTGAATATCTTTTTGATACCCACGATTACCCCGCCACCAACTGCCCATCATGCCTCCCAAGAAGGGTAAGGAGCCCGTGGCCAAGAAGGCCACAAAGACGGTCGAGGACCGAACTTTCGGTATGAAAAACAAGAAGGGAGGTGCTGCTCAGAGGGAAATCTCGCGCATGCAGGCGAACCTCAAGAACAGTGGCTCAGCGGAGGAGAAGAAAAAACAGGCCGAGAGGGAGGCTCGTGAGCGTGAGAAGAAGGCGGCCGAAGAAGCCAAGAGGGATCTGGAGGCTATGATGAATAAACCAGCGCAAGTCCAGAAGGTGCCTTTTGGCGTTGATCCCAAGACAGTTGTGTGTATCTTTTACAAGAAAGGCAATTGTGAGAAGGGCAAGAAGTGCAAGTTTTCACACGACCTTTCTGTTGAGCGTAAGACAGAAAAGAAGAACCTGTACAACGATTCAAGAGGAGACGAAGAGGAGAACAAGAAGGCCGAGACTTCAGCAGACTGGGACGAAGACAAATTGCGAAGTGTCGTTTTGTCAAAGAAGGGCAACCAGCAAACCACAACCGACAAAGTGTGCAAATACTTCATCGAGGCCATTGAGGATGGCAAGTATGGTTGGTTCTGGATTTGCCCTAACGGAGGAGATAAGTGCAAGTATAAGCATGCGCTGCCACCTGGGTATGGCTTCTTTCATCAAAATATTTTGGCAGTTACACTAACATCAACTTAGATTCGTCCTGAAGACCAAAGAGCAAAGAGCAGCAGAAAAGGCGCTTATGGACAAATCACCACTCAAGACCCTCACACTCGAGGACTTCTTGGAGTCTGAGCGACACAAACTGACCGGTACTCTTACGCCAGTCACTCCAGAGACTTTCGCGAAGTGGAAGAAGGATCGCCTCGACAAGAAGGCAGCCGAGGAGCAAGCCCGCAAGGCCAAGGAGAACACTGGCCGTGCTCTGTTCGAGAGTGGCAAGTGGAGAGATGAGGATGATTCCGACGACGATGATGACGATGATGATGTCTGGAACCTGCAGAAGCTTCGTGAAGAGACAGAGGCTGTCCGTTCGAAGAAGGAAGAGGAGCGTCTGCTGTCAAGCTATGATACTCCTAATAATGGCACCACGGGCCAGGCAACCCCGGCAGAGGATACTCCAGCTGAGACAGCAACCGGATCTTGAGTCAACAGAGACACAGGCGTGTGGCATATGTAGTCTAGAAGACCTTGGATCTGGGATTCGTCAAGCTCTCCTAGTTGGAGCTCGCCGGAGAACAGACCATCCAGAGGCAAGCCGAGCCCTGCTGCAGACCTCACATCAGTGACCCCACGAGTGAGAGACGTGTGCAGGTCTACCATGGCGATCTCGTCATCTTGCTAATCCTCATGAGAGGAAGGATGACGTCTGTCCTCCGAGTAGAATAAATTACAGTACCAGTATATCAGCGTGCGAGCTGTCAAGATGACAACCAACACTTGTATAAACCCTAAGCCACAGCTGTATTCGCGCAAGAAATTGCTTGCTCATGTGTTAGATGTGTGCATTTCCATACATGGTTTATTCGCGATCATTGTGGTTGTAATGGTTGGTTTTATCCTGCCGAGTTAACTACTCTTAAAGGCATGATGCATGATAGCCAAAAGTCTCAACGGCTGAATGCATCGAGAGGCGTCGATCTTGGGAGTTTTGAGGTCCTGGTGGTGGTGATCGTTTGTGAAGCACAACAATGGAGCGGCCAAAGAGAGGTCCTTTCGTACTGAGGTTAACGCGGTTATCCAACCCCAAATCATCTCACTATGATTGCGGGGTGAGGATTTATGGTGGTCGTTATTGGGCGAACGCTAAGTAAGGTAGCTAACGGTTACAATCTAACTTACCCGGACATTGAAGTCCGTTTAATGACATGGGATATCGGGTCATAATGTGGACGTTGAGACTTTGGCTGTGTTATTGCATCCGCGGAAATGGGCCGACGGATGTTATCTCGGCTGAGAAGTTAATAACGAGAGTATTCGAGTCTTAATATTGACAAGGAATCAAATTGAAGCTTTGGTGAAAGAAAGTCGGTGTCGTAGTATAAAGTCAAGTATTTCCCCAAAAACATGTGATGAACGCCCCCCGGCAGATGATACACCCACTGAGACACAGCAGCTCGCAGGGAACGAGAGGGATCAATTACAGGGCACGGAAGCTCTAAACGATCTTCGAAGAGGGAGCCAGGAACCAAGAAAGAGGTTGGATTGTGTCTTTGGCGTTTGCTCGGTCAAACCCCGCGACCTTGAAACTTGGGTGGGCTGTTCCTTCCCGTCCGAGGGGCTGTTTGGTTTGGTTTGGTTTGGAAGTTTGACACCGAAGAAAAGTAGCAAGTCCGGGAGGCAGGCATGACCCGTCCCCTCCCCCGCCTGCGCCTGCGCCTGCCGTCCTCCATTACCACTTCCTTCCCGTCAAGATCTACCTTACCTTTCCTACCAATTAACTCGTACCATAAGGTAAGGTCAGTACCTGCTGCCCATACTAGATCAATCTCCACCTCTGGCCTCAGACCTTAATCCTCCAACTCTCCTCTTCTTATCTTTTCCCATTAATTGATCTTCTGTGTAAAGGAACTGCAATCATCAGCATCGTCGCTTCCGTTGTCGTCGCCGTCCTCTGCCGAGGGCACCCGGACGCCCGAGCCCGTGCAGAGACATAAGTGAAGAGCCGCACACCACCGATATCCCGACGCCGCTCCGCTCCCGACCCCCGATCTGGGTCCTTTAAACCCACCCGATCGTCTTTTTCCATTCAAACGTCTCTGTACCTGTACTCGACTCTCCGGTGCCTCGCGTCTGAATGGACCCTACGGCTGCTCTCGATAGGCCGTGTTTCGACCGCGCCTCTAAATAAAGCTATACCTCGACTACATCTATATTCTACCTCTTGGGCTGCGCACGCCCGTATCCTCTCGTCGGTGCTCCGGTTTGAGGTCCATTCGCTCTCTATCCCGGAGAGCGGGAGGAAGCAATGACCACTGGAGCTAAATTGGCCCACCAAGATGTCACAGGCCATCAATCGCAATTGTCGTCACTATCTCCAGCAACAACTTCTGCCATCAGCATGCCTCTAGGCGCTGGAGGGCGACGCGATGGCGAGACCACGGCTTTGACTGCAACGGGTGCCGCCGTCTCTGCAGTACCAAAAAATAGCCCTTCCAACCGTTTTGTTAAACGATACCGAACCGAAATCGCAGCCAGCTCTTCCAGCGTATTCTCTACCCTCGCCGCTTTCCCACTCGACAGCGTCAAGACGCGCATGCAAACCTACCACTACAATGGATTCCTCGACTGTGTTCGCAAGACATATCATGCTGAGAAGCTTGGCGGCTTCTTTCGAGGTATGTTGCAGCCAATTGACAGGGTGTAGTCGGTCGCAATTGACTAACCCGACATTGCAGGCGTCACAGCACCGATGGCAAGTATAACGCTTGTCCGCACCGTCTCCTTTTCGATCTACCAACGTGCCAAATACTCCTATTCAGCTTGGGTCAAGCGCAACTTCGGCTTTGATATCATTGGCCATGTTAATCGTCCTGGCACATATCCGAATCTCTACTCGGTCGCATGCTTTGGCGCTGCTGGTGCGACCGCTGGCTCTTGTATAACCTTTCTCGCCTGCCCTTTCGAGCTCACTAAGCTCAGTGCGCAGGTCTCTGTACTGCTTGCTGAACGCGGTTTGACCAATAAAGGTAGTCACGCTGTGGCAGCTAGCTACCAAAATAAGGGCACCTTGCGGACAATGGCGAACATCATAAAACACCGGGGTGTTTTTGGTCTGTATACTGGTCTGAAGCTTCATCTTCGTGAGTGGCCACTCGAATGATGCGGTTTCTGCACTGGCTAACAATTTGCAGTTCGTGATACATTAGGCACTGCTATCTATTTTATGGTGTATGAAAGCGGGAAACAGATTGGAAACACATTGGCTGGCGATCATCCCAACAGTAACAAAGTGGCTGTTGTTGCTGCTGGTGGTATGTGTGGTTTAGTATCGTGGGCGATGATCTGTAAGTTGAGCTGCACCTTATTGTGAATTCCTTCTACTCACAATTGACAGACCCAATCGATTCAGCCAAGAGCATCTACCAGCGAAACTCGTTACTCTATTCCAAGGGGGAAAAGGTCGAGCCTGCGCCAAAGATCGAATTCTTTAAGCGTCACATGTACCGTGGCCTAGGAGTTTCTATGAGCCGGTCATGCGTTGTGAACGCCATATTTTTCTCGTCATTTGAGTTTGTCAAGAAGCACATTCATCAAATGGACGATGAGAATTAACTTGAACAGAATCTGCCCAATTACGTGTTGGTGGAATAAGCAGGAATATCAGGTGGCCAAGTGATTATTGGGAAAGGTATATGTCGATTTTGGATGGTCGGTAACTGGGAACCAAATGCAGAAGCATGCATGCATTACGAATGGGCGTTATTGGGAATTAGTGATTTATCTTCAGCTATCACATCTGGGTAGTTGTTCAGAGGTGGATGGTGATATGAATACCTCGAAACAGAA